TGAGTGTTGGATGCATTTTGTGACGATGACGACGTGCAGTTCGACCGTTGAATTTGTACGTAAAATATGTCATCGCCATCTTCGTGCCTGCGTGTCTCACAGAAAACCAGCAATGGAAACTGAGGAAGAATTTTTTGACTGATGCAGTTGGAAATGTTTAAAAATTTGTGTTTTTTATCATTTTTTTGATAATTTTATATTGATCTTACTAGAAGAATAAATAATTAGCATCATTTATTTGATTTCTTCAGATGGAATTATTTTAACAAATTGTTACTTTTTTGAGAAAGTATATTTAATGATATACTATGCTGATTTCAAATGAAAAAGCGCCATGTTAATGAACTGAATGCATCTTGAAAATAAAAACACTAAAGCATCCACTATAATATAATTTCACATATTTGCATCGGAAGGCAATGTTGGAATGAACGAGAGAGAAGTTTGATATGTCGACCAATGATTTGTCTGACTGGACACGTTGAGTATATCCGAAAATGCCGTCTTATTATTGAAGAAAGGCTCTCCAGAAAGCACGGAATGAAGTGAAAAGATAGAAACAACATGTTAGAGAATTACTAACAAAATCGTTGACCTTCTTTGTCCGAAATCAAATAGTGGTGACGAATGGTTATATATGCATAAATTATATGCAATGTAAAGTGTTTTTATATAATACTCTTACTCACACATTCACACACACACACGCAGACACAATAACTTATATTTTCATCAATTTATTTTTTTTTTAAAAACCTAAACAATACATTTTTAACATGGAATTAATTTACGCCCGTACTAATAGATCTTCTCGCATTGTACGTACAGTACACGCAACAGTGTGTGGTGCATTGATTTAAGCGTACACTCGCTCAAGTGTTTGTTGTACGTACGTTTGTCACTGTCAACCTGAATAAATCGTTTGAGAATATATAAACAGTACAATTAAAACCATAACATAAACATCTATTTCACCGTGAGCAGTAAAAATCTCTAACTGTGATAACCATAACGCCACATTAATTGCATTCATCATAGCATTAACAACAAAAATCCGTAACAACATTAGGTTGTGCATAACATTAACAATTACTAATCTAAATGAGTTATTTCACAAATAATGATTTTCCGTTGTTTTTAAATTTTTAAATTTCAGTTTAAAACAAAAAAGAAAAACAAGGCAAAATGATGGTGAAAGAAACGTTGGAACGAACACGCGCTTAACTGACTGCATCAAGGTAGCATAATATTGATCGTAAAATTTAAGCTCCGGCGCAAAAATTGGTCGCATGAAAATGCTAATGTCAGGAGAAAGATGATTTATGAATCTTAGAAAATGTTATTCATTAGGGCTTTATTTATTTGCGATCTCTTTGCAAGTGCAAGTCAAAAATTACACGAAACCGTCCTAGAATTTAAGTTTCCATTTGATTTTGGAATTTAAATTATTTTTGAAACCTGATTTCAACTTTTTTTTCTTCCTCAAGAGATCCACCACATATTTCAATCAAAACAAAGTAAATCAACGACAATAAATGCGTGTAGCAAAGCACATTGGCTCATTTTTTTAAAAACGAATCAATTGAAAATTAAACTCAAAATTGCATGAGTGAATTATTTTTATTATAATTAATTAAAAATTGATTTTGTAAAATAAAAAAATAAAATGAGATGAAATTAAATTTAAAACAAATAATAACACTAAGAATGCATTTATAATAAAATAGCATTATTTCTGTACTCAACTCTTTTTCAACTATATATATATATATATATATATATATATACTATTAATATAATAAGATACTATGTAGATACAATGCTTGTATATGTGCCAGCTAATGGACCAATCTTTGCTGGCCGAATTAAATTGAAAATAAGCAAAGAATTAAAAATGTTCCATCAACCGACATTTCATTCACAAGCATTTTAACATTCTGCCGTGTTTTGAATGTAGGTAGGGAAGATTAGAAAACAACATAACTTTTATTTGTCAACAACGTATACATTAGCAAATTAATTAATTATGTATAAACCTATGGTCAACAAGCATTGCCAGTTCACTGCTGGCAGAGGCAGTGTAGCATTAACGGTTATAACGTTCATTTCCGTATTTGACAGATTCAGATGTAAGTCCGTATTTTTTACAAATCAAAAAATGGCAAATAAAAAAGTTGAAAGTAATTAAAGAAATGTTTGACATTCACGAAATAAAGAACTTTCTTGTCAGACAACCAACGTGGGGAGTGAACAGCAGATCAAACAACTTCAAAAAGACTTTGCACTAAAGAAAAATTGGAGATATACTCCCTCCGTCGTGAGATACAAAAATGTACACAAACAGATTACAACTTAGTTTAAATTCTTACACACATTGTCTATGATTCAAAAGTTTTACCTGACGAACTTAAATTTTAAAATGTTATAGTTCAATTTCTAAACAAAATACCCCGATGTTGTGTTATTGCGTGAGAAGATTTTTTTTTGCTTGAGACAAGCAAGCAGATTTAATGTGAATGATAAATTGAAACATGTGTTGTGGAAACATATGAGCTGCAAAAAATAACAATGGTTTAAATTGCTGAAAAAAATGACGCTTCATGTCTAGGGTTAAAATTGCCACAATGAACACGTCACAAAATTTAAATAATCTATATCAGATTTACGTGCCTTAGGTTATTCGTAAAATAGTTTTTTTTTATTTATAAATAAAAATACTTTTAACTAATAGCAAATAAAATAAAATAAATAAATTTAATAATAAAAAAATTTCATGTTTTCTTCATTTAAAGTTTTCAAAAAATGTAAGCGTGGGTAGAGCTGCATAACTTTAAATAATAATTATACATGCCTGAAAGTGATAAAAATATGTGAGCCGTGTGTTATTCTTTTCAATTTACATGAATTTAGTAGATTATTAACATAATTAAACAAAATTTTATAATCATGAGTAATCAAAAATTTTGTTTTCAGATAGAAGAATGCCTTTCTGTTTCATGTCAATGCTGAATTATAAAGAAATTAAGAATTTCAAAATTTTACGTGTGGTTGATTCATTTTAGAATAAGCTTCGAATGGGGTAACGTTTCAAGTTATCAATAGTTAGCTTTACCTTCGTTTTGTTTTAAAAACTATAATAATTTGGAATATTAAAATGAAGGTTTAATTTTTATTAATTGTTAGTTAAATTTAATAAAAAAATTAATTAATAATCCCTTTACGTAAGTTTGAGATTTTTTTAAAATTAGTTTTATTTAAAAGATACTTTAGAAAAAAAGATAATTTTTTCAAAGTTTCGAATCTTTGCCGAGGTGCTGCAATGTTAGTTGGTGGGCAGAGACGTCCTGGCCCAACAGTCAAAAAATTTTATAACTTTTATATTTCTTTTATATTTCTTATTATAGTTATTTAATTGTTGAAATGAATGTTATAAAACTTCTCGAAATAAAAATCAACGGTTGGTCTGACACAGATAACATTAGCTTAACATACTTGAACCAGACTTAATCACATGTAGAAGAGTCCGACTAAAATATTTTCTTCGTCTATGTTACAAAATCTAACGATCAAAACTATCTCGAATGAGAAAAAAATAATTTGTATTTGTAACATTTTTTAAAAATATTTTATTCAAATTGATTATAGTATTTAAAAACATTCAACAAATTAATTTGCATTTTCAACTCAAACATTCTCAGAACTGCTCAAATCGCAAGAAAAAATTAAATAGCGAGTGTCTGAATTTTTGAAAGATTGTATAATAAAACATGTTATAAGTAAAACCTTCTCCTACAAATTTCCAAATTAAAAAAGAAATTTAAGGTCCCATTTTGAAACAATTTGACGGAACCGTTAACCATTAAGGATTGTATGAAGCAGGTAATCACTTAATTTTTATTTAAAAACTAAGATTTAAACTGTAAATGAACGAAAATTTGTATCATTATTTTTTTCAGTTAATTAATTTTTAAAATATCGAAAGTTTAAAATGACTAATTTAAGTGAACCGAAAATAAGCGATATTACTTCCTCATTGATTGTGTAACAATAACAGCTGTCGCAAGTTTGCTGGCGTGCCTGTTCTGCTAGTCAAATAACGTTGTATTTCATCAAATTCAACATTCAACAAATTCAACACATTTTGAAATTTATTCTAATTTTCATACGTCAGGAAGAATTCAAATCGAAGCAACATTAATATTATACAATAAATGTAGTTTGTATAATCAATTGAAAACATGATTGTTTATTTATCATTAACTGAAAACTAAAAATTGTTCACGTGTTTAAAGCTTAAAATTGTACGAAGATACGTTATTAGACAGGATTACAACATTTGAATGCGTCTCTGTTACATTGGTTATCGTGCTGTATGATGAATTATACTTGTTATATTTCATAAAGCTAGATTACCAATGTTAATATTGACGCACAAACAACATAATTTCTATCTGAAGACATGCGAAGAGGGGTTTTCAGCGCTTAAACATCGCCATGAATTTTTGAGACTGATCGGATTTCCCCTGCCAGCCAGTTGTGTAACTGTGTTGTTAGAACTACTGTTAACTAATCTGGCCTCCTGCTGGGGAGCCCTATTAACGTTCAGTCAACGTCCATTATGAGATATTATATTTTTAATATATTAAATATTTATATTGCCGCTCATGTACATTTCCCATGCAAGCTTCACAACGGTATTATTACTGAATTATCCAATTGCCCAACTCGCTCACGGCTGGGGTTTTGAATGATTTATAGATTTTATCTTGAAATAGGTTAAAATTCTAATGTATTTAAATCAACTTACATTCCTATTTTATACTGAGAACTTGAATTTAAATACTAATGAAATTTTTAAATTTTAAAATCAAATTTTTTTCACAGGGTTTTAAAAAATAAAAGCTAAAACGAACGAGTTTCAAAATGTTTTTCACAATCGAACTTTGTAGCATTTTCTAGCAAAGATGATAAAATTTACTAATCCCACGCAGTCGTGAAGTTTAATGATTTTCATAAACAAATGTGTTCTTATCGCTCAAACATCGCTTCGTTAGAATGATTGCATTCAGAAGATTCTCTTCAACGTCCTGCATTTTGTAGCTATGTTTACATATGAACGGTGTCTCACTATTTTCTAAGAAACCTTTCACCACAAACTCAATATTGTAATCAATCGTTCCTTTATTCAAAATATTTCTTCTTAATTTCCATAGAGGACTTTTTTTATTGACGTGATGGTACAAGATTGTTGGCCAGGGTAGGAAATAAAATTTGCGACAGTGTGCACCAAACGGGTCGCACGATAGATTGAGATTGCATTCAACTTTTTCGTCATCAAAACTCTTCTTATTAATGCAAACTTTCAAATCTGATTCTTCGTCAAACAGACTGACCCGACGAAGAAAACTGTTTTTCCTTCTATTGATATTATCCTCGATAACTTTTAATCGAGCCTCTATTGACACAGATGTTACTTTGCAGTGCTTAACTTTAGAACATTGAAACGTAAGAACTAATTCATTCTTTATTTTTCCGTCGCTAATATTCTTGACATTGACAGATTTACAAAATTTAATAACTTGATTTTTGAACGAGTTGTCGAGAAGCTTATGAACGAACAAACCTACAACCAGTGTCTCCACGATACATCCCACCAGCAACTGCAACATCAGAACGACCAACGTTTCGTAGCACTGGTAGTTCATAACTCTCGTCCCGTAACCAATCGTCGTTTGAGTTTCCACTGAAAATATCAAAGAATTAATGAAATTTGGAACGTTGTCGAGACATTGGGACTTATCACGTCGTGACTGATGCAACGAGTGTTGTTGACTTCTATCTTCGAATGGGAACGTCGGCTGCTTCGTGGCACTGGACTGATTATTCCTACCGTGTGATCCAAAACTTATTTTTTGCTCAGTTTCAACAGAATTACCGTGCAATTGTTTTAAAAAATTTTTATCAAGAAACTTGCTAGATGTATTGCCGTTAGAAACGGTAAATGTCCACCATAAAACAGCAAAAAATAACCATGATAAAGTTACGATGACTCCACAAGTTAGTAATTTCGCTAATGTTAATAATTTCTGTTGCTTATCGTTCCAATTTTTACAAAATAACTTTGATAAAATCATTTTTATCCGATAGGTAAATCACCAAATTTTATTTGATTTAACTAGTAAAGGTTTATAAGAAAAACTTTTTACATTATTAACACGTAGTGATCACACGACAAAATCATTTAAAGATACCCTGATCGTGTCCAATTGACAACATTTAACTAGACTCAGTATTGAAGAAAATTATACAACGGAATAATTAACATTAGAAACGCTCTGCTGTGTTCACTCCTGTATTAATGCGTCACTCCCATTAATTATGATAATCAGCTACAACACCATGCATTATCTAGCAATTGTTATTTATTAATGCAATACACACATGTGTATCATAATGGGCCACCATCCAGCAACAACTCACTTTATTAGGGAAACTGGGAAAATCAAAAAGAAAAAACCACTTGAATTCATTAAATCAAAAGATTAAGAGACATTGTTTTCGTCCAAGTTTGCTTTTCATAGTGATGCAACTTTAGTGTCATGTTGCCCAAAAATGGAATGGTTGTAACCTTGGTTAGCAATATTCATAGCCACGCTGGGGTAGACAAATAAGCCACTCATGATTTTAGACTATAATTCAATAACAGAAATAAGCTGGCAGAAAGCTTTACAACACTTAAGTTTATATTACGATGTTAGCGTTCAACTTAATACTTGCTTATGTTCACGTCAAACAGCTAGTGTTTATTTTAATACTCTCATTTCATACAATTTAATTCTTACGTTAATCAACTTGTCTTTAATTAAAACTAATTTATTACTTCTATCGCCTCGTATTATTTCTGATTCAATATACTAAAAAACATGTCCCTGACAACGGCTCAGTTATTTCTTGCATCGTTTCGTAGCAATCATACGGCTGCATTAAATTTATTCGATATGCCCTATGTTTTTATATTTATAAATTTAATATTATAAAAATAATTACAAATTATTAAAATGATCACCCCACATTAAGATCGTTTGTGTTTGCAACAAAAAAGTAATTTGTATGAATAAGTTGAAATGTTTTTTAATTGAAATCGTCTCAAACTAGAATGCGACATCAAACTAAGCTTTAAGTTTAGTAATTTTAACTAGTTTAAACTTTACGTTTAGTTAGGTTAATAAGTGAAAAAATGTTAATTTGTGGAAAAAATAACTATCAAACTAAAAGGAAATGACTGCCACGTTGGGCGTTCCGTTTGGCGTTAGACGGGACTCGGCGATCGATCGTTGCCTTGGTTGCCTGTCACCGCGTGTAAACATTTGCTGACGTGTTGCCTTCTCAAGAATTTTAAATACGATAGACTGCTTGATAATTCCGTTTTATTTTCGGGAATGCAGTTGAAATGGGTTTTCTCGAAATAAAATTTAACAAAATGAAACTGTTTATAATTTTTGTTTTGCATTTGCCGTTTATTAGCACAGGTATAATTTTGCTTTTTAAAAAAATCAAATTTAAAATTAATATTTGAAATTTTTCTGAATAATAATTCCAACCTACCAATCCAGCCTCCAGCTCGACCAACATTTGCCCGGTTGAGAACTGCCAAGGAGACCAATGTCCCGGGTTGGAATCGTTGTTTCATTAATTACATAATTGCATTTCCTCAACGAAACAGATTTGATTTCTTTGCATGTTTTGATATCTTTTAAAGGTTTATTGAAAAAAATTTCAGTAATAATTGTGTTTATTTTCCAATTTTTAACTAGTGCCTTCGCTATCGTTTTCGCCATTCCAACCTGAATTAAAATTTATTAGCTAACAAATGCAGGAAGGGTGAACAACTTTTTCAAAACGCCAGCATTTTATGTTTTGTCTCTCAGGTTCAAAACTATATAACACTTAAATGTCATGTGCTAGATTTGATAACCATAATAAGTGCTCAGCATTATAAATAAGATATATAATTCTTTCTAACACTAGACCAGGAATTTGTGATTATCTATTAAAAAACACTTTTATTTACAATTATTTTTTCAGTATTTGTTGGAGTCATCAACAAAAAGCACACAGTGTATGTAAATGCACTAGAATCAAGGCATCACCACATGAAGTGCCTGTTATAAACGTGGATCTTCTCGCATCATTCGATCCCGGCCAACGCAGCAGCACCTCAACCATTACACCATTGCGCCCTCCTTTTTTAATTAACGAAAATAAACGAAAGATGAAAGACATGTTATGTTATTCAAAAGAGTTTGAAAACAGAATTTAGTAAATGTTTGTACAAAACTAAATTGATTTAATCAACAGAATTAACTGTGGCAATGGAATATGTGCTGAAAATGGAACGTGCAAATGTATGCCGTGTTGGACTGGAACCAATTGCAACGTGTACAGTGAGTCGTCCGTCTGTTAATTGATAGATGAATAAGATTTCAATAACCTAATACTAACACAATTGGATCCAAAATTTTATTTTTTAAGCAATATTTACAATACTTTACGAAAGTTAAAATGCCATGTAACAATATTTTTATTTGGTATTCTCGAGCCGTCTGTGACACCACTGCTGACCTAGTAGGCATTTGATCGAGTTGCTTCCAACTCCAGCTCCACACACCGAACATGGCCAATGACCAGAGACCACAGGCTCAGCGGTACCACCGGTGATCATAGTTTTTGTTTTGTCAAGGTTTAACTTTAGCCCGTGTTCGGCGAGCTGGTTATTCCAGACCTCAAACTTTCTGGCTGCGTCTTGTTTCGAGGCCGCCGTCAGGACGATATCATATGCATATATCACATTCCATATGTTATCTGAGCGTATCGGTTTGGTTATTTCTTCCATCATAGTGATGAAAAGCTGGGACTGAGTATTGATCCCTGATGGACGCCGACGTTAACATCAAATTTATTCGTGTTACCGGTTGCTGTGCTGGCCAGAGTTTTCGTGTTAAAGAACGTTGCCTTAACCAGCCGAACCAGATATTTGGTAACAAGCTGTCTACATAGACTCCACCTGATTGCCTCACAAGGCACTTTGTTAAAAGCCTTTTCCAAGTCTACAAAGACATGGAACAGTCGGTTTTGCTTTGCCACGTATTATTTCTGTAGTTGACAAATGATATAGATAGCATCAATGTTGTATCTTCTTGCCATGAAGCCGTACTGGTAATCACCTATTGAAACGCACGACAACAGTCTTCTTTTAATGACTTTTTCAATTCAAATGTTTGACTGGACATTATAAACTGTTCTGAATATGAAAAAATTAACGATTTGAGTTGCAACAAAATTTTTAATTTTTTTTCATCAAAGATATGAGTGAGATATGAGAAGACAAGTTTTACGTTGATAAAAATATGAGCTTTTAGCAGCAGTATTAGTCTGAGAAAAAAAAAGACATTCTAGAATAAACCAAAATATTGACTCCGAAACTTAAAATAACCGGTAAAAAATTTCGGTAAAAATAGAAGAGGGCCAAGGATAGATCTTTGAGGCGCTCCAAAATTAAGAGCAGAAAAATTAGGAATAGAAATTTGAGGAACAACAGAAGAAAAACATTACGATGAGAAGAAATAGTCCAAAATCAGACACAATAAAAGAATAATTTACAACATTTTGAACGTTAAATAATTTTGATGCGACTATTAACTTTTCTATTATGAAAATATCTGTTAATTTATTACAATAAAATTACATTTTAGCTAATGAAAACCAACCGAAGTTACTGAACAAGTATGTGGCTGTTGAAGTTAAAAATGATGCCTTGGTTGGTACGAACGTGCATTCGGTTCAAGCAAAGGATGACGACAACATGTACACCTGCCAATCCAAGCAATGCGACTGTTCGAAGATCATCTATAAAATTGAAGATGGCAATGAAGATGATTTGTTTGATATCGATGCTGGTTTGTTTAAATTTGTTTTATTCTCAGTTCATTATATCGTGACCACTATTAATGCCGTTTACAAGCTTTAGCTCTACAAGCAAAAACTCGACAAAAAATATTTTCATTGCCGAAAACAGAATACTGCTTTAAACGATGTATATATATATTTATATAGTAATGTACGAATGTAAATGTTAATTAACTTTACTGTTTAACATTATATTATTGGAGAGTGCAATCAATTCTATGTAACTCGCAACTGCTAACATATCTTTGTGGTGTTTTGCGATACTAAACTCGCGATCGTATTTTAGTTCACATAGTTTTTTTTAGCTTCAATTTATTTTAAATTTCATTACTAGTATTAATAGACTTGTTTTAACGTTTCGAGCTAGTTTATCTGGTTACGTTTTTTACCGCTTTTTGGTTTTGAAATGATTTGCAAGATTACAATATTTTGATATCTGCGGCAATAGTCGAAATGCTGTGTTGCAAATTATGCTATATAATTAATTTCAATTAATTACTATTATTATGATTCAATAATTTTTTGTTTCCGCTACTAATTAATTTTTAGAATCAGATATCTTTGTAACGAGGGATTGTATAGTTGCCGTATATAAGCACAGCGCGATATGTAATAAAGGAGGTTGAAGTTGTTACATTATGAAGTTGCACCGTGAATTATTGGCGATCGTGCTACATCGAGCGTATTTCTGGGATTAGCGACTGATTCAGTGTCTCTGTTACTGTTGGCATTCAAGTAAACGTTCAAACATGTTTGTCCTAGAAGCAGTTGTGTTTATATCTATCAGAAATCAGTAAACCTACAGAGGACCGGATAACTTGACAATTGTGCAATATAACAACATCATTCATTCGCTGAGATGTTTTAAACGTGTTATTTTACATTTTTGGTGTAAACTTTGTTTTAAGGTTCTGCTGTTAAGTAAAGAAAGTCCTGAATATAATCGTCAGCCTAATTTAAATTTAGCTATTATTCTACTTTAAAACATATAATAATACCAATGGAGGGTAGTTTTGTGTTTGATATTAATTAAATCTTTGGGCACCTCATTCTACATTACATTAGTGGTGTTTGGTGGTTTTAAAGAGTATGCTTTGGTATTTCTGAGATGCTGATCTCTGCAAGTAAAGGTTGTGCTTCGATTTATTTCCTGAGTTCTTATTGTTTACAAAGCAAAGTTTTCCTCCAATTTACACAAATTTCATATAGAAGTCATAAAAATAGTTTATGGTTTGATGAAGATATTAAATTTGCAAGAAAACGTGTCAGAAAAGATTTACCACGTTATGGAAATTATTACTCTCAAGTTTTGAAAGATTATATTAGGGTTTTATGTTATAAAATGACAACGTTCTAACTCAATTATCTTCTAAAAATCTTAGACAAGTTGACTTTTGATTCGTTCGTGACAAATAGCAGGCTGTTGAATTTTTCCCAAATAAGATGAAAGCTATAAAACTGGCATTTCGACACGCTCCGCATTGGCATTCGTGTTGGATGTTGTAAATCTTTCAGTATTTACTAAGGCAGGCCCAAAATATAGTCAAGACCGTTTTCTGAGCGGCAATAAAATAATACGCTCGCTTGATGTTGTTCCAATCCATACTTTTGTGCAGCTTTTTTAAAATTTTCATAAAATATTGAAATATTATTTTATAAAAAATGTTTCATTTTTTAGCAGAGAACTATAAGCCGTCATCGTCCAGCCATAAAATGTGTATATGTAGATGCATATAGGCCAAAAGATAAATCGAAAAAAATGTACATAATTTTGAATGTATACAAATGTCGAAATTGTAAAAAGTTAAGTAGCAAATTTAAAAATTATTTAAATATCTTAACAATTATTCGTGTTAGAAAATACAATCTAAATAAGTAAAAAAATTTCTCTTCTCGGTTGCTCTGATGAAATGTGCGTATATTACCAAGAATAGAGTTTAGTATATTTAAACCAAATTATCACAGACACCGGTAATATAATGTTGAAAAAATCTTTGGCGCATTTGGTTAACGGAAAAGTCTACGATTTGAAAATATCAGTTGCCAATTTGAATCCTTTGAACAGCGATGGCAATATTACCATGGCTAATCCAAAAGATCTAGGATTTGTTCAAATAACCATCGCCAACGGAGTAAAGAAAAATGATTACAATTACGATCTAAGTGAAGCTGTCTTGAATAGACAAAAAAGGGTAATAATTAAAATATAAACAAAAACAAAATATTAACTTGTTGATTAATTTCCAGCAAGTTAGTGTGCCTGCTACTGTCGATAACATAACATTCACTCTGTCAAAAACTGGCGCCTATAACAACACAACGACCATGTTTGTGGGCAGCAAAGTTCACTTCCAGCTGGTGATCCAAATACCACCCAGCCAAAGTATAGATCTTTCTGTTGAGCTGTTTTCCCCAGAAAATGGAACAACAATCATGGTTCTGTGCAACCCGGTTATTACGGCCAGCGGATCAAACCTTCAGTATAATAAAACCGCCGCTGCACCCGTTCAAGACGCTAACGATGGATCAATTAATGTTATTATATTTTAACAATATCTTTTTTTAATAGATTTAAATTTTCTAAAATTTCAAACTATTTAAAAATTTTGTTTTGGTAGCAATGTTGAAATTAAGTTTTTTAGACGTGAAAAACATTTCCATAGTATGACCGGGCTGTCTTTAGCTTTGGTACGGTGGTCAACAACGCAGTGGCAACAGGACTGGCGAGTGTCATTGTAATAGAATGGGATGTCGTAATGATCGATAGTCCAAGCACCGTCAATGGCTCGTATTATTGGGTGAGTGCCGGAGCGGAGTATAATCAACAAAACGAAATCTGGATTGGACAAGCTGGTTTTGTAGCCATTATAGATAATTTTGTAAGTATTTAAATAATTTTTTTCTTAAACGCGCGGACACATATTTCAAACACACAATATTAGTCACATTTTTTCACAAAAATTTTCAAAATACATTTTTTTTCAATCGAAAAAATTCTTTACCATACCTGTTCCGTATCTTATTGTGTTGTAGCAAGAAATGAAAACATTTGGGTATCTGATTTTTGAAAGAAATTCATTAATTTTTTATTTTTTGTTAATAATTTATTAATTTAAAACATTTCCCATGCTGTTTTAAATATTTGATAATTTTTAAACAGAACGTAAGTGACTCGACGCCTCAATTCAACATGTCAGGACCATCGGAAATCCCGACAGGATCATCAGCTATCTTCCACGTCGACGCATACATTCCCTATCCGTCGATTGAAATGAACTTCGATGCATTTGCTCCGTTCAACTACACTGACGCAGCTTCAGTCTGCAGTGTGCTAATAGTGGGAGTTGGTGTTAATTATGAATGTTACCAGTACAAAAACAGGCCCGTGACTTTGTACCCCAGTGACACAGGAATCACTAACGACAGAGGAACACTTGCATTAGGCAGCGTTACTAATAAAGGTAATTACACGTATGTATTTTATGTTACTTTTTTATGAAACACATTTACAAAACATTATATAAAAAGGGTCAAGAGAGCCAAATAATAACTACACCGATAATCGAATTTCTTTGGAATTCGTCATTTCAATCCCTTACAATGAGTCCTACATAGACAATATTTTGTGGGTTGGCTGCACGTTAGAATTGGGTCAGAACCAAATTTGGGCTAGTCAAATGTCGTTCAAAGTTGTTGGGGCTGTGCCACCTACACCTGTTAATTCATTATTTAATTTTTTTTCATTCTACGTCATGAATTAAAAATTTTGTACATTATAAATTATTACAAACATTATTTTTTTTATCTTCAAAACAGTTGGCAAGTTCACCCACTACAGTTTTATATCCCAACGATACTACACTATCAACATATTTGTTTTACCCAAAAAATTTAGTTCTCAACATAACGATAGCTCCTGGAACTGCAGCAAATTACAGCGTTGAAATTAAAACAGATGGCGTAAAATACAAAATTTGTTCAGTTTTTTATAAAGCAAGAGGTGCTAATATTCCGTGTTTTAATCCTGGTGATCCTGTCTACTCGTCTGATCCAAGCGACCTTGAAATCAATAAAGCCACTTGGTTGCTGGGTACTTTAGAGAATAAAAATCAAATTCAAGATTTCGATGCCAATATATTTCAATTGTATATTTACCTCCAACCTCTGGATCACAGTGGATTAGTTCTGCAGGAGACCTCTACAGTGACAGCAACAGTTACTGTAAATTCATTCACCAGCACTTCCAGCCAAACTTTAACGTTAACAAACACTACAGCAATCGGAAATGCTGTTGTAAGTGTTTTCAATTTAATTTATGTGCAAATATATTAAAGGCAATTTGAATTTGATAACATTATAGCAATTGATTTATTGTTAGAACTATACCTCTCCAAAAGCCAACTTGACCATCGCCTTTGGACAATCATCTGTCACTGTCAACCAAATTCTCGACATAAGACTCAATGTTTCATTTTACCCCAAAGTTATTAATTTACCTTTCACAATCAACTTAACTGCCCCAACGGTGTCTGGAGTTAGCCAGTTCTCCATCGTAAGGGCTGAGTTGATGTCCGTTGGGAAAAATCTACCTTGCGCTGATAGGATAAAACTGAATAACAGCATCACTTATCTGACTCAGTAAGTTACTATGATAATTCAAAGAGTTGGATGTTGGTGTTACCTTGGTGTTTTCAATATTGTCTTATTTAATTGAGTGTAGTAAATACTTTTTCTAAACTAAATGATAAAGGAAATTATCTATTGACTTGCAAATCAAAAAATAGTTTTTAAATTATTCAATTTTTGTAATTTTAGTTGCAAATATATTTTCATTCAAATAATTTTACATAATATTGACAGCTTGTTCTGAATTTATTACCAATTTCCAAAAAGTCAATTATAAAATAATTTGAAACTTGTGCAGGCCTTCTGAATCGTTGAGTTATCAAGCCACTTTAACGGTTGGCAGTGTTTGTAACGTTCGACCAACGGCATCAACTACATTAACAGCTGACGACAGTCTTGAAATTAGAGCTGTAATTTTAATCAACAATCTTTCTTCTCTTCTAACTTCTGGCACGTTCATAACCTCATTCGTTTATTCGTCTGATCCTATCAAAAACAATTCCGTTGTTTTGAGCGTTGGTGCAGCCACTTACACAAACTATCCCGTGAACTCCACTGTATGTGACTTTATAATTCAAAAATGTCATTTTTAACACACAAATTTATTAACAAAATTCAATCAATTTCCAGCCGGTAGTGATATTTGACTACAACAGCATGAATGGTTTGGCTATTCCAGCTGGCTATCAATTGACATCTGAAATTTTAATTAAAACTCCTCCGTGGAGTGCTGCTGATTGGGTGATCCGTGCCGATGTATCCCATGATCCTGAATTGAGTCTTTGTGCTATTATAGTGAAAGAATATGGATACGATATACCATACATTAATACTTCAAAACCTTCCAACACTACCAAGGGTAGCAGTTCGTTGGTCAATAAAGAAGCATGGTTGGAGTTGAATAAAGTGACAAATCTTGGTTGGTATAAAAATGTTTTTCAACACTTCTTTATATTTTACAATTTTTATGACAAAATTGGCACTTATGTAGTTGATTATTTTTATTTTGCACCACTTTGTACCACCATTTAAATAATACAAAAACAGGAACAAAAAGTTTGAATAATACGCCCATTTTTGACGATGGTTCATTTGTAGTTCAAGTTGTAGTTCAGATATCTAAAGCAGCTACGGTTTCAGTAAACCTGAAATATGTGAACGTATCGGTGGATTATGGTGTGAATGGTATAGATAGATCTAGTTACATAAACTTCACCGTCATTGCTCCTGGAAGTATAACTTACAACTCCGTAAGTAGATAAACTTTACAATTTCTATCATTTGTCAATCATAAAACGATAATTTCAGGCTGCTGCCCTACCCAACGTTACATTCTTCCAATCTCCTGTTAACGAAAACTCAACAACTGTACCCAGTACGAACTGCTATCAAGGACAGGTTTTAATTTTAACGACCGAACTGAGCTACCCGATTTTTAACGGGGGCCACACTCTATCTACAAAAATAAGTGGTCCTTCAGACTCGACCATCAACATTGTGGACTATAGTGTTGTCTTCATTGGGACAAATTTCCCCTGCTTATCAAAACAAATGTATACAAAATCCTTCACTGCAACGTTAGAACAAAATTTTTTTATTAAATATAAAACAATATTAGAGTAATACAACAAAATAATATTAAACAATATTAGAGAAATACAAACAAAAATAATAAAAAACAATATTAGAGTAACACAAACAATTTTTTTTACTTGCAGTGCAAATAATTTATATAATTATACTGGGAACATTGATCTTGGAATGATTTGTACTTTCCCGATATTTAGAACAGGATCTAATAACAAAGTAATTTTTATCGCGTTTTGGCTACTTGCTTTTAACTTAATTCTACGTTTAGGTCATGTTTGCAACTAAATTATTAACTACACTCATGTAAATTTTATTCGAGAGAATGGTTTTAATTTTTATATACTTATAGATCAACATTTTAGCAAGAGTAAATACTATTAACGTGATTATTTAAAAATTGACTTTTTGAGTTTAGTTCAGTGATTTGCTCAAAGAAACCTACGTTAACCAACAAAAATTAAAATATGTTAGATCAATCTAATTTAATTAAATTTTGTTACCGTAATGCACGGAGTATTTTTTCCTATGATTCAAATAACTGAGTCAAAGTAAATAATTATTATAACTACCTAATCATCTCTCGTTTTTATTTATCAAAAGTTTTCAGAGTAAATGTTTATGGGTGGTCAAATGCCATCTTAAATAAACAAAAGGCTAAGGTTAGCATAAGGAAATGGAATATTATTTAATACTTTTTAAATATATTTGTTTCAAAAAAATATTTTTAATTAATTGCTTATTGATATATTTCACAGATTAGAATTGAAGCCATTGTTACCGTGAATAGAAAAAATCCTTTGACAGCCGGCAGCACCCTCGCTTTCAGCAGCGTTGTAACAATAAATGGTTCAGATACTACTTACCCACTGACTCTCACTGTTATAAATTCTCCGTTAAATCAAGATTTTAATTTAGTGGTTTGTTCTTTAAAATAAATAAAACATTAAAATTTTTAATAAAAAATTATTAATTAATTTATTTAAGGCCGGCTTCGTTCCAGTCGTAATAAATGCGAGTAACCTTGCATCATCGATGGCTTGTCACTCATCATATGCGTTTCAAGCAACCTTCACAATATTGGCCAACACTTCTGATGTAGCCATCTTAACCGTGACCACGCCTCTGACTTCTTCCTCTGCTGTGCTGACTGTTACAGATTTCCAAATTGTAAGTTTAGAATAAATTTGTTGCATGCCTATTGACAAAAATTGATTCAAATAATTTTTTATACTAAGGTCAGTTTCGGTAAAAACTTGGGCAGCGTTGAAATTCCCTTTCCAACAAGTACCACATTCTCATCTACTAAGCTAACCTCTCAAAACGATATCGCAACTATAAATCTCGGAAGAATAACTAACACTGGTACCATTCACAGTTTTTTGTTATTCTAAACATTTGAATTAGTTGCCTCTATAATTTCGTTGAATTCTGCAGGCCACACCTATAGAGCGGAAACATATATGGCGGGAGACAATGATATAACGGTTGTTGCAAACATTCAAATGGCTGACGCGATTTCAGTTTTGGATCAATCTCCTTGGTCAGTTACGTTTTCAAGCACTTACCTTTCTTCCACAGCTACGGGGTTGGGTAATGTTACCGCCGTAAAATCAGACGCAGATCCAGTTGTTTTGGTGATAAGCGACTTTGAAATCACAAACGGGCCGTACAACGCCGGGTAACAACTTTCATGCCTGTCTCACTTTTAACTTTGTATCTGTTTATTTTTTGCAAATTTCAACAATGAAAAAAAATTAATAAAAATTCAAAAAGTGTGAATTATTAAAATGATTGCAGAGATAAGGCAACAGTTACGATAAACATTAGACATGACGATCTATCGAAAACCGAACTTGATAATGTCTTTTTGCATTTTTATATTCCTAAATTCATGGATTATGCGGGCAACTTCCAAAGCGATTTTAAAAATACACTGACACCTGTGGTTAATTCAGCAGCTGGAAACAAATATTTTTCTATCAACGTAAGTATTGTACTTCAAAATTATGAATTTTATTTTTTAGCGTTAGTGGGTATATGACTGCGATATGTAATAGTTATAACTTGTATAATGTATTTATAATATATACAGAACGATTTTTTCATCACGTAATATTATTATTATTGTCGGAGAATTTATGATAGTCAAAGGCGCTTCTTGAGCAGTGTGGAGTAGTTTTAAGTTGCTTTTGAAACTTTTAAAGTGACAATCCGGGCTGGTAATGGTGAGTTTTCCTGGTAAGTTTTTTTCTATTAACGATAAGTAGTTGCAGCTGTTGGGCTGATTACGGCAAATTTGTTGGTTCCTATAGCCCATCGTGAATATTAATAATACAGAACGCTGTTTGTTCACCGTGTCGGGAACATTTTTAATAAACTTCTTATGAGCTAATATTAATTACTATGAGCCAACTTTCAAACAGTTAAACACATTAACTAATTTGTCGTGATGTTTAACCCTACAAAAACCCTACCTGACCAATGTGTAATTCAATGTATGATAATTCAATGCTTATAACATAACCGGTCGTAACATAAAGCTGTTGTAAGATCGAATGGTATGAAGACTTCAACCGGTTAAATGAGGTGCCTGACATCAAATAATGTAATAATTTTAATAACTGAAAACAACTAGGATGATTTTTAATAAAATCAATTTAAATTTAATAAGTTCTAGTAAGTAACTGTTTATTTTAATCACAAAGAAAATACTACATTAACGTTGATATATTTTAAAAAGAGTATATTATTTTATTTCTTCATATTTTTTTCTTTTTACTGCCTTTTAAACAGTTTGCTCACTTATATTTCACGGACAACGTGACATCAAGTTTTGATTTGTCGTTCCTTGCTGGCATCATGACAAGCACAGCAGCTTCAGAGACAGTCAGAATAGCCTACGAACTTGAATACGACATCAAGAGCAAACCAACGGTCAAAACGCAGCAGGCCTACCCAATTAAATTCATTAACTTCACGATGGTTGCTTCACCATTCAAATGTTAATCAATTTTGAAACAATAGCTCAAACATTTTTTCATAAATTTATTTCAATGAATGGGCGAATGAATGAGCAAAAGATTTACTGTAACAGGATATAAATTGCGTAGATTGCTTTCAATTTAGTTATTTTTATCTCGCAGCAGACAAGCGAATATCTTATTGAAAGGCGTGAATATAAAATTTAGTTCAATCACAGTAATGAAAGAATACTATAAAATTATGAATATAAATTTATCCAGCAATACAAAGTTATGAAAATTCATCGCTAATTTTTACATTTGAATAGTAATTGACTGGCAAAATAAAATTTTCCAGTTTGTCCAACTGAAGCTTCTCTAGGTATGGGCAGTAGCGTAATTACAGATTGCCAAATAACAGGCTCTCCAGGCAGCAATGATTACGTTGAAAGCAGACCAGGCAAAGCAGGTTACTGCAAAACTATTGTAGTTTGGCCGAAATAATTCAAAAATCTGATTCTAATTTTTTTTATTTTACAGGATGGTCGCCTTTGTTGAGGAAAGGAAAACATAAAAGATACCTGCAAGTGAATTTAGCAAACATAGTCAAAATTACAAAAGTACAAATAACTCAAAAGTCCACCGATAAAATAAATTCCTTTATGTTACGTTACAGTAACGATGGATTGATCTGGAAGAACGGTGATTTGGTGAGCCGTGTATATTTCTCACAATCAGTTTATTTTTTTACAAACAGTTCAAAAACATCATTACATATAATTCAAACAGTTGACTGCTCCAAACGACAACAGTGTTAATGATGTGACTGTTACAAATCCAGTCGATTCGTCATTTGTTAGATTCCAAATAGAAAGCACCTACACTGCTGACACAATTCCGACATTTACCATAGAATTTTACGGATGCATCACGACGTCTTTGGTCTTGACAGCAACAGGTTTGACTAATCATTAGAGCTCTAACTTAGCTAATCTTTATAGTGCTATTTCTAAAACTTTTATACGCGAACCACTAGTGTTAAACATTTATTTTCGACGAATTAAAACACATACCTCAATAAAAAAAAATTATAAATTATTCAAATGGCTTCTATTAAATCGGGCTGTTTTTCAAGTTTTTGTAATTATTAATCTAAAATTTCATCTCTTATACTTAAATCAAACTCTCAGAAATTTGCGATGTCAGGAAAGGATGGCAACCTACTCCTGCAATACCAAGTAAATATTATTAAACGTTTGAATAATAAAATTAGCATTGCTTTGTGTCTCGTTTAATTCTTACATTTTATTGTCGTGTGTGTTTGTGTGTATGTGTATTGTTAAGGTTGGAAATGATTATTTGCATATAAGCGTGTGTAAGCTCTTTTCGCAATATTTAACTTCCAATTAAGTTTTCCAATCTTTTGTTATTATGCTTATTGTCATTTTCATTTAACAAAATTACTTAGATAGTCGATAAACCTCTTGATTGTTTTGTTCTGATTACTTTTTTTGGTGACAACCATCATCCTTAGTTTAAGGATTTATATTAAAGTTTTGTGAATTTGTTCAATCTAGTTGTGCGACATCAACTGAAAACCTTTTCAGTCTTTGTCCCTGTTGATAGCTCATGTCAGTGATGCTCATATTTATGTCGGTGGTCCTAGAAATGCACTTGATGATTCTAATGTTTTTGACTGGAAGATGCTAAAATTTTGTTGACTGATTAAAACTGAACAGATCCAAAGCCCAGATTTGGCCTTATGGTACCTGGTAATACTTCTATGAATAAAATAAACTCTATCTTTATTTATAGTAGTTATTACATTCTTGTCTTCATTGATACCTGCTTGTATCTTCAAAATTATGTACAGTCTATTTAAAACACTGCGGCAAGAATAATTGCTGGTGTCACAAAATATGGATTTATTTCAAAATATGAGATTTGGTCCTCGGTATTTGCAGCAACTGATCGTGGCTGTTTTTACCGTTGCTGATAAACGAAAGCTCAGATCTTTTGCCAAAAAGAAATTTGTTTTTCCAAAAGTCAGAAAAGAAAACTATGGACGACGTCGTTTCTCTGTGGCTGCAGCTATGGTCTGGAATGGACGACGATGTGGTGAATGTTAAAGAGGAAAGAGACACGTTCAGAAAGAAGCTAAAACATCAATATTTTGTTCGCCCGCTTTTGTAAATCTGTTCATAATATTGGAATCATTACCATTTATTTTTGGAAAACTAGAGCCAGATTATGCCTAACCTTTTAAATCATTTGTTCTTATTGACAGTTGACACAAGTCGTTTTCAGTCTGGACGTTCAAATGTAAAAATATCAATAGTTTGACTGTTTAATTCATGATTGACAGTAAAGTCGCAAAAGCTGGCAGTTATGGGCCATATTCTACAAAACATGATAAACCCTCCCACAAAACCGGGCACTTACATTTGGAACTTTTCAGCTCTTGGACGGTCATAAAAAATGATTTATCCCAAAGGAAAAGACATTCAAACAAATTTTGTATATTATTAGGATTTTATATTTATGTATACGTATTTGTATATATAAATAAATATTTTGTTGCAAATCAATGTTTCAAGTGCTGAAAAACAGAGAAATGGGGATGGTAGAGGCCAATAATATTCTATGTGACACAATGCCCGAGTAAGAACCCTTAATTTTAATTTATTATTCCGACATTTATTTTAAATAATTTTTAAATAATATTTGGTCAAGTTTGGAAAATATGAAATGCTTTTCAAGCCGTGATGGGCTTACTTGGCAAGGTAAATATAGTAATATAATTACCTCAAAAAATTTAGTTCAAAAAAACATTATACCAATATAATACACAAACTCGACTTTGTAACGTAGCGTTAGACAATTCCGTAATTAACATACTGGGATACGTTACGACTACGAAGCGTTTGTACGGAGTGGACAAAAACAAGAAAGCCATAGTCATAAGTGAGGATCTTGGCTTGACGTGGGCATCGGTATCAAATTCCACTTTTGCGGATGCTTCCGGTCTACCGGACTATCAGCCGAGTCTGGACATTCCGTGGAACAAAGATATCGATACAACTTCTGTCATCAGTCAGCCATTCGTAGGTTTGGAATGTCGATGATACGTTTTCATTTTTAGAAATTTTGAGACAAATTTTAATTTAAAAACATTTTTGTTTTATTTATAGTTCTGTCAATTTAATTACATTTTATCTAAATTTCCTTCTTAGTAGAAATAGCAACGAGTTAGCTATTTTTAGTTTGTAAAACATGCTTTTCGCAAAATGAAGTATACAATTTTTTTAATCAATCAGGGTTTATAAGACTTACTCATTAAAAAAATCGGCATTATCTTATATTGAATATGGTGTCAAAATTGACAGTAAAAGTAATTGCTTACCTTTTTGTCAAGTTTTCACATCGCTTATCATAAAAATTGAGTGTGATAACAATTATAAGTACGAAACTAATTTATTCGGACTAAAATGAACAAATATAATTACATACAGTGTGGTTCAAAAATAGGTTTTCATTTATCAAGTAGACTATTTCCTTATTAAGCAAGTAACTGATTAACGGTTAACATTTTTGGGCCACTCAATAAATTCGATAACAATCTTGAGAGCAGTTGTTTTACTGATATATTGGCAATTAACTGAAACCTTCACTTTTAGTTAAAAATCAAATTGGGTGAAGGAACGATCGTAAAACTGCTAATTTTTTGAATGTTCTTTTAACTTGCAGTATCTTCAAATTAATCAAATTTGATCAAATCAAATCAAGTTTTCAGGCATATATATACATTTACCGTTTTGTGATCATTCCCACACGTACGCGTTTTTAGATAATGTTGCTTCATTCACGATAATGAAACCTAATTGAACCGTGCAACGAATGGTTGATTGTTAAGCTTTTCAATAATATAAGTATCACAAAGTACACTAGTTTAGTTAGATTTATTATTAGTAAGCAATAGAAGGATTACATAAATCGCGTATTATTTAAATGAAGTTTAGTTTTTTTTTAGAAAGCATAATAGTAAAAAATTTTAAGCAAAAAAATAAAAAGGTGCATGTAATTTATGTTTAAAACGACAAAAAATGTAAGCGATGTGTTGATGTTCTTTTGTGATTAAAAATAAACAAGTCAAGTAGAAACAAACTTTGAGATCGAATTTTGTATTAAAATTATTTGATGTGAGATGGAGTTTGGAAAGATATCATTGAACATCAATCTCTTTTTGATATGCACATGCATATATTCGTTAAAATTTTCGAAGATGTTCATCCAACGTTGTTCGTCTATGACCATCAAAAATTCACCAACTTTATCAAGCCTGTAAAAGATATTTTAAACCAACTTTATTCCAAATAAATTCTTATCCTAACACAAAAAATGAACGATTATGTTAAGGATTTATGTTTCAAAACATTAAATTTGCTTACAAACCGTAAATTCAATATTTCGTGAAAAGCTATAAGGCTTTGCTCCAATACGGAACTTAAAATTTTGGAATTGCTAGACTGATGATTGCACGCGGTTAATGCACAATATATTTTTTACAGCTCCGTGGGTTAGCAAGCTTGTTCGCTTTTAGTTAATTTTTTACAAACAACGTGAAGTAATCTATATTAAATAAGTTAGGGTTTTTTTTGCTCAGACATAAATGAAACATGAGTGTTGAAGAATGAATTATAATAACTTACTCGTGTAGTATTAAATTTAAGGTAAAACATATTGCAGCCAAGTACGATGGGCTTTACTACAACGTTGGAAAGGTGGCAGACTGGATGGAGTGCTGCTCGTAGAGGATTTTGTGCAATCCCACTGAAGCAGCTGCGGAAATCTTGAGGCATAGAACGCATTTTTTAATTTTATTGTTTCCATGTGATAAACTGACAACTATACTTTCGTAATTTTACATTGCTCACTGATTACACATTTGAACTATATTTCTTTTTTATATATTAATGTTGTACTTTCGAAGTATATTTTTATTGTTTAGATGTTTTGAAAACTTTTTAATTTCATCTCATGTTTGTCAATAAATAACTTTTAATTTTAATAAAGTGTTAGTCAAGCATTTCTGCCAGTTTTGATATTATGAAATACAACAGTCCGACGACATAATAAATTAAAACAAATTCCACCAGTAAATCGACATCAACCGGTTTGGAAACAACGCTGTCAAACATTTGTCTCGCTAGTTTTTTTTTGTTTTTAACGAATATATATGATGGATGTGTTTCACCTGAAATTTTGTTTCTTAAAAACAACGTCACTCTTGAAACAAATTGGCATGCGCCTCATTCTCTTATTTGTCGCGGTTTATCAAAGCTGCCTTATCTCCTTTAGAGTCGAGGATTCGTTGTCGTAGTTCATTTCATCAGACTAATTGTATTGAGGTCTTCCAATACTGGCATTCATTCATGAAAATTCAATCTATCAAAATTTTACTTCTGGCATGTTGTAGCACTTTAAGGCTCGTAACCACCAACACTTGTGCTACAACTTCAAAGATGAACACAACTGCTTCGAATGCAAACTTGGTTGAACGTGTTCGAATGCCAACAGTAATATAAACACTTAACTAATTCAAGTAACTACATAAATCACATTTACGACTTCGTTTGACATTTACGACTCCGCTACTCCTGCCCTTTATATAGCTTCTATGGTATGAAAAGATTCTACGGTTTACAATCGATTGACAAATAACAAAGATAACAAATGTAAAAAGATAACAACTAATTATATAGAGTAATTCAACCATTCCAGTGGTTATGACAAGTCAAATACACGAAAACAGAAAAAACTTAAAATTCATATATGAAGTCAGTGTCAACGGACCAAAACTACGCGAAATAATGCCACACTCATCGGAAAATTGATATTTTTGAATGCAACTTAGAAAACATGATATATATATATATATATATATATATATATATATATATATATATATATATATATATATATATATGTTGGTAATAGACTATAATTTTTACAATATTCTATAAATTCTACCGAATGTTTGGCGTTAATATGTTTGTAGTTCGTTTTTTCGATTTTTCTCACTAAAGTTTTCTGGTGAACGTTTAGTTTATTAAAATTCAAAATAAACTTATTTTTCGAATTCATGCTGCAAATAAGGCCATATTTAGATTCCGAATGAATCATCATCAGTGCTCCTTGCTGTATATATATATACATGCTTAGAAATTGATACTATTGATATTGGACGATAATTTGAAACCTGATCTGTCTGACCACTTTTATGAATTGGAATAACTTTTGTCATTTTAAGACATTTGAGAAATATATCAGCAGTGAATGATAAATATAATCATAATAAACAGCAAGCTTACAACATTTAAAATGTAAACACATTTCTTAATTATAAAAATATATAAAAACATTTAAAAAATAATTACATTACAATATCTGGAAGAAAAATTAAAAATCTATAAACATTTTTTGTAAATCTGACTTTTTTAAGTTACTGATTAACATTTAACATTAACTTTAGTTATTGGATAATCACAACATAATCAAAAATGTTTAAAAAAAACATTGTCAAAATGAATTCTTCTCATTCCATTTATAATTACTAAAATGATTTTTATTTTCTTTCAATTTTTGATTTTTAATTGTCTTTACATGAATGAATCTTTTTAATTTTTTATTCGACAAAGTATTTTCATACAAGTTTTTAGTTGCTATAATTTTGCATATAATTTCCGCAGTAGCAGAATTTTTAAAAGAATTTGTGGTAGTACAAGTAATTAATTTGCCAAACAATGACATATTCGTGTTGCAACTATTAGAATTTTTCAACAAATCACCACCATCCAAATGAACCTTTTTCCTATCAGGGATACAATTAGCATTAGCAGTTGTGCTGTTTTTCGTTTCTTTAAATAATTTTAATTTTTCCAATCCCAAAGCTGTATCACAATTTATTTCTGTGTTGAACGGGCAATCAGTAGATTTGTCGTCATCGTTACGCGTTTCTCTATTTAAGTTTAAACTATTATTTATCGTTGTTTGAAATTTTCCCGGACATTTAAAATTTTTAGCATAATCAAGCAACGAAACCTCCGATGATAAGGAATGTGTATGAGTCATTGTTTCTCGTAAAACCTGGATGGCTGATGAAACAAAATGGAAAATGTATATATATAGATATATATATAGGAAGGACGTTTAAAAAAATTAGTTACATCAAACTCCTAGAAAGTAAAACAATAGATAGAAAAGTGAAATCCATTAAAAGGATTTAAAAGTTAATTACCATATAGAACGTTCCGAAAATAAAAGTATTAATTATTCTGATTATATGATTATGGTTATTCTTATATAATTTCATGAATATATATATATATATATTAAATATGTATAATTCGAATAAAAGGGTCATTTTATATATAGGGTATATATTTATTTTATTTTTTCTGGAAAAAAAGATGCATTACAAAATTCATAATTTAAAGTAGATCGGTGTTAAAGTAGGTCAAAAGTCTTTTTTATAGTCCAGAGGAATTAACAACACACAAACAGCTTTTGTAAATACGTACTAAACTACATGTGATAAATGAGTTCTTTTTGTCATTTTCAAACCTGGTCACTGAATATATGTTGAATCAAGATATATGGGTTATTGCTTAACAGAAATAAACAATTTCAACCTATCGTATGCTTTTGATTTCTATAACAATAAGAAAATTTTTTTGAATTTAGATTGAAAAAATTACTTTCGGCTGTCCATAATAATTTTAATGTGAAAAGTAAACACTTTTTTACAAAAATCCACGAAACCTTACTTACGTTACAGGCGTCTACTGCTTCATCTTCAGTTTTGTAAAATCTTTTGCATAGACTTAATATTCTAGGAGTAAACATGGCTCACCAGTTAAAGTTTTTCAAGTTCTGTTCTTCATTGCTGAAACAAAATATCTCGGCTAGGTGTACACAAACGGTAATAAAGTTTTTTTGGTACTTTTTTATTTTCTCTTGTTTAATTATTTTATTTTTTTCTATTTTAATTATAATATAAAGAATATATAATTATTATAATTGTATAAAAATAACAGATAACTCTACTAGTTATAATTTTTATTTATAAAAAATTAAATTATTATATATATTATTATATATATATATATATATAGTACTTATAATATTATGATTATTAAATAACTTATGAATGAGTGAGTTAAATTAAATTATTACTTTTTTTCTTTTGGGCTCTTATTTTTTATTAATTAATGTTATAAATTTAATAATCATAAATATAATTATTATAATTATTACACTATTTACTTTCCTACACTTATTTAAGTTGTTACTACTACAATTTGTTTGTAAAGTACACTATAGTTTACTATAGACATTGCTTATTTATTTTTATTAAGGAGCATAAAACATGATTGACATTTTGATTATTATACTTCATTTGGGTTAGGTGTAGGTGGGGTTTGTCACTTATATTGTTATCAATTATTAAATCATAATGTCTATTCTATTATAATTATATTCAGTTTCAACATAAATTTATACATAAGCCCTCCCCAACTAACCCATCCTTTACTTAATTATTCTGCCCCTCTTTACACTCATCTTATATGACATCATTTGTTTTAACATATATTTATTACAATATAATAAAATATTAATGGGAATTTGTTACATAAGCCATTTTTTAGTTGATTCTGTACTGGATTTCTTTATTTTTTCAACTAAATTAAACCTATTTTGTTTTCCATATTCTAAATGAGGTTGTAAAAGGGTGATGGTGGGCTGAAATTCAACAATCTGAGTACATTTAGCATATCATATCATATGTCTTTTTAGGCTTGAAAGGGCATATTTAGTTGAACACCTGGAACAATACCAGATAACTTATTATTCAGCTTTTGAACAAATGCCTCTATATAAACATATGATGAGAACAAATATTTATATTAACTTTTAATATAATGATTAATCAATTTTAAAGTTTGTTAAAAAATGTTCTCATGATGTGAGCAAAACTGCCATGTTGACAAAAAATGATAAACGGGTTGGAAGATGGCTTCTAGCATGTTCTGGGATGTGTTTTGGTGCCATTGTAATTGGTGGCATAACCAGGTTACTTTTATCTTCTTAACTTTGATAGAACTTTTACGTCTAATAAAATTGTTCTTATGTATATAGAATGAACCATTATGTAGCATACCAAGACTATTTGAGTAATTATATTCTGATTATTATCAATCTGATGAAATCTTTCACTAATTGACTGAAGAGTAGTTTCGCAAAATTGTTGTAAATGGGAATTTTTTCTGATCCTTTCTGGATGGTGAACTCCACTGACAATGCAAATATTAAAAAAAAATTTACTTTGTCGTAATTGGAAATAATTTAATCATAAAATTTGCTCCAATTCTAACTGAAATGGAAATATTTTATTCTTAAAATTTGATCCAATTCTAACTGAATGGAGTATAGCTTAACATAATATAGCTTGAATCTTTGTTATTTGCAGACAATCATTTCCCCTTATATCAATAATTCTTTTATAAAGAAATTGTTGTCAGCTATTGCTTACTCTCAGAATCTCTTCAATGAATTGTACTTACATTGTTTCTTGAGAACTGTTAATCACCAAACTTTTTTATTAGCATCGATATCATTGTTTTTACTGGATCAATCGCTAATTATTTTTGCACTTTGTACCAAAACCATCATCTTCTACATCTTCAATATTTGTTATAGCAATGCTAACTGTACACTAGATTTCTGACCAATTTTTTTATTAACTAACTTGGTTGTGTGTGCCTAAACCTAAATGATAGTGGGCAAATTATATATCATCAGTTTTTTTCAGTTATCATTATTATGTGTACATGCACCCATATTTATAAAATAAAATATTTAAATTATTATATATATATATATATATATTATAGGTTAGTTTTTGTTTGTATGTGTAAGTGTTTATTTACAAATTTTCATTAAATGCAGACTCACTGAATCTGGTTTATCAATAACCCAGTGGAATGTAATAAAAGGCATGAGACCACCAAGAACAGAAGATGAATGGGAAAAAGAGTTCACAGAGTATAAAAAATATCCTGAGTACAAATAGTTAGTGATGATTTTTTTTAACAGTCGTTTTCTTTTGTCTTTTGCTTTCTTTAGATCTGCAAAAGAATTATACAACGACATCCTGTTATAATAATAATTTTATATAACGTTTATAGAGCATGATATGCAACCTACATATGCATTTTGAAGAAATGTGTTTTAAACATTTTTATTAATTGACAAGGAAGCACTGTCATAGCTCAGAAGACAATTCATTCTGAACATCCAGAGCAATCTGCTAGATGGGTTTAGAATAGTTAGAAGACTTTTTGAGAACCTATCGCAAAACTGGATAACTACAAAAACCAGCAAAGGCTTATCCACCAGATTTAAATTACACTGATGATAGTAGTTTATACCAAAAACATTGAAAAAATTTTTCAATTTGAATGAACTTAATAATGTTTGCGTGCAATAACAATCTTTGTAGTCCAAGAGCTATATTGTAGCCAAGTAAATAGGGAATTGTAACTAAGTTGCTCTTGCCAGAGTTGCATAATAAAGAAAAACTCAGGTCAGCTCTATTACCTTTAGGAGCTATTATTTTAAATGAATTTGTTAACTTGTTGAAATATGTTTTAATGCAGTTTAGAACGTGAACTAACTTTGGAAGGATTCAAAAAAATATTTTTCTGGGAATATATCCATCGCATGTGGGGTCGAAGTATTGGTCTCGTGTTTTTACTGCCTGCTGTTTTCTTCTGGAAGAAGGGTTACTTCAACAAGGGAATGAAGATCAGGACGCTTATATATGGTTCTCTCATCGGCGCACAGGTAATTATTTGATCTGGAATTATTGCAAATGTCAGTCAATTATTTATCCACTTGTTTTCTGGGAAGGGTGTCCTTGGCTGGTACATGGTGAAAAGTGGACTGGAAGAACATAACGAATCAACAATCACACCGAGAGTTAGTCAATATAGGTTAAACACTTTTGCTTTTTGTATATATATATATATTACCACGCTTTCAGCTTTAAGTTTGAAACTTAATATCTCAGTTTTACAGACAATTATTTTATTGTTATTATTCAATTTGTTAAAATTACATGCAGAGCTTTTACAACTCCATGTTTCACTATAGAAATCAAGTACTCCTGTGCGTGACAGTGAATTTTTTCATAATTTTTTAAAAGCCAAAACTCTGTTTAACCGTGTCGAAAGCTTTTGTCAAAGCGATTAATGTCATGAAAAGATCGTTTTGCTGCCTTTGAAATTTTTTTCGGCTGACAAACAGCAAATATGTCAGCAGTATAACGTTTTGGGCGGAAACCACACTGAATTTTTAGAACAGCTGTTTAGATAAAATGAAGAAAAGATTAGTTCAATAATCGGCACCCTACTTAGCACATGCATACAATGGATTGATGTGTTCAGTGGCTAACTAGAAATTTGTAATTGAGCAAAAATTATTTTAAAAATGCAATGAAATTGTTAATGAAATTTTGACAAATTGTTAATGAAATTTTGACATTCGAAAATGGACTTTCAGATTGGCTGCCCACTTGACTTCAGCACTAGTACTTTATTCACTGTTTTTCTATCAAGGACTGAACCATTTACTTGAGCCACAACAAGTAAGTGATTAATTAATTAAAACTTTTGCTGTTAACCAGAAGTGTATAAAAGTAAATTTAAATTGAAAGTTTGCCATGACCTCCGCTGTGAAGAGGCTGAAAATGATGAACCACACTATTAAAGCTTTGGTCGTTTTGACTGCTATTTCTGGTAATTTGATTTAATTTTCAGTTCAAGTTTAATTTATTGCGGTTTTGAAGTTTATTGAAATCGTTCGAAATAGAGTTAATTTGCCAATTAATGATCTTTTTGCATGCTTCTCTTCGTGATTCCGAACTAGATAATATCATAAATTTGCACAGGCTGTCATCATCACCGGTTCACTAGTGACATTATATAAATCGCTAAATGGCCAAAGTTGTTAATTTGTTAATTTAATTAATCACAATCTCAAGGCGCTTTTGTGGCAGGACTAGATGGTGGTCTCGTTTATAACACGTGGCCAAAAATGGCGGACAAATGGATTCCCGATGACTTAATGGCTATTACTCCTAAATGGAAGAATGCTTTTGAAAATGTGGCTACTGTTCAGTTTATTCATCGACATTTAGTACGTTTTAACCGCGAAAGGTTTTTTTCAGTTGTTTCAACTGGTACTGCTTTTTTTAATTTCAAACGGTTATTTCGTTTTTGTCACACACATTTTAAATAAAAAATTTCTATTTATTTTCAATAAATGTTTTTTGAAAAGGCAGAAAAATTTTATTTAGGGTGAACTAACGGGAGGCTTAATATTCATCACTTGGCTCTACAGCCGAAAGGTTAAACTTCCACCAAGAGCAAAATTCATTATAAACTGCCTGGCTGCTGCCGGTCTTTTGCAGGTATTATCCGTTTAATTAACTGGCAAATTATATGATTTAATTTATCTTCTTCGTTAAAAAAATCATCGTTCCTTTAATCAACACGAAATTGCAAATAAATTAATGTCGATAAATAAATATATGTTTTGTTAACATCTGGTTTAAGCTTGGGAAAAAGAGTGAGCAGAGATGGTTTGCGCCAAAATTGCCCGATTTCTATAAATTATCATGGTAATCATAAGACGCGTTGCTAAAATCAACATTTCTGACATGCTGTGTTGACTGCTCTGTAGAATAGTCGTTGCGGGAAGCATGCGGACTTCGACAAGCTGCTTTGATAAATTAATCTGTACATCAAACTGTTGTACAACTCTTGCACGTTTATTGACCCGCAACTAAATGTAATATTTAAATCTTCGATAGTTCAAGACAGTTCTAATTTTTCTTTTTTTTTAATCATCGTAATTTATTGTTTTCCATTTCCATTGACAATGCAGGGTTTGCTGGGAATAGCCACATTGTTATCATTTGTTCCCGTCCATCTGGCAAGTGCTCATCAAGGTGGTGCTGTAACAGTACTTAGTTTTGCTCTCTGGGTTACACATGAGCTTAGAAGAATGCCAAAATAATTAATTTCATTCATAGTGAACCCAATATTAATGTTTTATTATTTCGATGTTACAAAATATCATGAACGAAAATGTAACATTTAATTATTTTTATGAAGAAATATTACAATCAGAGATGCTAAATTAAAAAAAAATCATTTCAAAAAGATTGATGAAATAAAGAAAACAAGCTCGAAACTTTTTTTGATTAATTTGTAATTAGAGTTCTTAGTAATTAGATTAATTAGAGTTCTCGCTGCTTTTTACTTCATAACCAGTTTTATCTAAAAACAGTTATTGTAAAAAAATCGCAAGTAGCTTGAGCGTCTAGTTCGGCATCATTAGCGATGATGTCAGAAAAGAACCGGCGTTATTTAAGTATTGCTAATTTTGATTAATTATTATTTATATCATCCCGACCAGAAATTCGCACATTCAAGTAAACGGCTAAGCCCGGATAATAAGAAATAAAATTGGAAAGTTTTTGATGAAGTATAGATACATCACATTGGATTGCATTTAGCAAAATGACATGGTGGTGTATCAAATCCTTGAGCTTTCTAACAATTTATTTTAATTAATTCATAACATGTAAAAAATGCGAAGCGGCTTAGTAACGTACGAATAAACGCGCTTTAAAAAAATCTATGGAAGATACGTATTTCAAAACAACATTAAATCTTAGTCTAAAAATCAAATATTGTTCAAAGGCCAAATTTTAAATAATTTAATTGATAAATTATAAACAATTAATAAATAAATTGTTTTGTACCGTGAAATGTTATGCAAAATGTTTCTAACTATTTTTGTGCTAACATTTGGTTTTTACAAATTTAGCTTTCAAACCGAAGAGAGGAGATATCATAGGTGATTTGTGTATTATAATAATAATACTATTTCGCCATCGACAACGTCTACAGCGTTTGAATTTTTGATCTTGCGCGGGTTGCTTCAAGGCCGCAGTCAGGATTTTGGAGTGTTCGGAATTTTTGGAACACAAGACAACGGAAACTCAATAATTATAAATGAAAATTTTAAAAAATAAATTGATTGCTTCCTGCAAATTATAAAAAATATAATTTATAAACATAAATTTAAACGACGCGATTTGTGATCTCAATTGATTGAAAACTTTATAATAGTCTACTTATAAATCGCAAAGTTGAAGCATTAAAATTATTGACTTATAATAAGTAAAACATAATGATAAAATAGAGGATGAAATGTTAGGAATAAAACGTAATAAATGTTCAAAAAGGCTCCACTGGCACCCATCATAGCTCCAACCATGTAGATTGTTGATTTTTTTGAGTCAATTAAGATCGCAAGTTTTACGCTCGCTTGATTTTATGTTCAAAGATGTTATTAAACAATGTAAAAACACTAAAATTAAGCTTTAACTATGTTAATTTTCTCCAGGTGGCTCCACTTGTTACCAGAGATGCCTCATCATCCTATACCATCCTGTCATACAGATGGCCACTGGCTATGTTATGTCATGTGCAAGTGAGAATCATCAAATCGCTTGTAAACCGCTTATTTTTTTATAACAGTAAATTTCTGTACTTAGTCTTAGTTAGAAAATCTATATATTTCAAATTAAAAATATATTCTGCGAAAGTCCATTTAGCCCCACCTACACTCGCTATTCATATACTATTTTGAGGTTTCCCTTTTCATCAACATGTCACGCTCATTGTTTTATGCTAAACAACTTTTTAAGCTCAGTTAGAATGGATCTATGTAATCGGTGTACATTTTGTGGTTGTAGGCGAGGAATACACTCCCGTACTTGCTACTTGAAACGCAAAACTTAGCAAAAAATGTTTACCTATCTATTAACACTTTTAATATACCTAACCAATTTTTTCATAAACTTTTTATTAATGATTTTTGTTTGCATTCTTCAGAAAATGTTTTCCAGAAACGAAAAATGTTTTAGGAATTTGTAGGGAGAAATATTGTCAGTGCGAAGTGGATTTGGATGCTAACTTAAACACGAATTTGAAAAGTTGTGCAGAAGTAAAACACCCGATAGATTATATTATACTCCCTTATTAAAAAAACTTCAAAAAATTTAAAAAACCCTTTTTTAATTTTTTTAATTATTAACAATTATCTATTAATTATTAATTGAGTTAAATCTGCCGATTAGATTTTTCAATTTCAATTGGAAGGAAAAACAGAGGGAATTAGTTAAGTCAAATAATGAAAAATTATCATTTTATGAAAAGAATATAAAAATTTGTTATCTGGATTCGTATTTGAGTAAATTGACTGGATTTCAAGATCAAAATTAAAAAAGTGGCTTGAAAAAGTAATTGCTGTGATTGCGAAAAGTTTCATCCATCTTCGATTGTAGTAGTTTCAACTTTGGACTTAAAAATTCAACCACCCACAGTCATCTTTGTAATTATGCCAAGATTTAATAAATGTTAATTATTAATATATTAGCGTATATGTGATCTGCCGAACCGTACACCCTAACTACCACAATATGTATGACTAATGTGCTGGTTCTCAACCTTTTTAGAGCCGTGACCTCTGGAAAATTATTATTTGACCCCCAACGGAGTCGCTTTTCACAAGAAGAGACCCTCTGCTCTAACATTTTCTATCATGGCTAATTTAATTTACTAATTCACTACTCTAAATTTTATTTGTATAATAAGAAAAATGAACAAATTTTTGTGATAATACATTTTTCAGAAGGAATTTTTTATAATTTAAGTTTGTGAAAGCAAAATTACACAATTTTGATTTAAAAGTACGGTTAAAAATTAAAAATAACAAAAAACTGAAATAAATTGTTAAAAACTAAGCAGATTAATTAATTTGTAGCAAATCCTAGTAACTTTTCGTCAGATTACAATATGGATTGGGGAATAGAATATTGTAATTCACTTATTACCACAAATGTTGAAGGCAATCCTCCTCGTTATGTCGTTTATTTCATTCAATCGATTATTTTTATGCAAAACAAATCGGTACGAATCAATGGGTGAACTAGCCAACGAGTCGATTTCCTCTTTGTTTATGCCATCAAAATCTTCAACGGCAACGACTGTCATCTTAGCTCCGTACATCTTCAACTTCCCTGCTTCCATGGTTGTTTGTGGAACGTTGATATTCGAATTTCCGTCTGTCACAATAACCACGTGATCCGTTGCATCTTGCCTATTGGCCGAAGAATGCAGCACGTCATCCAAAGTCATTTTGAATACTGAAGCCGTGTTGGTTCGTCCGTTAATATGATGGAGATTGAGAGCGTTTAGAACGCTCGGTTTATCATTGTACTGGTCGAAATTAAAAACAAGATAGGATTTATCACTGTATGTCAGTAGAGCCAATTTGGTGCCTTCATTTCTGCTTGGATAGAATACTAAATTATTGACTAAAGTTCTTGAAAATAGAAGAATATCATTAAAAGATTCAGCTAATGAGCCAGATAAGTCTAGAGCCAACACAACGTCCGCTTTATTTAGGCATGCTGAAGAAATATGTAAAAATAAAAGTTTTAAGTTCTTATCATAAACGATGGAGTATTTTGAAAACTTACATTCGTTACAAAAAGGGCCAGTTTTTCCAGGTGGACATATGCAGTCGTACGATTTACCGTGAGAAACGCAGGTTGACCCTGAATCGCACCTGTTGCTCAAGCATGGATCAAACTCTGTCGAAATTCATAGAAAAATGTGGTATACATTTATTCATTCATAAATTTAAATGGAAACCTGGACAAATGATATTTGTCATTATTCTGTCAGCTAATTCAGCGTTCAGTGATCGGAATGAAGTTGAAAGAAAAATATGTTCATCGGGCGGATAATTCACAATGTTTGAAAATTCTAGTGGAACTTGTCCTTCACCTTTTAAAGAAAAGTTAAATTTTAAACCATTTTAATTTAACTTAACAAAATATTATTATTTTGCAAGAGAGCTACGTAACAAAAATAATTTTAGTTTTGAAATCATTATTTGATCATCACCTATTTTTACTGCCAACAAACGAGTGCCCATGTTTTTCAGCTGGACAGCATAGCTATAAATTGACTCGTCATTTGTGTCCACCGATCCAGTTGTCATAATTACAACAAAATTAGCTGCATTCGGTCTATCACCTTTTTCTGGTAAAAAAATGTTTTGTCTAATTTCCCTTAGAGCTTGTGCTAGGTTGGCCTTTCCGTATGTATATTTTGGAAAGTATAACGCCTGTAAGGATTATATACAATATTTTTTCAATTTTTAAAATTATGAAATATTTTTTAAAATGTTTTTTTTTCATCAAGAAAATCATAAACATGTAATATTCCCGGTAGTATTTATAGTATTTAGAAGAACAATCAACTTTGAAAACAATTTTATAAAATTTTAGTTTCTAATTACTCTGTCGTTCTTTTTTTATTGAAAGCATGTGTAGTTTGCCTCACAGATATAAACAAATTAATAAATTTTAAAATTTGAACAGAGAACATGCAAATCATTTGAATAATGCTTTCTAGTGATTCGTGAGAGATAAAAATTGAATATAACGAAGCAAATGCTTCCTGGTTAACGTTCTCATTTAATTTCTAGAGCTCAACTCATTTCTCAATTCAATTCACCGTAACTCTGTAACCCACATATATATCAAACACACAATTGTATTCAATTATATGATGTACTATATCTAAAGACTGATTAGAACAAAGAAAATTCAAATTGAGAGAAATTTGAAAATTAGAAATATTTTCAGTCAAAAAATTTGAAATAAATTTCAACTATTTTTGGAACATACCTTTACAACATCTTCTCGAGACATATAACCATTAAAGTCAAATTCAACAATTGCAGTATCCGAAAACGTTACAAGAGCGATTTTGGATCCATTGTCACCCACGTTCAAATAACTTATCAGCGTTTTCATGAAGTCGAGGCTTGCTGCAAAACGCTCCGGTCGCATGTCGTTTGATTTGTCAATCACAAAAACAATGTCGTATTTGACTGCACATTCTTGAAATGTAATTTTTGTTAGTAAAATGTTAAAATTTTGTTTAAATAAAAGCTTTTCATACTTTTATCGCAAAATTCTCCACTTTGGGTTGGAGCGCAGATACATTCGAAACCATTAATTTTGTCAACACATGTACTTCCATCTCGACATCTGCTTGACGAGCAGTCATTTTGCGCTAAATTTGAAAACTTGAATAAATCAAAGTTGAGTCATTAATATGAATGACTAACAATTGCAAAGAGATTCAATGACTTTTGGTAAAACTTCTTCATTCAATGCATCAAACGTTTTAGCGACAAATGTATTTCTTCCATTCAAATTTGATGACAGAAGATTCATTTGTTCTAAATTCTCTGAATACTAATGAATGTAACGTTTTAAAATCTGCCAATAAAAATATATTTAAAAAATGTAAACTCGTTACTTCTGAAAGCTGGACTGTAACATAGAGAATGGTAATCCCCATTTTTCGGACAGTAGCTGAATATTTGAAATCTTCATACAAATTTTTTAATTGCCCAAACGATATGATAACAAAAAATTTATTTCTTTGTTTGGTGCCATATTTTTCAAAGAATGATATTCCATTTGCAAACATATTGGAAAGACTATTTTTTTCATAAAACGATCTGACGATTTAAAAATTAAGTTGATTGAAAGATAGTCTGTATTGAAGTAATTTAAGAAACGTACAACATCTTAAGAAGTTGAATTGAATCCCAAGCGTTGCTGATGTCAAAGCTAGTAAGCACGTTTTGATTTCCATTGGTCTCCTGGACCATCATGTTGAGGACATTAGACAAAGTCTGACCGTGGTGCATCAACAACCTTATAAATTTCATGACATGTTGGGAGTATAACTCAGGATTCAACGATTTTGACGTCTCAACACCAATTATCACGTCTCCCAGCTGACACCCTGCATCAACAAATTTTAATTGAAAGCAAAAATTGTTTACACAAAAATTTAATTTTAATTATTATTTACTTGATCTACAATCAAAAGAACCAAAGCCACCGGTGCAGCCGCAATAATAAGTCAGGTAATCGTAACCACAGTATCCATTGTTCATACAAACTTTATTTTGGCAGAACGTTTTTCCTGTTTCAGAGTTTGTGTTTTAGGTTTAGAAATTTTTTTTATGTTTGTCTTTGTCAATTGTATCAAACACTCAAGTATTAGATAATTTAGTTAAAACTCATTATAATTACTAACTTATCCATATAACAGTTTTTTTAAACACTTCATAATTCAGAACAAATTTTCAAAAATTGACTTCATCAAAAATTTTAAAACTTTCATTTCAGTAACTTAAATAATGACCAGTCTTAATATTAATAGTGCAACATAAAAATACATAATAGCAATAATCCGTTACGTCTACTAATAGACACCAACGCATCTCACTATCTCATTATTCAACAAACAATTAATCTCCTAACCCTTAAACAAATTAAAAACCGCCATGCAAAGTTTGAAAAAAAAGAAAGCAGGTAAAACAATGAACACCCAAACAAAAAAATTATTTTAACAGAATTGTCAAAAAATTTCAACGAATAATCATTATAAAATCCGGTTGAAATTTTACACCCAAACTTTCAACTCTAGTACATTTCATTTCGTTATGCTAACAAGACCATACACAATTCTTAAATAGTCAGATGCCGACGGGAACCTTAAAAAGTGACTCGTTGATAAGGGCACTTTGTTCCATCTAGCCTGAAGCACATTCATTAAACACGTCGACGCTAATTTTTAAAGGTGGTGTGGAAGTTTATTTAAAAATAATTACATTTTGTTTTATTGAGCTTACGTTGCATAGTCAAATTTCAAAATGTATGATTGCTTAAAATTATGAATTTGAATCAAAATTTGTTACGACTTGTAAGCGGTTGAAACATTTTTTGTTTAAATAACGATTTTGTATCAATTTGTACATACGTTATCATAAATGATGTGTTACAAATAATTAATTTTATTGACGTTTTTAAGAATTAATTTTCAATAAATAAATTATATTATTAAAATTTCTTAAAATATTTGTTAGCCTGAATTGTGTCCTTAACATAATATTTTAATAAATTTTTGCTTTAAAACGGCAAGTTAACTTTGAAAAAGAGTTAACATCGGTTTACTGGAACAGCTACATAATCAGACCACACTGACTAGTCATGTTGATGTAGTACAATTACCCGGTTTCTCTTCATTGTACCATACGTACATGTGATGCACATAACTGCACCATTCGCTTCTTTATAACAATGTACACTTTAACTGGCTTGGAGAGTTTCTAGTGAAATTGCGTGGCCACCAAAAAATTATGTGACAATTAGTCGATACTCTTAAAAAGAACATGAAAAATATAAAATAATGCAACAAAAAAAGAAAAATTGTTTCGTCTAACGATATTTTTATGCTGCAACAAAATGTAGGAACAACAGTGCGGTTGGTAACACAATCATCTGCGGAAGAAGTTTTCAAAATTCTTTTGATTAGATGAGCAATCTATAAAATGTTGCAATTCAAGCCGGCTCACACTCACAGCTCACACTCACCGAGCAAGGTAGCTTAATTTTTATTGATCATAGGATTAAATTGTCAGACAGGTTCACTACGACATGTTACAATTGTTTGCGTTAAATGAAAATGTAAATGTTCATGATTATTTAGTTTGTTATTCAATTATATTTTTCAAATTCAAAACCAAAATCTTTTTACTTTTACTGGAAAAAGCCTCTTTTAAAAAATTAAAAAAATTCCTGGGAACGCTTAAGTAAGGGCGTTATTTAAATAAATAAATTACAGTGTTGGCTAATTAAGCTTTCGTAATTAGTCTATAAACTAAAAATATAAGTAATTAATAAGCAAATGAAACCTCTGCAAAATGATTGTTGAAGAGCCGGAATTCTAGAAACCAATTCGTCGTAACTATTTAGAAAATAAAGTGATTGGTCGGTCGGGTAGCTAGCCACTTGATATAACTCGTATTTACTTATCCATTTGCCAATTACCATTATTTCAACAAGAATGTACATGTTGGTTCGCAAAAATCTGAAACAAATTTATACAAACTTTAATTAATTTCAATTTAGACACGATTCATCAATTGATCACCAACACTGCATTTTCAATCGCAGCCTTCTCCTCACTCGAACCTCTGTTAGTGATAATTATTACAATCCTCTGTCGATAGTCCAAATTTAAAATCTTCCCGGCAGTTTTTAAAGCTTCAGCTAAATCTGCCCTCTGGTTGTTCTGCACGGTTATTGTGTCCACCATGTCAGAGAAAGTTGTTGAAGAGTTGAAAATGTTCAGAGGAATTTTGTACTCAACGACATTTGAGTAAACAATCACTCCAATGCGTGAGCTTTTGAGACTGACACCTAACGAAAAACTTTTTAAAAACAATTTGACTTTCAACACGTCTTGGTAGCTTATTATGGAACCATCGATTAAAAATAAGATATCTTTATTTTCTTCACAAAATGACTCTTAAAAAAAATTTTTAAATAATTTTTAATGGTTTGTTATAAATTAAATTAAAATGAAACGTCAACAACAAGAATGATAAACTAAAAACTACTTTTTCATATGATTTATATCAGTGACGTTTATTAACCTGTGCAGAAAAATGTTAAGTTGTTTTTTTCCACTTGTTACTTTTATTAACGACAAGCACCAAATGCTTAACATAAATTAAATACATAATGATAAATATCTTATCCTAGCATTTTGGACTACAATTGCCTTGGCATATTCTTTCCGATAAAAACTTCGAATTTAGGAAACACATTCAGTATATTTTATACGGGGAACCATCAGGTTGCAAATAAATGTTGGCTGTCTCTGGGTGACTGATTATGTATGAACGACGCAAACGCTTCCAGCGGTTTGGTCAATATTTTTATTGCGCTAACAAGTATCGTCTTGCTAGAGTTTCAAAATCTGACAGTATTTCACATTACATAATTACATAAAAAATGACTTGTATTGGATATCTGCCGAGACCGAACTACATTTAAAATGGTGCTAAAAACGGAAAATTGTTTGATTGAAAGCTCATCAGTTTATTTGAAAGAGTTTTTGATGTCCCAAGCCTTTTCGATTGAAATTAAGCAAAGCAAAATCTTGTGTACCCTCAATTCAATACTTTTTATTTTGGGGCGAAAATGTTTTTTGCTGCTTCCGCCAAGATTAAAAACTCATGGCCAATTGATTTAAATTGATTCATTTACCAGCCTTAAAGTTTGCAAAAAAAGTTTAAAACATAATTTCTTCATAATACGAAGCATAGTTAGAACTTTTGATGACATAACTAAACAGAAGTGCAATAAAAATCTACAATACATAAAAAGTTAACTTCACCGTTCAAAATTAAGTTTCTAGTTATTTAATGAAAATTGTTACTTGGTGTTGAGTCTTCAGTAGCTTGGCACGTGTCTGCCACTATTTCTTCCAGTTGCGAGTTTAATTCAGAGTAAGTTGTTATATTATGTAAAAGTTGCTTATGTTTGTGTTCACTTGCGATTAATTTCAATTCGTCCAGTTGCAGCCAGAGACCTGTTATCGCGATAACGATGATTGTTATCTTGTCTTCCCTGGCCTCTCTTGCATACTGGGCTACATATTGACCATCAATTCTAAAAAAATTTATCATTTTAAATTTATATCAATTTAATTGTATAATGATGTATTTCAAAAAAAGCTACTTTGATTCTCCGTCAGATATAAATATTCCCACTTTAGTAACTCCTTTCCGCGCTTTCCTTGTAAACATGTCGTGCATTTTCCAAATTGCTCCAGAAATGTTAGTATCTCTGTCGTATGGATAGTCGATTTTGTGGATAGCGTTTAAAGTGGCCGCTGTATTGTTATTGTAAGTGTCCAGTGAGAACATCTCTTCAGCGATCGATTCAAACCTTATAAAGCCGTACCTCATATCTGATGTCTGGCTTGACAGGTTGGAAACGACAGATTGGACAAACTGCAGCGCCTAAATTTCATAAAACTTTATTGAGCTTCTTTTATCAAATTACAAAAACAATATTCATTATTATTTATTTGCCAAAAATATTTATTGGTTATTAACAAAGCTAAATTTAGGAAATTCGCCAAAGTGATCCACCAACCAAGAGCCAGTTAGCATACTTGACGCTACCAGATGCATCCACCACAAACACCACATCAGCCTTCCTACATATTTTCGCTACGTCTGTTTGGCCTCCAGCAAAATAAAATAAAATAATGCAAACCAGTAAATTCCATTTCATTATTATAATTTTGATTCGAAGACACAATGATGAAACTCCAAAATTTTCAATAAAGTTTTTAATTATTTATATTACATTTGATCTTTAAAAATTGCTAGCTTTAAAACATTTTCATAAAATTAGTAGGCAAATTTTACTGGTGAATAAAAATTTTAGCAAATATTGATCTATTTTAAGACAGCAAACATTAAGTACTAAGGAGATCTTGTTTGTTTGAAGTATTTGAATTGCACTAATGCAGCGTCAACATTGAAATGTCGGCAAGTTAGGTCGGATGGCACTCTGAAGGTTGTGCATGAACACAGACATACTGGGTTCGAATACGCATTGAAACTTGTAAATCCTAAGTTGTTTAATGTTCCTAAGCCGGTAAGATGGTTCTTTAAAATGGCGTTTAAATGGGTGCTTTGTTATTTTAATTGTCAAATGTAAAAAAGGGCAGTATTGCTTTTAAATAGCTCAGTTTTTTTCCTTATTTTTTTCTTCTGTCATTTTTTTCTTCCGTCATTTTGCGTATCTATTTTACTTTCATTTTTATTTAATTTTTACTTTTTGCTATTTTTCTATTTTTAATCTGTATCTTATCTATTTATTTTTCTCTCTCCTCTTTTTCTCTCGACCTCTTCATTTTCTTTTTTTATTTCCTTCTTTCTTTGTTTCTCTTTTAATCTTTATATTTCTTTCTTAAACCCATTGTGCATTATTTCTTGGTTTTCGTCACTTTTTCTTTTTATCTCTCTTTTTCTCCTTTTCCCTCTCTTTTTTTCCCTTTTCCTCTTTCTCTCTTTCTGGTGTGAGAAATGAAGATTTAAGCATACAAAATCATTCCTTCGAAAAATGATTTAGAGTTGGTCAAATTTTTTAAAGTCAGGGTGAGTAATGAGAAAGTTGGACACAGAACAACGAAGCACAAACTTATCACTAACGAGTGAAATAAGTCAGTAGAAGAAGTACAGTTCAACTTTATTGACGAGAACTTCATCCGTCAATAAACATCAATAGAAACGTTTAAAAAGCGATTGAAGCAGCTTCTGTTTGAACAGACCTTTGGTGGCCGTGCTGACATTTGAAAAGTGTGAAAAGCATTGGTCCTAATACAGAGCCCTGAGGAAATCCGGTAGATAAGCAAAAAACAGAAGATACCTGTGTGCCAAATATAATAAATTGGGGGCGGTTGGGACATTTGTTTATCCGGGCACCTCTGACGCTATGCCTAAGGGCGCTCATAAATGACATTATTATTATTATTATTTTGCTGAGTGTGTGTGCTTGCTATTCTTTTATGTTATTTGTGACTGCCTGTCGATTTGAATAATAATTTCTTTCGGTTTAAATTATTTCCTTTTCAATTTGTGCACTGAAATTCCGTTTTTATGTTTTGACAGATATTTTTTTAATTTAAATGTACATCAACAATATTTTCATAGCCGCTCAGAAAACGTTCCTCACTTGAACGTTATAAATTAATCATTTGTGCCACAAATGCTTCAATATCCATATAACGTGAATACACATTTATATATACACACACAGACGATGCAAGCGTTCGAGCCAGGTTAGAGTGTGATAAGTCCAAACAACTGAAGACATGGCACTCCTACCGTCTGAGCTAACTCGTAGACGACTCCGACAAATATATTTATAGTATGAACGTGCGCCGTGTCATGTGTTTGTTTGTGTGTTTGTGTGTGTGTGTGTGTGTGGTGGTACATGTGGACGAAGCATGCTGTTCAAACTGATGTTTGCTTAATTACTCTTTTATGTTTTCTTGTAATAATAGGCATAAATTAGCGTTCCGATCGCAAACAAGTCATTAAAAATTTTCGCAAATATACTCAATGTTAATTTTAAAAATTTTGATTGCGGTATGAAAAATAAACCAAAAATGTTTGCGTCCAATCCTTTGTGCGTTCAAGTAAACATAGCCTTCAAATGAATAGAAAAAAGTTTCGCGTGTTTTCTCAGACTATATTTTGATTGAATGAATTGAAAACTTTAAGAGTAGACTTCAAAAAAATCTAGGACTCTTGGTTTCTGTGCGCAAGATTTAGCAGGGATGGTGGTGGTAATAATAATAACAGTTAATAAAATTACAACGATATTAATATGAATACCGAACTTTAGATGGTCGAACCAAAACAACAATTTGACTCGTTTATGGAGTTCTTGAATATGAATACCATTTAGTTAGTTAACGCAATGTAATGTGTGTCGATGGCAAATAAAATCTTTCTCGTGAGACTAATGGTAGAAAGAAAAAATTTAGGATGAAATGAAAGTCGTGTTGGTATTTAAATAGTTGATTTACTTACGTGAATCTTGTACACATAGTACATATATGTGCATCATATCATATATCCTTTCGTGTATATATATGTGTGTGTGTGTGGGCGTGTGTGTGTGTGTGTGTGTTTTTGTGTGTTTATGTATGAGTATATTTACATAAATTACATTTTTTGTCATCCATAGTGTTGCAAGAGGCCATAATTTTCTGTTGGAAGAAATTGAATTTTGATGAATTTTTATCTATGACATAATTTTATCAATGAATAAGGATTCATATATTGTTGTTGCTAAAATTTCTTTTGTTTTAGAAATGTTTTAATGTTCTATCAAATAGCCATTTATAGTTTTTTTTGCTTCATGGTTTTGCAGTGTGACTTCTTATTTTGGTACATTCAGAGTTTCGAAGCACGAACTCACGGAGTCCAGTATAATCTATGCGTCTGACTATGTGTATATTATTATTATTGGCATTTAATTATGATTAATTATAATGAAAAATTTTTACTGGCGCTCAATAACCATTAAGATGCTTTGCGAAAATGTTCAAATGGCAGTAGCATCCTAAATTTTTCCTGAGACAATTCGTGTTTTTGTAGATCATTAGGAGAGCTGTTCTAAAGTATCAGCCCCGCAATTGTAAAGTTTCATGCCAACTGTTTTTTAATTGGTTTATCAACCTGTGGTAGCACATATGGTAACACGTCACGTGTACAACTGTTGACGTCAGATCAGGCCATCCTGATAACGAAGTGGCGATGAAAATTTAATAAATTTGTTAGACAAGTAGTCTAAAGCAAAATTAACCAGACTTATAAAAACTAATAGTTATATATATATAACAATAAGTGTATACATATAAATATATTATATATGTTAATAATTATATATATATATATATATATATATATATATGTAGTTAGGTAGGAGTAAGACCTTCTGATATGCAGCTAACGAATTCTAAAGCATTGCTTGCTTTGTTAATCTTGTAACATATCTCCTCGAGATTGCGAATAATAATCCTTTTAAAGATTCGTTTAATTTGTTGATATTAAAAAGAAACCAACGTTTCAGATATCTAACTAGATTAACAACGCTGTGGAATTCAGTAATAACTGCGTGTATATACATACATACATATATATATATATATATATATATATATATAATCGATCAATTTCCTCAATTTTAACAATATTCTCGTCATAATTATTTTTATTATCATTCTCAAAAAAATCAACACCATTATGGTCGTAACTGCCCCAAAAAATTAAAAATTGATCAAATTATTTTAAACGAAGAACGTTCATTACATTGTGAAGTGTAAGTTGTAGTTGTAAAAAACCTCTTGTAGGTCTAGGGAAGTTAACAAAAAGACACAGAAAACTTGATGTTGTTGATAAATGATCCTTGACATAAAATACTATTTGAATCCTAAATTTGACGCATGTCCAATTACAAAAAATGAAAAAAAACAATGTGCTTGGTATGATTAGTAAAACTTATTTTCAAAAGTCGCGCCGAAAATATGAAGTTAAAGTTGTCAAAAGCCGTCAAAGTTGTCAAAAAGTGTATCGTAATTTTCAGTGTTTGCTGTCAATAAATCAATATATAAATAGACTCATTTTGAAATCATTTGCCCCGATGTGCATCTTAATGATTAAATAACATTTTTTCGGATTTCATTTGATGTAAAACAATGAATATAAACACGTCGTTCTAATATGACAATGATAATTATAATTCTCAGTTGTAAACTATTTATACATGTATATAATATTCAAAGTTGCATATATAGAGTTGAAGAAATAGTTTTTACATCGTAATTTATAAGCAATTTGTATCACAAACAAATCTTAAAGACTTCCCTGCTCTCAAAATCGCTCCGTTGACGATAAATTTAGTCATTTTTGAAAATTTTGTTGTTGCAACATTTTAATTATTTTAGACATGTCAGAGTTTAACTTTCTTTCAAGGTCTTTCAGTTGCCTGTAACGAGCAAATATAGGTTTTATGTTTTTATTAGATATCAATTTTGTTCTTAAATCGACAAAATATAAAGAAAGCTATTGTCAACTCACAATGATAGCAATGATAATCTGTTTTCCAGACCCTTCGATGGAGCAGTTTGATAAAAGTTTGTGCTATCATTAACATAAACTTGTCCAACAGAATTGATTTGATGAGAAATAGTTGGTTTGCCATCAAAACTGGAAGAGGACAAGCCGATTGAAAAATAATTGTTAGACCGCCCTTGCTTTGGAATGGTAAAAAATAACAAAAATAGCAAAATAACTTCTATATATAATGTTCAAATAAACGAAATTATATCGTGCCATTTACTTGGCAGATCTACATCTACTTAAACATGAGAAATTATTTTCATTTTATTTTTCAATTCATTCTAAACCTCCATTCCAAAAATTTATGTCAGACACGGAGAGGTATAAAAAGGTTTGAATAATTTATCAAATTTATGTTTTTCCCATTTTAAAAATTTATTTTATAGGCTGACTTTATAAGGTGTGATGTCCATAGAAGCGTATTTCGTAGCGGATTCATTTTTAGATCTTCTCGCTTTATTTACAATGCTGTTCAAGGCGATCAATTTTTCTGTAAATTTCAATTAATATTATTAAAATAAATAATTACAAAATTTTAATAAAATTACCATCTATCTTGCGATATTTAATGTATAATTTAATTTATAATTTATTTTGTATAATGTTCTAAACATTGGAAAATGAAATAGAATAATCTTTAAATAAACTTGCTTGCGATGTTTTTCTTCCCTTTACTGTCAAATGAATGTGAAATATTTTTTATTTCAAATTCCGGATAATTTTCAGCCTTTTCCGGAGAAATTTCTAGGATACCATTCCCAATTCCTAATAGACTTACGTTTTCTTCGCTACTGTTCATGGCGTCCGCCTCATCAAAAAACGAATTGTTTGCTAATCTCTGAAAATATCGTATATTTAATGGGTAATTAATGTTTGAACTCTTTAGGGTTGCGTCTTGCTCCTGGGAAAATTCTTGCTTATTTGAAGTTGAATCTCTTTTATTTGATCTAGAGGTATCTAATAATATTGGTTAATATAAAATAATAAAGTTTTATCAAACCATATTTTGAAGAGTATTAAACAAAGAAACAGCATATCAGGAATATATTACTTATTTTAGTTTAACATTTGACAAAAAATTATTAAATGACATTTCTATAACTGATAACAAACCAAAATTTTTATGTTCCCTATTAAAATTTACAGGATGCCTGGAGATTCTTCGATTTTTTAAAAATGTGTAATTATGACCGACTGGTACATTTTCAAATAAGTGGTCCGAACATATCTCTTCCTAAAGAAAAATATTTAGTAGAGTAAAATAGAGAAATATTATATCGATTCTGAGTTTTGACAAAGAAACTACTTACATCTCGTAGATCAAAGGTAATTTCTATATTTTTTACAAAACGTTCTGCAAACTCGGAATACATTTCTAACACGTCCAGCAGGTCATCTCTGTGTATCTTGTGAAGATCGCAGTAGGTTAACGATCGAACATTGCAACTCGATTTTCCAACTGTCTCATGCTTGCAGACATTCTCTCCAAAGACATCATCCTTTCCTGAAACAAATGCAACTAGGAAACTCAAAATAACTCTATTGACAGCTAAGCCAACCTAATATTGCAACAACGACATCATCCTTCAAGACTTCAATAGACCCCCTGGACACAAAATACAATGCATCAAGGATGTCCCCTCTGTGCACCAAGGTGTCGCCGGGAGGGGCATGGGTTGTTTTGAATTTCATCGAGAAGGCTCTCAGACACCCTGGACTTGCTCCTTAAGTCGTTGGGGAATAATTTTCAAATAACAAATTAAAATATAAGGCAACGCAAAATTTTAAAAAATTACAATTTTCATTTATTTAAAAATATTCAACCTCTTATAAAAAATGGAAAGCTGGAAAAAGACTAGCCTATAAATTTAGAAACATTCAAACACGTATTGAAAGGTATAAGGCGGATGACATAGCAGGTGCCCATAGAGGAAGATTTAAGCAAGTAAATTTAAGATTTAATAATTTAATACTGAAAAAGCTGCTGAAACGTGCTCGCACATCAATCGAACTATTTTAGTTTTCACGACTTATAAATTAAATTCAGTTAAAATAAAACACTGTCTATGAAAACTAAATGTAGAAAGCTGAAAAACAAATTAGCAGTTTTTTTTATAAGGGCGCCAAAATGTATAAATTTCAGTCAAGGGACTCAAGTGAGGGGTTCGACACGGACGCTTTTTAAAATAACTACGCCACTATTTGTAACTATGCGATTGCAGACTGGAGACCACCGAAATGAATAATTAAGAAACGAAGACACAATCAACTGAAACTATAACTAAGATCAGTTGAAGACTATAGAGGAGCAGAGTCAATGAGATTAGGATTTTTATCTCCTTCCATTGAACAAAACATACACATAGATCGAACGCAAATTGCTAAGAGCAAAATTTCATAGTGGTTTGCATGGGAAGAGATCTACCTGACAAACATACATTTAGAACGCATTGACGCAATTGAAAGCATGGAAATAAAGTCAAAACAAAATAGCATAAAAATAATAAATCTCAAAATTAATGTTTACCTTTAAACGCCGGGGAGTTCTGCAGTAAAACTCTGTTCAAGTGCAAGCATATGTCGGCCTGCAAGCAGTCTGGAAAGCCTTTGAGAACCTGTCAAATTAAATGTTTCATGCGTTTAATATCTTTAATTTTTATATTTAATATTGTGTTTAATGTGTTTAGTTGTACGTACAACACACTAGAAATATTTCTTAATAACTCTTTTGAATACATAATAATGCTGTAACGTCATTGGCTCTTGATGGATCGAACGAGCGTAAATATTAAATTTGCGCCGATTCCTTCATTCAGATTGCTTATTTAATTACAAAAAATCGTTCATCCACATTATTGAGTTGAACGTCTCGTCTCAGACTCGCTTATTTAATTATCATCGGCCGTAAAGCGCTAATTACGTTAATTTCATTAACGGTGGCTGGGCTGAGGTGGGGCGAGCGTTCACCATGCCCGTTTGTTAGCAGATGTTTTTAGAAGATCATTTTTAAATATTTGGCTCCACGAATGCTTGCATCGAAACTTTGGAAACATAAGTATGTATTTGTGGGCGTCTATTTCAATAAAAGTTTTAGCAAACCATAAAAATCAGGCGCTATGCTAGAATTTCTAAAATCAATTAACAAGTCTTACATTGCTGTCCATATGGACTGAAATTTAAACTTAAAACTAAAATTATTCATGATTAGATAAGTATTCATTTAAAAAATCATAATAATTAAATGATATAACATTTAAATAACACACACACACACGCACGCACGCACACAAGAGTGCAACAGGTGGTTTGGTTCATTACAATGGAAAAAACATTCATACATATCTGCCAAAATGTTTCTAATTAGACAGCCATTAACCGAATAGCCTAACTTATGAAAGATGAAACGTTATTTTTAGAAAAATAGCTCAGTTGGAGGAAATAAAAATATGAGGAAAGCAAACGGAAAATTAAAAAAAACTTTGAAAGTCGATTTCAAATATACTGAAAATGCACTGCTGGAACGCTGCTAAGAATTATATATATGAATAGTATACATATACATATATATATATATATTATATATATATATATTATATATATATAATATATATATATATACATATATATATAATATATACATATATATATATATATATATATATATATATATATATATATATATATAATCTTACCATATTCATATCGATGCCGTTGGTATAAGACCAAGCATGCTGGAAATACTCCTCCAATCTCTGTCTCAGAGGATTTGGTATCTGATGGAACCTTTGAAAAACATTACGTTGCTGCTTGAGACATGCGTCATTATAATAATAACAATAATAAATAATAATAACAATAATAATAAAAAAAGAAGAATGCAATTTATGAAGGGCAGCGCTTTTGAAGTAACTGATTTTTAGAGTTGCACAAATTTTTTTGAATTTTTATCTTGAGTATGTGATATTCTAAATTGGAGCATTCTTTGCATGATTCCCGTTTACATTTTGTGGCAGACGGATGTATCGCGTATTTTTTAACTTCCTAAATCGTTATTCTCTAGTGCAGTTATTATCATAATTGAAATCGCAATCGATGAAAATTCTTATTCATTTATTTGGTTCTACTTATAGTTAACATCAGTGACGGATCTAGACAACTTTGACGAGGGAGAAGACCAAAATTTTGAAAATGTTCAAGTTTTTACGACGGAGGCCAAAATTTTCACGGGGGCAAAAATTTTCATGGGATGGTGAGGCCAAAATATTCACGGGATGGTGAGGCCGAAATTTGTGGTAGTGAGACTGACGGACTTTTTTTTATTTATCACGTCCAATTTTTGGTCGATTCTCTACCTAAAATTGTTTCCTGACTTTCATTAAAATACTCCTCACTGCTCAACTCTAGATCCGCAACTGGTTAACACATGATTTCCAAAATCTTCTTTGCAATTTTAATCGGTAACAAGTCGATACAGTGCTGACATTTTATATTTGTAATTCAAAACATATAACTGAATAACAACAACACACGTTTAGACGACATTTTCCCCGAGATCGGGGGTTGCCGTTTGGCTACCTATGATGAAACCGAAATACCCCTCGACGCCATCCACATTTGTCACTCGCCTCAGTATCACGCAGTCCTTCTCCACCTGCTCTCTCCATCCCAATCGCGGACGACCCCTTCCTACCACTCCTTCAACCTCGAACTCCAACGCTCGCCTAATCCCGACCCTTTCATCCCTTCTCAACACATGCCCATACCACCGCAATCTCGATCTCCTTATCAATGTCACAATGTCCTCATTCAGTCCCATCATCGACATCAGCTCTGTACTACTCCTCCTATCCTTCACTTTAACCCCACACATCATCCTCACCATAGCTCTTTCAGCCCTCTGCAGTACACTTTCCTCCTCTCTCCTCAACACCCAAGTTTCACCACCATATACCATCGCTGCTCTCACACATGCTTTATATACCCTCCCTTTCATCTTCACTGATCATTTCTTTCCACACAATACCCCACCCAGTTCCCTAAATTTCATCCATCCCACACGAACTCTAGCCGTAACTGCGCTCAAACATCCTTCATCCGCGTTGAGCTTATCTCCTAAGTAAACAAAGCTTTCCACTCTTTCAATACCACCACTCAACCCCGTCCTTGCGTCCGTCCTATTAATCACACCATGAACACACTTCTTACATTTGAACGTGCCTTCCACCTTTTTCAGTGCCCCCCTCACACCACTACATCTCTTATGCACCCATTTCTGACATCCTATACACAATACCGAGTTAGCCTTCACTCTCCTGTCACATACCCCACAGGGGTCTATTTTACTTATCACTCGCTCCCCACCTTCCCCACTCACCATTACCTTCGTCTTACCAATATTAACTTTTAACCCTTTCTTTTCAATAACACTTTTCCATCTGTCAAATTTTAACTGCAATTCTTCCATGCTATCAGCCATCAAGACTAAATCATCTGCATACAAAATCTCAAATAACAACCCCTCCATTATGTTTCCACACACAACATCCATCACAATTGCAAACAGAAACGGTGATAACACTGATCCTTGATGCACTCCTACCTTAACACTAAAAGCGTCCGACATCCCCCTTCCAACCCTCACCTTTGTCTTTGCCCCTTCATACAGCTGCATCACAGCTTTAACAAGTCTCTCATTCACTCCTTTCTTCCTCAACGCCCATTCAATGACCTTCCTCGGTACTCGATCAAAAGCCTTTTCTAGATCCACAAAACACATGTACAATCTTCGTTTCTTCTTTCTATAATTCTCCTGCAACATTCTCAACGCATCCACCGCTCCCCTACCAGGCATATAACTGAATAAAATATATTTAACTACAACTTTTTATTTAGTTATTTAGTTTTATAATATCATTTAATAATAAAAAATCTTAGGCTTTGAAGACGGCTTGAGGGCGAATAGTGCGAGTCTTGCAAAAATTCACGAGCTAAAACTAACGTGTGGAGTCTTGTGTGTGTGTCTGTGTATGTCTGTGTGTGTGTGTGTGTATGTGTGTGTGTGTGTGTGTGTTGATGTACATAATAAATAAAAAGAGCTTGTAGCTTAAAAATCTAAAAAAATTACTCTAAAATAGGAGAGGCATGATGATTTTAAAGTTATTGCATTGCATTGTTATAAACACACTTACGTGTACCTACATCAGAACGAAAATGAAAACTACATGAAAGTAAAAAAATTGCAATCAAATCCATAATAAAAGGGAAAAAATAATAAAAACACGAGTTATAGAGTTATTCTCATGAATTGACAATCAACAGTTATTTATTCATATTAGTAAATTAACGTCAAAATTATGAAGAAAAAAATTTATATGCCATTTAAAAGAACCTGATGAATTCTTTGACCTTCTGCATTTGCGTATGGTACCTGGCCGTGCCAGAGTAGAGACGTTGGATTATGGCGCTTACATTTCCAAATATGCTTGCATACATCAAAGCTGAAAAGCATTATTTTATTTTTAAAATCGGCAGCATGCACCCGACTACTATGTTCTGTTCTGTTTTGAGATGCATATTTTCAAAAAAAATTTGGTTTATAATATCAAATTCATTTTTTAATAAATAGTTCTTTAGCTTATAATCGATATTGGTGGCTAATTTAAAACAATTAAGTAACATAAATTCATTTCACGAATTAAACTTTATCATGAGTTTGTTTTATTTGGTTTGTTTGTATCAAATCAATACAAACGGGGGAAAATAACATGTTCAAACTGGCAGCACAGCTCTCTAAAATGAGCGAAAGATAACTACGGCGTTTGTGCGTGCGTGCGTGCGTGCGCGAGTGCGTGTGTGTCTGCATGGGTGTGAATTTTCTTTTATGACTATTTATATCTATATACTCATTTTCAAACTCAAATATTGAATTCGTTGGAAACAATCAATTTGAAAAAAAAGTTGAAAAAGTATTGCACTTCTTTTCTATATCTATTTTTTCTACTTTGCAGATACACAACCAAATACAACTTAACCCAAATAGACTAGCGGAGTACATTTTGTACCTTTTCAAAGTGGGCATTCTCATTGGAGTAACTCAGACAGTGGTAGGCAGGTGCAGACGTGAATAACAGAAATAGAAAACCAATTCGCGCCTTTATATTATTTGTTCAAGTTAGTCATTAACGTCGGATCGAAAATAAATAACGTTAATAATAATCGTTCTGTCTGATAGTTGCATGTGCAACTTAATTAACCTTTTACATCAGCGTGTTTGTTTGGCTGATCATCCAGCGAATGAGCAGGTGCAAAAATGAAATAGTGCTGTACATTTCTAGGTACCAACAAATCAACCTTTGCATTTAAAATTACATAAAAATATTTGATTTGCAATAACAACAAATATAATGCAATTTAATTATATATTATATAAACTGGTCTACAGAAATTTTTTTAACTTTAAGGCAGCCATCATTTTAAGATAGGCCCAGAACAATATTTTTTCTAGATCTAACTAAAAACGGTTAATTAATAAACAAAAATTAATTAATTAACTGCGTCTAGTAAAAATTTTAATTATAAAAAATTTTAAATCTGTACAAACATCCAATGAGCATGACGCAGATACTAAAAACTTTTTCTGAATTTGTGTTTGGTGACACATTTCCGAAACCAACACTCGTCAAACTGCTGAACGTAAAATACAAAGCCGTTATGTATTTCGATTGGAGGCTTGGACCACTTAGCGTTTCATTACTGTAAGGCTGATTTGTTGTTTTAGCCAACTCATCCAACCAACCAATCCTAGGACCCTAAGATTAATATCATTATATTGTTCTTTACTGTGTGCAAGCAAGACAAAACATTGTTTTTTGTAAACTTACGTTGGAATCTGATCTTTCTATATTTCCTATGGCATACCAAATGCACGCCAACCAATGCGCAATTAGAGCAAATGTTGCCATCAACAAAACTAGCACAGCAGCTCCATATTCGGAATATCTATCCAGTTTGCGAGCTACTCTGACTAGTCGTAAGAGTCTCGCTGTTTTTAATAAACCAATAAGGGTTGTTGTCTGAAACATTTGTAAATTAATGCATTTCACCAATCAAAAAATATATATATATAAATATATATATATATATATATATATATATATATATATATTGAAATAGTTGTAAAACATCATTTAAATCAAATACTTATAGCTAGTCAGATCTTAACTAAAGTTACGAGACTGACAACTTAGGCTTACTTCGTCTGTATTCGATCCAAAAAGCAAAAGATCAAAGGGAATGGCTGCCACCATGTCAATTATAAACCAACCTTTGAAATAATGAATTGCTATTTTGCCTGCGTTTGTAATGACTTCTTCGTTCTTATTAACATAGGTCGTCCTGAAGTTGATGAAAATGTCAATTATAAACATGATGTCCACGATCAGGTCGATTATTGTCAGCGGATCCTTTTGCTGAAACGTGCATTTGCATTTATTGATTTTAATTTATTCATTGCAAACAATGACGAAAAAATGTAGCTGGCCAACCTTATATCGCTCAAGAGCGCTTCCGCTTAATTTTCTTTTCTCGTTGTCACTCAGTAGGAAAGCTGCAACGTAGGGTGTGCATATTGCTGTGTACAAGACGAGAATGAGAATGATCCAATCCCACATGGCTTTGAATGGGGAATAATGTAGGATGGTTAAATGTTGGGCTCTCGGAATTTGTAGTTTGTATTCTGGCAAAACGTCGTCTCCAAGGGATAAAACCTACATCAGCAATAATGAAATTATTTTTTGATTTGAATGTTTTATTATTTGTAAGTTTGTATCTACAAATAATTTGTTATTAGTAATTAAAATTTTGGTTTGCATAGCAAAAAAGAAAACTTTACACTCAAAAACGACTTGCAAAAGTTGAAGTATTTCTCCGGCACGTCATTCGGTTACATGAATAATTGAAAAATTTTTGCAAATTGCAAAGTTATGCACATTTTGAAACCAGGCACTTGTAGGAGCTAACCTGGGAGGGGCAAAGCATTTTTTGCCTTCAATTATTTGGAATGAGGCAACCGTCTATTTTGGTCGTCCATTGTTTGGAGAAATATTTTAATTCTCAATTTTCTATAATTATATATTGAATTCTTTGCCGCAAAAGTGAATTCTGGCAATACCTACGCAGCGATGTGTTTTAAATGTTATAAGCTGGCGCATAAAAAATAACGATAAAAATGGTGAACGATTTTATTGCCCAATAGAAACTTGGCTAGCTTTTATAATAAAATAGACTCACTTGGGCCACTTTTTCTGTCACGTTATGCTTGAACGGCGGGACGGGATAGATGTAGTTGTGCTTATCCGAAGAGACAAACAGCGAGTGGAAATTATTACTACTATCATTGGTTTTACTTGGATTTGGATTGTGTTGCTGAAACGAGCGGGTTTGTTGATAGTTTTGAAAAGATATAGCAGGGTTTAAAGGATAATCAAAACTCAGTCTGGAAGTGTCTATCGAAGCTCCAGTTAAAGGCGATTCCGATTTCAAAGATGTGCTAATCGATTCACTCGGCAGTTGGTTGCTTGGAAAGGAATTTGTTCTTTGAGAATTTTCACCTAACGGAAAATAGTTGTATTTAATTAATTACAAAATTAATCATAGAAATATGAATGCACAAAATAGATAACGCTGAACCGTTAAACTTTGATGCGCTGATATTATGGCTAAGTTGTTGATAATAATAATTTATTGCTAAGTAGTTGGTAATAATAATAATAATAATATCATTTATAAAGCGCCACGTTTTTGAATTAACTGAATTTTGGAGTTATCCAACTTTTTATTTAATGTTTTGTTCTGTAATTTAATTAGGTTTACTGCAGGATGGTGAGTAACCTATTCAGTTGCCCAGGTTCGAATACACCCACATGTCATTTACTTACAAAAGTTTATGAATCAGATTCACATGTATTTTTCTTTAATATATGCTTATTCTCTCTCAGAATTGCCAACAAATAAACCACTATTGTATTATAAAGCAAATAAACATCGTCATAATTAGTCGTTAATGCGGGTTCTCTTTATTACAACTTAACATATGCAAAAGTTCTTATTAGATTTTTTTATTTTTGATATTTTTCTCTTCTCCAACTTTTATTTCATCATTTAAAAAAAATTGAGCTTTATAGAACCGAAATATATGGCCAACCAAATTTTTCGTTAATGCGAAACACAAAACTTTTTTTAATTTGATATCACCATTCATTAAATTACAATACCATGCTAATTATAACGGAGAGGATAGGGAAAATTGATGTGCCTATTAAACATACATACAATGCATAAGATATACAGAAGAGAAAGTTAGCGCTAAGTCAGAAAATCTCGTGAGTAATCCTAGGTAATTAGCTTTTATGATATTTTAATGCATCAAGAAGTACTTGAATGCAGCAACTGCTGGTGCACAGCAATGTATTCGTAAGTTATAATTATGATAATTGGTTCTCATAACTGCTGTGATGTTTGTGTTTTCCATGAAATTTTCGTTACTTTTTGTATAATGTCTAGCTAATTTGTTAAACTTTTTTGTTCATGTATATGTTTAATAATTATTTATTTTACTATTTTTAATTATTGAACGTGAAGCTGTTGCATGGAGAAGTGACGTTTTTAAAATCTTCGCAACCGATCAGTGAATTCACTATCTAAAAATTTAGAGTGCTTAGGCAAATTGTTTTATAACTTTTTTCATAGATCAACCAAATACAATTGATAAGAATTAAAAACTTTTAACCTATACTCCAGCCGGACCTTAGTCAAACACAGAAAAATTCGAATGAACACAAAGATCATTCACGTAAAACAGATAAGTTTTAAAGATTTTAGTGAAAATTTTAAAGTTGAAACATTTTATAAAAAATTTCGATTAATAAATAAAATTGTACAATTTTTTTTAGTTACATGACGTTGTTTTTTTTCAATAGTTAGAAAATGTCATCGATTAGTTTCATTATAGTAAACGCAATTAATTTGAATTGAATGCTTAAATGTAGTTGTGCTGATGAGAAATATTAATAGTTGTCTGTTGAATTTGAAAGATTGCGTTTAATATTCTTACTTGGAAATCCCGACAAAGTATAAACTTCGTCCGAATGTTTATTTTCAATTGTTTTATCTTCAGATTCTTCAGTTACACCATCCTCCAGATCTTTGTATCTTTTTGATTTATTTTCTTCCAACGAAGTAACGTCTAAGAAAGCGATTTTTTCCTGAGTTGGATTTGAGGTCTGAGGTCGTTTCATTTCACTGTAAATTTTGCTGCTTGGCATTGAAAGAAAGCTCTTTATGTTTCTACCCGCTTCACCGCGCCTCTTTCTCGTGAAGACACTTGAGAAGCATTGCATAAAACGACTGTTGTCGTCTAATGAAAAATATGAATATTATTTGAATATTAATATAGATACACCACATGTTTAAACGTTAGAGAAAAGTGAAAAATATTTTTGAAAATTTAAACATATGATTATAAGTTTCGATGAAGCAAGTCTGTCGACGAAGGGGTTGGCGTGATGTTTTTCCCTTCTATTCCGCGGTGGTAAATTGTTAACTTCTTTCATGTCAGATTGGATATTTTTCCAACTGAATGTTTTATTATAAATAACGTTGTTAACAATGAAAACACCCCCACGGCAGTTTTGTGTTGGAGTTATTTTAAGTCAGTATCGGACGCCCCAAATAAATGTTTTTCATTAAAAGAAATTAAGATTTTTTTTCTCATAGAGAAAAATGGATTTTTAAAACAATTTATCCTAACAATAAGTATCTTTTTAAACAACATGTGTCTAACAAAATGTCCAAGCCACTCACTTGGGTATGGGATGTTCAAAAACACAGACTTAGGTGTCAAAGCACTAGCACATATTGCAATCAAATAATTCAGAGTGAGGCAGAGCATTTGATTTGTACAATTTTTCGAAAGCAAATTACAGTTTCAACATAAAATAGCAAAAAACGTGGAGATGATTGAAAAATTTCCATAAATTTAACATGAAGGTTTCAGTCTATGTTTGCTAATATTGCTTGGACAACTTAATACCACGAAAAACCTGTCTAAATTGCACTATATGGGTGAGAGATATATTTTTCTCTTTGAGTAAGTCAATTTTCACTCTATGACATATTTTGCAGACAGTTTTTGTAGCAATATAAACCAGATATTTCAATTATTAAGTGTATAAGACGTGTACATACCGTTTTTATAAAAATTCGATGCCAAATTCGTTTTGATGGGAGCATCAGTTATGTCTTCCAGATTTACAATCAACAAAATAACTTCGTTTGCTTCATTTTTCACCGGAGCAACCAAGACACTACACAAAAATTTGGATCCTTCAATGAAAGTTTGCAACAAATATAACCTAAAGTTATTATATTAAATGCATGTGAAATTTTACGATCAAAATAGTTGCTGGTTTCACGACATAAATATATAAAACACGCTTATTCAATTTTACGTTAAACAAATACCAGATTTCCTAACCATTCTTTCTATAAAGAAAAACTTCGATTTGTCTTTCATCTGTGCCCGCCAGAGCTTCCAACATCTTTTTTATTGAGTTGACAGCAGTCAGGGGACCGTAAAGAAAGTCGCAAGTACACGATTTCTGCATAACTTCAGCCCTACTGTAGCCAGACAATTCACAGAATCCATCGTTACAGTATATAATTGGTTTCCCATCCACTTGGGCGTTGGCTATTAAAAAATTCCGATCTGAAAGAAAATTCAAATTTCGGTCGCAACTTTCTTTGGCATTGGCTATCGCCAAGTTTCAATTTAAAAAAAATTACGTTATGGCGCGAAGAAATTGGGTTTGAAGGAAACATGCTTGAAGATGAAAATATGATTAATAGTAGTTATATTAGGCCACCATATGAAAAAATGTTACAACCGTTATAAATTTTAAAAATTTACAAACAAATGTCATCGATAAAATATCTAAAAAATAATTTGTTTGTAAACTGAAACAACAAACTTTGCCCGTCAAATTTTTTGATGATGGTGTCGATGAATGTATTCTGGGGAGCTATGTGGCCACGCCTCACTGGCATTTAAATTGATTGAACTGATGAAGTACAGTGGAACATTTTAAAATGATTTTAAACAAGATTATAAACAATTATTTATAAGAATATTTCACTTAAATAAAACAGGTTGTAAGATATTGGAACCTTTTTTAAAAAAGCAAATTGCTACATGAAAATATGAGGTCTTGTAAAAGACTGATTTATAATTTGAATACATTGTTAAGACACATCACATATTCGCGCCATTAAAACAGTGAAAACTTCAGCAAAAACTATGCGCAGCTGAAAAATAGAAACATGCATTTGCTCTAAGATCTTGATCAATAAGGCTACGATAAGCAAACAATTGCGATGAAATGGTTTTGAATTGAATTTTGTTCACGTTGAAATGGGTTCAGAGACAGAACAGCTCCAATAGAAGTAGTGAAGACAAAAGTTTTGGTTGATTCAACGTAGAGTAGATGAAAGTAAGAACTTCTGGCAACACTATTAATCTGAGAAGAAAGAGACATGCTGGAATCAATGATAAACGATTAACATCAACTTGAGCAAACATCGTGAGTGAATATGACTACATGCCCGGATGACATCGTAATATTGCAGATTGTAACTGTAATTTGTTATTTATATATCGCTAATTATAATTGCTTCTCATCAGATGATATATAATTAAAATGTTTATTGTTTTTGGTAACATATGTAAGTGAAATTTGTTATTTACCCCAAACTTATTTCGGGAAAACGGTCGATAATCCAATCGATATCCCAACTCTATTGCTTTTAAATTAACTCAGCATGAAATAATATGTGCATTATGGCCTTTCGCCATTATTTATACCTATATGGCCGCTTTATAGAATGTCTTTCATTTTTTTGAGACATTTAAACATTCAGGTACATGTGCGCTTAACACCTGTATTGCTTTTAATTATAATGTTCAATGAAAGTTTTATTGATGTGTTCTTATAACATCTGAGTGAGAACCAGGCTACTTACTAACAGTGCATGCGTTGTGTTGTGTTGTTAGTAGCACGAATACAAATCAATGTGTTTTTTGCCACCCATTCGAGCTTATCTACGAATTAATATTTGTCAGCTAAAAATTTTATTATTACAAAAAAGAATAATAATTAATTTTATATTGGAACATATATATATATTTTTATAGGTTTATATAAATGTTTATAGATATTATTAATCATCAGCGTTACTTTATTCGCGTTTACGCTTCTCGTTTTACAAGCAACGAGTTTCAACTCGTCACTTGGTTCATTAAGTTCGTTGACGATTTTTTCTTATTTTTTTACGTTATTGAATTATTTGATTTTCAATAACAAACATGAAAATTATTTTTCGGCTATTGTTTGTCACCGTTTGTCATAGAAAAATGTTTTTGTTCTTACATGAAGTTGTTGGTTAATTAAATTAATAAGTGTGTGTGTTTGTGTTAAGAACTCCGGCAGCTAGCATGTTGTTGAATATTCATTGCCAAGCATCGTCGTGAAATGTGAACTGAAGTCGAAATTTGCCGGTCATACTGGTTGAAGTATAATAACCTGCTATTCCAACTTAATTTTGACAATCTGTCTGATAAGTCCATAGTTTGTTAATAATTTAAACAGCATCGAAGGAGTAAATCTTTTGATTTATTAGTTGTATTTCGACCAAAAAATGACCATAAAGACTGAATGAGAAATGTGCCAACAAAGTCTTCAGAGTTCTTGAAACGATCAACCAAATAAATTTGTTGTGCCTAGCCAACATTATGCCCCGTTACTATTTACAACGTTTCTGTATTTTTAGAACTGTTTATGCGCCCGTTATTTCGTTTGAGCGACACATTTTACAGAAATAGTCAATAAATTCTCTATTTAAATTTTTGATCTTGGATGCAAATGTTTTTACGTGTTTATGTTGACTAAAAACTAAAACAGTCTTAATTTTTAAGGTTTTCGCATCGGACATCTGTCCATTATTATTCATTTACCATCTCGAACGTAATATTTTGACAATTTTCAAAGTAAAGGCAAGATCAACTAAAGTTAAAAATAATATTTCAAGGATTTAAAGCAGAATAAACTGCAAATCAGCATCAGAATGAGTTACTTTACTATAAGGTAATATTCAATTCGCAATGAAACTGATAAGGTAAAAAAAATAAGATAAACTGCATAAATAATATTTCATTTTAAGAATTTCAACATCGAAATGTTGCAATTGTACCTAACAAACTTTATATAACATAAAGAAAACGATGTTGCATGTTAATCTAAATATAAAAAAGATTACAATATTAGCAAGATGCAATGATTAATAGTTTTGTTTGATTATACATGTCTAATGTATATATGAAATAAAACTTAATTTTTAAAATTTTTTTTCAATGATAACCATTCTTTATAAAACAGTTTAGTTTCAAAAAATTTATGAAATCTAAACTTCTAAAGACAAATTACATCATCAAATAGAAAAATGTTTAAATACCTGAAAGATTTGTAATAATCCGTCAAATTTTAACCGCACAAAAATTTTTTAATGTGTAATATCAACGCTTGTTTGTTTTTGAAAAAACTTTCAATGCATATAATCATTGAAAGAGATGCAAATTGAACTTTTCATCGTAAAAGATCCGACGATGCTCAGCATACAAAGCATGCAAACTTATACCTACCTGCATACAACTCTATCCCTATGCTCTCATTTATCGTCACTATTTCTCCAATTGGCTCCAAATCTAATCAATTTAAATATTTGGAATTTTAATATTAATTTTAGAATATATATTAATATGAATATAAATTTATGTATATATTTGTTTTTATTCGTTTATTGAGTATTCTAATTTGTTTGTGTATGTATGTAATGTAATACTATATTTGTAACACAATTTTTATAAAAATTAATTTATATATATATAACACGGTCTACGTACATCATTCCTGTAAGAAAATATTGATGAACATCATGAAAATGCAAAAAGTTATAAACTTTTACTCTATAAGTTTTACTATGTGACTCATTGGAAGGCGATGCTGTGCGTATATACTGCAACCTACAATGGTTATTACCATTCTAACTCTTCATAAATAACAAACGTCTCCATCACGAATGGGAAGAGTTTATAAGTAATTAAAATGTAATACTCTTAGAACCAACCACATATTACAATTATTTTCAAGTTATTATTAAACTCACAGAATCTTTTGGAGACACATTAAATTAAATTAAATGTATCACACGCTTGCATTTTTTTTGCAGATTAAAAGCCTTTAGTTGTTCAATTTAATATGAAAATTACGGAAAGTTTTTCAAGTTAAACCATTCTATACTTGTTCTTGTGTGAATGAGCTCCAATGCAAAGAGTTAGTTAGAAACATCAATATCGTTTAATCTCCACAAGCAAACAATGGTTTCGATATTGTACCTATAAAAGCCTTCCATGAAAACAATTGAACACAACCCCATAGTAAATAAATGATATCACAACAACAACAACAATAAGCCTAAACGAAATCATGGATATCAAACTTTTTGATATACGCCACCCCATATACATTTACTTTTTTATTTAGTCAAGACATGAAGTCAACGTTTACCCTGGAAGCATCTGGATCATTATAATCACCTGCAATCATGGTAGTATAGGCTGCGGTGGTGTATCTAGAAATGTGGGTGGGGGGTTTAGGCTAGATTTTTAGACAGGAAAACACAATTTTTTAGTAAAAAATGCCCAAAAATTTGTTTGCATGATAAGTCAAAAAAGGTCGCTAGTCTAATTTAAGCCACACTAGCAAACATTTGGTAAATTTCTTGACCCCCCACCGTCAAATTTAAAAAAATGTCAATTTTTTCAAATTTTGGCCTCCCGTCCTCCCATCAACGTTGTCCAGATCCGACACTAATAGGCCGGTTTGCTTTATCGTGTTCTCCCAAATATAATATAAATTCAACCGTTGGCAAAGCAGCACTGCCTAAAGTTAGTAATCAGTGACAGCTAAAATGAGAAAATGATAACGCAAACAACGTTCATGTCAGGTGCTTTATTTTAATTCATTGCCAGCAGCAAGTAAGCGATTCCTTTCGTAAAATGCAAAGCATGTGCTTGCGTTTTTAATGCCGCTCTTGTTGAAAACTTATAATGGGAAGAATAAGATCGGGCAACTGAATTTTAATCTGAAATTTCATGGATTGATCTTGTTCTGCTTTTCTTAACATATGGTCGTGAGATCGTCATCAAGCGCTTGATGCTTACATTTATACTTCTTTTCCTCCATCTAATCTCAATAGTGTTCTTCATAATCTATCTGTATGTCTTTCTTCAATTATCGCCTGGTCTGACTCTTAAACTTAATCCTTCTAAGTTTGAATTAATTTGTTTTAATAAATCTAAACACTATTCCTCCAATTATCTTAGCTGATTTTAAAACTCTTGATGTCTCTCATAAGTTTCGTAGTCTAGGTTTTATCTTTGATTCTACTATGTCTCTCTTTTCTCAGATTAATAGTGTTGCTAGAAGCTCTTACTTTCATCTACGTAGAATAAAAAAACTTTTGCCATTTCTTGATGATCCTACTCTTCTCCTTGATCCTACTCTTCTCCTTCTTGTTACTTCGTTAGTCTTATCTAGGATTGATTATTGTAACTCGCTCTACTATGGTCTTCCTGACTCTATACATCCTTTAAGTAAAGCTTTTAACTCTGCTGCTCGTCTTGTTGCTCGTGCCCCTTTCTTTTTTCATATATCTCCATATCTTTTTCTCTTGCACTGGCTACCTATAAAATATAGAATAATTTTTAAAATTTGCACGTTCATGTATAAGTCGCAATCTAAATTATTTCCCAAGTATTTATCAGATATATTAATTGAACCTAAACGCCCCGGTTTACGATCGTCTTCTTCTTCTCGCTTTTTCTTAACTCGTGTTAAATACTCTTTTGCCAAATCTGCTTTTGCTTTTCCTGGTCCTTTTTTCTGGAACTCTCTACCTACTTCTCTGACTACTTCTGCATCACTTGCGAAGTTCAGAGCGGATCTCAAGACCCATCTGTTTTCAAAATTCATTGAAGAGCGCTGTTGAACATCGCGGAAATAGCGCTTTATAAGCTAATTGATTGATTGATTGATTGATTGATTGACGCAATAAAAGTTAAATTCACTTTTTTCTACTAACTTGAACGATTATAACTAAACGAACGTTTCTCGCAACCAAATTTCCTAACTGGGGTTTGTGTAAGTCGACAATTAATTTAAGAAGATATATCAGCACAATCACAGGTTTGTGTGTTAGGGTTAGGGTTACATGTAACATGTGTGTGTGTAACATGCTACCGCTACATGTAACATGTGTGTGTGTATGACTGTATGAGGATTTGCTTTTTGAGTTTTCTTCAATTTTATCTTGAATTTGGTTTGCACACTACACTAAAAATTAAAAATTTTAATTTAAGTGTGCCAACCAAATAAATTTTAATTTAAAATTTATATATAATTTTTAAATTTAATTTACTAATAATTTAAAAATTTATTATTTTAAATTAAGTTAAATAATATTAATTAATTAGTAAATTATTTATTAGTAAAAAAATAACATATTTTTTGCATCACCGCGTAAGGGTAAGCATAAAAATAAAATAAATAAGCCTAATTTTCTAATCAGTATTCATTCTGTTTTTTTTTACATTTTGATTTTATTGTTCATGTTTTTGTGTATGAATGGTCTCTTGTCTGATCTGAGGTTCACTGAATGTATGTGGATGTTTATTACATTCAAAATACAAATTGAAGATCAAAAATTAAAAATAAATAGATGATAGGGCATTTTGGGTTAGGAGGTTATGGTATTCCATTCCATTAAATTAAAAACTAAAGATATTATCATTATTATGATGAACAATAATGAATGATAATAAATATTTTCATTACAATATAATGATTTTAATTATATTATATATTATAATTAGTATTAGATTAACAGATATTATTAGCTTTTTTGTGTAAGTGTAAGATTTAAGAAAGATAGCCATAGCATGAATGATTACAATATGTTTATTAAATAAACTTATCAGCACTGATTAATTATAATTAATTATTCATCAACTGGCAAATGCTTAAAAAATTAATTTAAAATTAATGAATCTCTTTTTTAATCAGTGTCACACATCATTATGTGTGTGCATGCATGTGTGTGTTTGTGTTTTTGTCAATTATGTCGTCAACTATATTTCATTAAACATTGGCAGGGTTTTCATGTTTACTGGCCAGTTAAGAAGAATTTGATTATTTCATTACAAGAACTATTGGGAAAATGAGAAATATAAAGCACAAACTTCTGGTTATGTCAGGGAAAGGTGGAGTTGGCAAAAGTACTGTTGCTCTTCAAATAGCTCTTGGATTGAAGCAACTCAATTTCAAGGTTTAATTTCCTACATTTTTGCTGAAAAGTTTTAACCTATAATTATATTTCTTCATTGTTTACTTTGTTATTATTTATTGATACACAAGGCTTTTCCTGATCATTTATATTAATTTTTTTGTTAAAATCTTTTTGTGAACTGGCCTACTTGGATTTTGATTCAGCTTATATCTTTTCATTTTTTACAAGCTGGTCATCTTTTTCAGTTTCACATGTCTTTGCCCAATTCTTTTTTATTCTTTTCTAAATATTTTTGACTAACCCAACCTCAAAACATCATTTAATTTTCAAAATGGTAAAGTTTTTTCTAAACTTTTTAACTTTTCATGATTTTGTTTTGCTAAGAATGAGGCATCTATTTTTCTTCATAAATCAATGTTCTTTTTACCTTTGAAAGATTTTCCTTATTATTTTTATTCTCCATGCTAACTACAATCTAGCATTTTCCCATTTTTCTTGTAATTTAGAGGAATAATATCTTCTCATTGTTTTAAGAATTATTCTTTTTTTAGTTATTGCATCTAAATTTTGTCATTCACTTAATTTTATTATCTGCCTTAGATTTTAATCATCCTAATTTCACTATTTACAATTTTTCACTAGAGCTAGCATTGTGTTGACATCAAAATATTTTAAACTGACCAATGATATTTAAAATTTCTCAAAAGGTTGGGCTTCTTGATATTGACTTGTGCGGTCCCAGTATTCCTACAATGTTGCAAATTGAAGATAAACATGTCTACCAATGTCAGGAAGGGTTAATATTTCTTTACTTTGACCTAATTATTTTTTCAATTGTTGGTTTCATTTTCACAATTTGTCGACATCTATCACGTTTATGATCTTCTAGAGTATTAGGAAATCAACACCAGGTTCCAAAACATTATAAATGACCGAGTTTACAGTGTAGCCACAATGCTTGATCCAAGGTTTAAGACCCGCTTCTTGAATGATACAGCTTGTACCGAAGCGAAGGCAGGAGTTGTGCTTGCTGCTACTAAATTGTTACCTCAAAATAACAAAGAATTAGAGTCTACATCAGAGGATGTGCAATCCCAAAAGCCAACAAAAAAAAGACGTGTTGATGAATCATCTTCAAAATTGTGGGACTGAAAATGAAGTAACGATTATTTCTAACAACAGATCACTTCAAGATAGCATCAGTGATGAACTCTCAACTTTCTTTTCTTGGGAGAACCATTGTTACAGCGACAGCAAGACCCAGCTACATGGTGGAAGTTTAACACTAGAAAGTATCCAACCATATCATAGGTTGCACAAGTTTACCTAGCACCTCCACCAACAAGTGTACCATCCGAAAGATTGTTTGGCACGGCTGGAGACAACATCACTGAGCATTGCACAAGACTGCTCCCTGACAACGCTGAGAAGCTAATATTCTTAAAATACAATGCTTCTCTTATTTAACTATTTACATGTGAAATAATAAACTTTTTTTGTACACTGGAATTTTTTCAATAAAAAACAATCAACACTTTATGCTTTGTGTTATTTTTTGGTGTTCAACAGTAGATAACCGTAAATGTGAGTATTTTTTCTAACGTATGTAAAATAGTAACTAAAATCCGGCCCCGGCCGGTTTTTGAATTTTAAATCCGGCCAAGTCCGGCCCCGGCCGGATTTGAAAAACCTAAATCCGGTGCATCCCTATTAGGAATACAAATGTTATTGTACATTTAATTTTACTGTGATTAATTTGCTTAAAATGTAAAAAGCTTACTTTGATTTAAATTTAAATTAGCTGTAAGTTGTGTAACTTGAGACAATGGAATGTACATTTGGTTACATAGTATAGAGGTATGGCTTTTTTGTTGCTGTGACCAAACAATGAACTAAATTGCATTTTTCATTGTGCAGAATATAGTGTATGTAAGTTATATCACTGTACAAATACTATACAATTAAATATATTGGTTTAAAGTTAAAGCTAATATAATTTTTCAAATATATGTCAACAAAAATTAGGTTGCAACATTTAAACGTGTTCTTGGAATTCTTCCATAGTCAATTCTATAAATAACTTCATTCCCTCAACCTTTTGGTCATTGAACTGACCTGAACTAGCTTCACCAATTTTGGCTAAATGAATCAAGTTTCATTTTTAAAATTATGATTGATATGTTTTCTCTTTTACTTAACAATTTGTGTCTAAATATTGGTGTCCATTTTTTAATTTGTTAGCCTGGCTTAATATTCACATGACGAATTAAATCTGTTTCTTTTGTAAATGGTTAACATGTTGATATTTACAGTTGGATGCCAGTGTATCCGGATGAGGATGATCAGCGGTTTGCTGTTATGTCTGTTGGCTTTTTCTTAAAAAGTCGGAATGACCCTGTAATCTGGCGCGGCCCAAAAAAAACTGGTATTTATCACGTTATACTATTTAACTTTCAACATTTAATTTCTATTATGCATGTCAGGTAAATTTTTGACATATAGTGTTTTCAAGTATCTTTTCTAGTTTTTAAATCATGCATGGTCTAGTGGTTATGGTTAAGGTCGCCTGGGCACTGCGTACAGTAACTGGTTTGAATATGACAAAAGGCCTACCACATGCTTCTTGTGTGATGCATCATTTAGCACGTATTCATGTGAATATACGATGTTTGTGTTGCTGATTCCTCTGAATCTATGAAGAGTGTCATAGACCTTTAAACTTGAGTCTTTTATTAGTCCAAAAAACGTAGAAGCATAACCAGGTAAAATAATAATTGTAAAATCTAAACATGGCTGAATTATTAAACATCCTCATTTTCCAAAATTATTCACTAAAATTATTTTATCATTTATAATTTAATTAAAATAAACAAACAGCAATGATCAAGCAACTCTTGAATGATGTTCGTTGGGGTGATTTAGATTATCTTATTATTGACACGCCCCCCGGCACTTCTGATGAACATTTGGCTATTGTTCAGTCACTCAAAGATTTTGGACCTTGTGAAGCAGTGCTTGTTACTTCACCACAAGTCAGCATCTTTTTTAGTCAATAAGGAAAATTAGTTTCTATAACTTTGTTCTGGTGTAAAATGCCATTTTGTCTTGCTTTTTTAATTTCATTGTTATTGATAATGTGATAATTAAAAACTAATTTCAGATTATTTCGGTCGGAGAAGTTAGAAGAGAAATAACATTTTGCAAAAAAACTCAAGTTGAAATAATTGGAATAATTGAAAACATGAGCGGGTACACTTGTCCGCATTGTTCAGTGAGTTTTTTTTTATTTGTTTTTTAGTTTTAGTCCTTATAAGTCGCTATTTTTTTATCATTATATTCGGTTGATATAAGGTTGTATTTATGTTTAGAAATTATTTGGTAAATTCAAATTTGTAACATAGCGTTTTTTATTAAATAGGAATGCACCAACTTGTTCTCAAAAGAAGGAGGCGAAAGACTGGCCAATTACTTTAACATTCTATTTTTGGGTAACGTTAACAACTTTGAATTTTTCTTATGTTTGTTGTTTTTTTAAATGATCCATGTTTTAATTTTTTTAAGTATTTTACAAATTTTATAAATTCACATGACTTCATGTTATTACATTACCGTAACATGTTTTCTATAGGAAATATTCCAATGAATATTGAAATATCAAAGATTTTGGATGGCATCGTTGAAAGCGATTCGATAAAAAAGATTTCAAATTTATTTCTTCCTCAATTATTTGATGATATAATCAAAAAAATTGTAAACGTTTGTGATGACAGCATAAAAGAAACAACTCTGGAAGTGTAATTTTGCATCAATTTGATTTTAGAAAAAGATATTTTTGTTCAGTAAATTTACTTACAAAATGTTTTTTTTGTGTTTTTTTTAAATTCAAATTAACTGTTGATACGAAAATAAGCTTCTGATGCATTTGTTTTACTGCATGGTAGTTAATCAGCCGGTATAAAGGTTATATTCAATTCCTATCAAATAAATTTGACAAAATATCATACACAGGCAGAACTAAATAAAGAAATAGATAGATATATACACGTAGTTATAATACATTCATAATGTTGTATTTACACATTCAAATTGTACAATTGTGTTATGGTGTAGTCTCAAATTATTTTGAATTCTCTCAGAAAATTTTAAACGTTTTACTACACTATATATACTAGTTATTTTTATCAACAATTTAAAAATTTTATCAATAATTAAAAAAAAATTTCAAATTGATTTCATTGCGATATCGATAATGATTTTTGTGACCTGACTGATTAAAAAGCATCAAAGAAAGTTAAAATAGGATGGAGAATTTGTTATATTGGGATATTCGTTTAAAAAGCGAGCAAAATTTTAATATAAAAGCGCTTATAAATCTATGAATATTGGCTCAGCTTGGCTTGGCTCGGCTTGGAATCGGATGTTAAGCAAAGTGTGGTCTTAAACTATTTTGAATTCTCCCAGAAAAATTTGAACTGCGTGCGTACATATATAGCAATGATTACTGTTGTTTTTATAATGAATTTATAAAATATATAAATATAGCGAGCAAAATTTTAACATAAAAGCGCTTATAAATCTTATAAATCTATGCATATTGGCTCAGCTTGGCTTGGCTCGTCTTGGAATCGGATGTTAAGCAAGGTGTGGTCTCAAACTATTTTGAATTTTCCCCGAAAAATTTGAACTGCGTGCGTACATATATAGTAATGGCTACTGTTGTTTTTTATAATGAATTTATAAAATATATAAATATAGCGAGCAAAATATTAACATAAAAGCGCTTTTAAATCTATGCATATTGGCTCAGCTTGGCTTGGCTCGGCTTGGAATCGGATGTTAAGCAAGGTGTGGTTTCAAACTATTTTGAATTCTCCCCGAAAAATTTGAACTGCGTGCGTACATATATAACACTGATTACTGTTGCTTTTATAATGAATTTTTATTATATATATATAAAGTAACTGGAATCCATGTATACAAATAATTAAATTATATTATATTAGATTATATGTTTATATGAAAAGCAATATAGCAGATTCAACCAGCCAACAAGAAAGTTTCGAAGGCGTTCGTTCGATGACTTCAATTTAGTACGGTTAGCATTGTGGTTAAGACTGTATAATAGTGCAGTATATACATTAAACAAGTTTTTTACTGATGCGAATGATTGAAATGATGAGAATGTATGGTTAAAACGAGTATAAATAGAAGAGCTGAGACAACATGAAAATCAGATCAGCATTCTGCCTCGCTTGAAGCAGTCTGTCTGATCACATTTATTTTATTTATAAATTTTTTTATTTTTATTTATTTTATTATATAGAGTTATATAGAGTTATATAGGGTTTGCATGTTTGTAGGTGGTTTGAATGTTTGTAGGTGGTATTTTTTTAATTTTAAGTGGGTTTTTTAACGGTTGCTCATACATACATACATACATCATGTTTGTTTGTGTGGTAGTATTTTATGTTCTGTTTTACTCCTTTTTCTTTTTTTTCATGAGTCTTGAGTTAAGTTAATGAAGCATAGGTAGGTGAGGTAAAAATTAATTTATTATATAGGTAGGCTAGGGCATAAGGTAATTTAGTTACATAGGTAGGTTAGTGACTATTCTTTTACTCTACTTGGTGGTGTGATTTTTGTTTTGTGTTTTTTTTTGTTTCACATCATACATTCAGCAGGTACGCGGTGGTTCCTGGTTTTAGTGGGATTTTTATTGATTGAATGTGGTAGTATGCATGGTTATATAGAGTTATATAGAGTTATATAGAGTTATATAGAGTTATATAGAGTTATATAGAGTTATATAGAGTTATATAGAGTTATATAGAGTTATATAGAGTTATATAGAGTTATATAGAGTTATATAGAGTTATATAGAGTTATATAGAGTTATATAGAGTTATATAGAGTTATATAGAGTTATATAGAGTTATATAGAGTTATATAGAGTTATATAGAGTTATATAGAGTTATATAGAGTTATATAGAGTTATATAGAGTTATATAGAGTTATATAGAGTTATATAGAGTTATATAGAGTTATATAGAGTTATATAGAGTTATATAGAGCATAAATCCTATATAGATACCTTTCTTTGCTCTTCTTTTCTCTTTTTTTTGCCGACCGGTCGGTTTCTTTGCGGTTATTTTCATTTAAATTGAATAAATAAGATTTTTCCATTCATTTAGGTTTTTCAGGTTCATTTATCCAGGTTGAAGCTTCCAGAGGAGTTCATCGTGGACGATCAGAATGGTTGTGATGTCACGCTACGTTCGTTCATTCGGTGGCAAAGAATGCATGCCCTGCTGGGGTACGTTTTACGGTTTCTTTGCGGTTCTTTTTTTGCCAGTTGGCTGGCTTTTCCGGCGGGTTTCACCGCGGCTCGTTTTTTTTTCATTTAAGTTAGTCAAATAAGATTTTTCCATTTCATCCATTTTATTCAGGTTGAAGCTTCCAAAGGAATTCATCGTGGAAGATGTCAGGCTACGTTCGTTCATTCAGTGGCAAAGAAGATACGCCTGGCTGGGATACGTTTTATTCTTTTTTCTCTGTTTTTCTCTGTAATTTAACATTAAGTAAGAATGATCACACGCACACGCACATACACACAATTACATTAAGTAGCTATATAGGTAGGTTAGATAGGCATAATTTTAATTGTAGGTAGGATAGATAGGAAGCATCCAACACTAATGTAGTTGTATAGGTAGGCAGCGTAAGTTTATCTCTTCTATTTTTTCTCGTACCCACATTACACGCATCAGCGTATTATACACACACACAAATACATATATAAACACATATTAGTATTTGAGCGTTATTTTATTTTCATTACACATTCTAATTTATTATTACTAAGGTTGAGAGTAATTTAATTTCATAGGTAGTTAAAAGCAATAATTTAATTCTAGGAACAATCTTGTAATTTAAATTAAATAAACGCTGTAAGTGTATCTAGAGGTAAGTTAGTTATTAAGTTTTACATTATTATTATTAGGTTGGAGCCCAAGGCATTACGTAGGTGGTGGGGTGGGTGCCGAAAGGCCAACGAATTGGGCTCTTGAGTTTTGTAATTTTAGGTAAGCTAGGGCCATAATGTAATGAATAGGTAAGTTAAGGCTACGTTGTAACATACACTCATTAATAGATTTAGGGTTTAAGTTTTATATTATTACTAAGTTGGAGCCCAAGGCATTACGTAAGTGGTGGGGTGGGTGCCGATTGGCAAATGAATTGGGCTCTTGAGTTTTTTTGTAATTTTAGGTAAGCTAGGGCTTAATTGTAATGAATAGGTAAGTTGAGGGCACGATAGCCGATAGACTCTGAATTTCAAAATTTGTTGTCAGAGGTAAGCCTTGGTGGCCAGTGGTGTACCGGCAATGGTTTACTATCCGGACGGCAATGGTTTACTATCTGCACGGTAATGATTTACCATGCGGCACGGCCATAGTCTACTACCCGCACGGCTTTCGGACGGCAAATGGTTTACTATCCGCACGGCAATAGTCTACTATCCGCATGGCAATGGTTTTCTATCCGGTGCCCTGGCTGTCGGTGAACCTCTGTGCAAGGAGGAAGAATGAAGGGGGACTTTCGACTATCGTACCATTAACAATTTAATATAGATTAGTTAAGGTAATTGAATAGGTAGATAGGATTATTTTTATTAAACAATTTGAGATGCAGGCACCGCTAAGCTTTCTGATGAGAATCTACTCTTTCCCTATCTTTCTCCAACACGGGCTGTGTTTCAACAACAATCTCGAGGAGGACTGGCACCAGTTTTGGAGGACAACGTAGGAACCGGACCGCATTCAACATTCTGCTTTTGTCGAATGGACGACGGTAAGTTTTTTTTACATTTTACTTACTTTATTATTTTCAAATTTTATTTATTTGACATTATTTTCATTTTATAATTTAATTTTTTTTGCTTCTAAGATTCTAACATTCATTTACTACTACGCAAATAAAAAAATTTTGTTTACAGAATGATGAAAGGTGGGCAGTGGTGAGAGTCAGCACGTTTTAGATGGTGGTCTCATGATGATTTACATATGATGATGGTGGTGTAGGAAGAATCAGCTCGTTGGCTGTTCGACTGACACTCTGAAGTTCGGATGGTATTTTGTGTGCCGGCCAGATGGTGGTCGGTACAATGGAAAGTACAGAAACGACGATTTTTGAAGTAAGGTTTAGTTTCGTTTTTTATTTTTCTCATTCGTTCATTTTATCACTCAACCTTTTAAATTATTCTTCTATTAATTGATTCGCTAATTCATTCTATTCACTAATTGAATCATTGATTTATTAATTAATTCATTCATTCACTCATTCATTCAACCAATTATTCAATCATTCAGTTAATCATTTATTCGATCGTTCCTTTGTTCCTTGATTTACTAATACGCTATTTAAAAAATGTCTACAGAATGATGAGAGGTGGGATGTGGTGGGCATCAGCACGTTTCAGATGGAGGTCTCATGATGATCGTTCCGATGACAATTCGAAGATAACAACAACGACGGTTTTTGAAGTATGATTTAGTTTCTTTTTTTTATTTTTCTCATTCATTCATTCATTTTATCACTATCTTTCAAATTATTCCTCAGTTAATTTATTCCTTGATTCATTCTATTCATTCATTAAATCATTGGTTGATTAATTAGTTAATTTATTCATTCAACCAATCGTTCAAACATTCAGTTAATCATTTATTCGTTCGTTCCTTTGTTTCTTGATTTACTACTTCGCTAATTAATAAAAACTTGTCTACAGAATGATGAGAGGTGGGCTGTGGTGGGCGTCAGCACGTTTCAGATGGTGGTCTCATGATGATCGTTCCGATGACAAATCGAAGAAAAAGTTAAAGGTAAATTTGTTTTTCTCTCATTGTACCTTTGAAAGTACTCGAGTTTGAACAAAGATTGAGTGTTATCTCAAAAAGATAAGTTGTCTATTTTTTCCAATTGCTTGTTTTTATTTTAGTAAATTAATTTTTTTTTCAATTTATTTTTCAGTATCCGGTCAAATTCATTCCATCGATGCGTGTCAGATGATGGTCGGTGCAATGGAGGTTCGTCGGTAGTGAGTGAAGTTTCTGGAGAGTGCGCGCCCGCACATTTACTTACACACACATCAATACAACACATACATACACAACATCCATTCATTTGGTGTCATTGTTGCTATGTTTCTCTTCAACTTTCTATTTTCTTTACCGTGAACCGGGCTTTAATTTAATTCATAAATAAGTTAGGGACTGAGATGAGTTAAACAATTGTAGGTAGGCTAGGGCTTAACATTAGTTAAAAAGCTTCAAGTAAAATAAAAACGCTAAAATATGTTAAATAAAATACTTGAAACATCTAAAACGAGAAATACAAATTTGTAGGTAAGTGAGTTGAGTCAATGTTTATAAGTAAGCTAGGGCCCTGAGAGTAATTTTATTATAGGTAGGTGACTGACTATTATTCTTACGACTTCTTACTAGTTTTGTGTGATGTGTTTGTTTTCGCTTCACAACACCACACCAACAAAACAAACTACATTTCATTCTCGTCGCCTTTTTGAACAATCTTTTAGATAATGTCTTTTTATTTATTATTAAATGTTGACTGGTTTCTAGTTTTTTTTAAATTGGTTATATAATTTTTGGATATTTCTTGATTTACTTTGTATATATGCATGTATAAATTATTTCTGTTTAGTCTACTGATTTAGTCATTATGATATGTTGTGAACTGTTCTTACTATATGTTCATGTTACGTGGTTTATTATCCTTCGAGAACTTCTAAGGAGTGTGTATGATAATAATAATAATGGATAATTATTTTTATCGGTCGATATTATGTTATATTTTTTTATTTAAAATACGAACTTAAAAAAATTGACATTTTAAAATTTTAATTAACCGTCACTTTTCATTTTTGAGTGAATTCAAATAAAAGCAACTACTGTGTTTTTCTTTCTTTACTAAAATCTCGAAATTGTTTGTAGATCTGTACGGTTAACTGTTTGTTCGAGTTTGAACAGGCCTTGCAAATTTTTTTATTTATTTTTGTTTTTATTTTTGTTTATTTGGTTCATTCAATTTAGTTGATTGATTGATCGGTTGATTGATCGGTTGGTTGATTGATTAACTGACATACTGACTGACTGGCTGGCTGGCTGGCTGGCTAGCTGGCTGGCTGACCGACCGACCGACTGACTGATTGTTTGATTGATTTTTATCTCGTATTATATACATGAGAAAAAATCCGATTAAGCCAACCTACGGCTTCAGTAAGCCACTGTTTTTCACCTGACAAAAGCAATTTCTATATTTATACTGACAAAAATAGTGATATGAATATATTGATTTATTTAATGCACAAAAAAGTGCTATCGTAAGAGTTCTATGAAACCCTGTAAGCCACTGCTGTAAGCCAACGTATGATTTCAGCAGCCAGTTTCTTATGAGCACCAGCAGAATGTAAAATATTCATTGAATATAATGAAGATAGTTGTTCAAATAACAATTTTGATTTATTTAGGCCGTTTATTTCATAAGCAAACCAATTTTTAACATGATCGTGTAGTGTAAAAAAAAAGGGTGACTATAGTTCAATCCTACTAAGCCAACCTTCGGCTTCAGTAAGCCACCAGATTTCACCGGACCAAAAGCAATTTTTATATTCAAATTAACAAAAATAATTTAATAATATATAATTCTATTAATCATTATTAAAATTAAATAGAATTACTACAATGTTTTTAGCATATTAAATCAAGTAAATATTTCATTTAGCTTGCTCGTTAAAATCCATGCAATTTCGTAAGCCAACAATCCAAGCACGACAAATAGCCCGGCTAATAGATCGAATTGATCGATTAGTCCTATTATTCTAGTTATGTTGTTTGGAGCAAGGAGAGACATTACTGAAAATAATTGAAAGTTGAAAAAATTGAGGTTATTTGCATATCCCTGCTTCAACCCATAAGAAGGTGTTGTATGCTGGTAAATAGGCCTCCCCTTGGGTACATATGTATCATGTATAGTTGATACTCGTTTATCTCTCCATGTACATCAAATTGAGAGAGGCGAGCGAAGCGACGCGCCCGTGTTTATGATCCATGAAGCGTTGCGGCGCATCCTTCTTTCTCTTGTTTTATAATTATTATATATAATGGAAATGGAAGGCAGTCAGAGGAGGCGAATGCTGGCTTCTGTTTGAATAATTGTCGTCGTTTATTTGTCGTCGTTCAACTTTTTGATAGGTCGAGTCTTTTCGACATTTATAAAATTATTTGTATTTAAATTATTAAGCAGATAAAATAAACATAAAGAACAACAAGTTATTTCCTTCTTATCTTCCTGTTAAAAAAATGATTTCAAGTTTCTCAGTAATTTTTAATAAAAGTTAATTTAATAATAGTTAAAAAAGTGAAAATACTAATGAATTGTTTATTAATAAAATTAATAGCAAAGATCAAAAAATTTAGGATTATTATAACTTTCTAATTTAAATTTAAAATAGATAATTGTTTCTATTGTTATTTTTTCTTGATTACTTTGTTTTTTATTTATTTTATACTTTATGCAGAACTATACTGTTTGTTTTTCTTTTTAATAACACCATTTAAAAATTAAATGTGATCTTGTGATGTGCTCTACTTTAATTATACTCCTGTTGTTATAAAAATTTGTAATATTTCACTTTCAATATTTTTGACAATTCATATTCACAACTTTTTCAGCATTTGTTGATGAGTTTGTTTATTAATCAAATAATAAAATAAAATTGGCAACATCTAGTCCTACATCCAATCTTATTTAACTGGGTTCTAGTCTTCATTTTTTAGTTCTTAGCAAAACGTTTTTCTTTTTATAAAAAGCTTCTCCATTAATTTTTTTGTCATCGTTTAAAAGTATGTTTGCTTTCATTGAAAATGCTGAGACCAGCAGATGTGATAGCAGTCTGCAAGCCTTATCCTGGATGGGTAAGACTCCTGATAGATTACCTGACAATGGATCTTGGAAGTTGACAGAGGCCAGTTATTACCATCATGGCTGGTTGGCCACAGGTAATGCAAAAGGGATCATTGGTATAACATTCACTTCTATTCATTCTTACGTTTTGGATCAACCGATTAGGACCACATTTTATTTGAGAGGACATAGAAGTGAAGTTAGTAGCATCTTTTCACTTCATGTTTAATTATTTATGATTAAATTTGAAATATCCAGTAAAGATTAAAATGTCAATCTGTAAAGCTCTTGAAAACAATAAATTTAAGTTTAATTCTTAGAATGTGTTACAAGCATAAGTGAAATTACAACGTTACAGCTATAGTCACTGTGAGCATATGTTATAAATTATAAACTTGTACAATATTTGGAGCCCTTGGACTTGATGTGATTATTATGATATGAGGGTAATGTTGGGTGTTAATTTAAATGTAAAGCATGGTTTTTTTGTAAGTGATGTTCTGCAGAGTGTGAACTTTTAAAGTTTAAGAAGTTTCAACTTAGCTCCCGGGTGTTTTCTTTTGAAATGAGTAGACTTAAATCATGTTGAGTTATTTTTGTGACCAAATGTAAAATGCACCACAACAATTAAATTAGGGATTTTTAATATTTTCAGTTAAGTTTTGTTGGGAATAATTTATTTTATGCTAAACCATGGTAGTGTTAAAATGATGAATTTTAAATAATCTTACAGGTAATGCTTGTGAAGTGGAATGAACCGTTTCAGAAGTTGGCGACATGTGATGTGTCAGGAATCATATTCGTATGGATCAAACATGATGGACGATGGTCTATTGAGCTTATTAATGATAGGAATAGTCAGGTTACTTTTATGTCTTTATAAAATCTACTCACTATCATTCAATAGTTGTCAGGTTTTTTTTGTTTTGAAGAACAATTTTTAATACTTTTCTAATGGGTTTCAAACTATAAATTTCTTAAATATGTTTAGTTGTAAATTCCTACGCAGGTTACTGATTTTACTTGGTCGCATGATGGACAAATGGCTCTCATATGCTACAAAGATAGTTTTGTTTTGGTTGGATCTGTTGGAGGTCAGAGGTATTGGTCAACTGTTTTAAACTTGGAAGGGTGCAGTGTTTCATGCGGTATATGGACCCCGGATGATCAAAAGGTAGGTGAATTTACAAATTCATAAGGGTCAACTGTGTTTGAAAAACAATTAGAGCTATTCTCTCTTACACTTTGGTTCAAAAACATTTAAAGTTGAGTTTGTAAATCCTGAATACATCTCTTTTTAGTGGATGGATATAATATCAATTGAAAGCTCGGTAACTTCAAAAAAAAATATGATTTTTTTAGAGATTTGTATTTGTACTTGTCTTATTGTTTTCATTTTTATCGGTTTCATAATTTTTTTACTTCTTGTTTTATTGTGATATTTTATTTTCACATGTTGTTGTGAGCGTATAGATTTTTGCTAACCTAAAATTGTTTATGTTTCTTTTTGATCAATATTCATATAATATAACAGTAAATACTCAATTCAGCGCTGAAAATTACATTTATAGAGCGTTAGAATATAATGACATCTTTAAAATCTTATGGCAACAACTCTCTTACGTTCCAATTATTACTTGAAACAAATTTACATAAAAAATAGACTGCTTAACTTTCAACACTCGTGCTCGTCATAAAATATCAGTTATTATCCGCGTTGTTTGAATGCTGAAATGTTAACGGGTACAGTTGTTGTTTGTGGTTGTCAGGTATTATCATAAAAGTAAAAAACATAATCTGTACAAAAACTTAAAAAGGTTATGTTTGGTACGACAGCCGGTAAAGTCATTGTTATGAGTGCCACTGGCACAATTATTGCTGAAGTTGTTATACGAGCCGATCTAGAAATTACACATCTTGGCTGGTCCACTGAGAAATTCTACATGTTTGAGAATAACTATAAAACTGATTCGTCCAACAACTCGAACTACAATAACGAGAACATTTCTGTAAACAATGGCAATGATTCTAACAACATCTATACGATTGATGAAAACTTTGTAAACATCACTGACGATACATTAGGTTTGTTTCATCAAGTTTTTTGAGCTGTTCATATTTATTGCGATTAAATAAAGTATTTTTATAGTTTTTTATTTTCTTTGTTCAAATTCATCGTCCAGCGTTTCACTAATTTTTTTTTAGCATTTTCAAACGTTTGGTTAAAACGTAAATCGAACGTTATTGATTAAGCTGCGAAATATACTAAATAGGTACATATGCTTGTTCATACATGTAGATATGTTTAAATCATATGATGTTTGTGAAACAGTGTAATTATGTAGTCAGTTATTACATGCCATGCCAGAAATGCTAAGCAAAAAAATATAGCAAAGCACGTACTAAATTTTTGATTAAACTTGTCTTAGAAAATTCTGGAAATGTTCAGAGTAACGATATAATTTTAGTACGGGGCGTTATCACGATGATGCTGACTGAATATCATAACGGTTTGCAGAACGTTTATATGAAAAAATATAAGATGATATGAGGTTAGAGAATCAATTGACGTACCTAAAAGTATAAGATTGAGATATTTTATACGGACAAACAAAAAAGGTGATGACCAGCAGTTGAAAAATTTGGTACACTTGAAACGTAGTCCCACTATTAGAAAATATTGTTAAAAGGTGGAAAGTCTGTATATAATCGGATTGGGCATCAACAGAACGAAATAAAAAAGGTTTATCAAGGTATTAAAATAAACAACAAACGAATCTTAATGCTTTCACTACACTTATGAATCCATCTTGTTAATAAAATTTTGTTTCACAACTTTCGCCAATAAACTTTGATGACAATGTTGAAAATATAATATATCTTGCCTCATAAGTCGCCAATAATATAAAATAATTCAATAACATGTACACGGCAGAATTTGGAAAGCCATATATTTTGAGTGTAGTCCTGTCGGTTGGAGATATATTGTTAATGACGGGATACGATGACCTCTGTCCAAAGGTTATTCACACGGGACTCAAAGGTTAAATTTCTTTGCTTAGAAAAAATAGTTTTTTTATTGCTACACTGTCATTGCCATCTTGTTTAAACCCACTTTAAATATTGAAGTGCTGACATTTTTTTTGCAACGGTAAATATGATGGCATTTTGTAATGTACACGCATGCAAGTGGAGCCTGATGACAGTTACTTTTTGTTTTCGGTGCAAGACTATTATTCAATTTTCGCAACAATTGTTTATATTAGCAGTTATATGGACACGTATTTTGGGTTGAAACTATCCTATATACAATTTTTTGGAAAAATCACGATGTCTTTAATGTTATTTAATTTTTAGTTTAGTTTTTCTGTTTTTTGAACGAACATTTTATTTTCGTCATTTAACAAAAATATTAATCAAAAGATTTTTTGATAGTATCGGTTAACATTTTTTCAACTGCACATTGTTAATTATTTGTTGTATTAAATTTGTAGACATAATTTTCATAATTTTGCAGCATTTTTTTAATTTTACTATTTTTGAAAAATAGATTCAAAGATTTTGAAAAACGTAAAAGAAAACAATTATGCGGGACAGTAGCGTTAATATATTGAATAATATCAGAGTTATGTAAACAAAAATGAGTCAACTCATTAATTACAAATTAATATGATCTAAAATTTGAAAATGTCTATTTTATTTCACCACTCTCTTTCTTTCCAATCAAATTCTAATATTAATTCACAAGTTTTTGAATCTTATGTCTTGTAGCTTTCAATGCAACTGCTTATTATTAAATCTATATTTGTTATATTATAATTTTATTTTGAAAATCTGAATACTTTGTAGTTGAATCAGTAAACTGAAAACTTTTCTATCTAAGGCGTGAAGGTGGAGTGGTCTAACGATGGGGAAGTTTTGGCAGTGGTTGGTCACACTAAAGCGCCAGACAAAAGTGATGAAGTTGTTAATGAGCTGAGGTTTTACAAGCAGTCAATGAAATGTCAACTTTCAATGATTTTGCCCGCTGTTCAGGTATTTCATGACAGTTTTAATCAACTTTCATCGTAAATAGTTTTTTTTACATAATTACTTTTAAATTCCCGACAAAATTCATGATGAGTATATACATTTATGCATACATATTTACAGTGGCGGATCTAGGGGGGCTGGTGAAACCAGTGCTCCACTTCCGTTGTAAGCTGTATTTTATTAAAATCAGTAACACAAAAAGCACCGTTTTTTTGAAAAGGTCGTCATTGTCTCTCGTCAATATTTAAACCATTTGAAAAAAATTGTCCGGATCCGCCATTGCATATATATCGATGCTATGCATACATTATATATATTGCTCACACCCTCACTAGGCTATGAGTTTAAACTATCCCTGTTAACATATTCGAAGAACAATGATCACACAATGATGATTTTGATTTGTAAATATTTATTTTTTTAAATCATTAAAAAAATTGTGTTTTTTTTCTGACAGACAAAGCAAATAGTTACTGCTATTACATGGGCACATAATGATCAAAGACTTTTTGTCGCTATTGGTAATGAATTATTTACAATTTGGGTGTACAAGCATGTCGCTAATTTGCAGTTGCTGTGCAAAACTAAAATTCGTCAGATGGTTTCAGATGAGTCTCTCGTTCAAACTTTACCTTTACCTTATAAAATTCTGTCCAATGTATTTGACATGTACTCTTCAACTATAAAGGTTTTATGAACATTATTTTCATGCAATCTCGATTTTGACCATATATATATGTTGGAAAAATTGTTTAGGGTTACATTCCTCGCCCTGGAAATTTGAGAGAATTCGTATGCACGTGCCCGCACTTCCGAGACAGACTACACTGCACAATAATTAGAAATGGCGATGAATCAACAGGCATTTATTACGTTTTGTATCTAGAACATCTTGGAGGACTCATTCCTCTTCTGAAAGGTAAAAGAGCTAGTAAGCTGCATCCAGACTTTGTAATCTTTGATCCTCAGGCTGAAGCAAATATTAACGGCAAAAGTAACGGCAATAGTAAAGGTGAAAACTTATTTCAAGTTAACTCGAACTTTTACCTGTTTTTATATTTGTTTTTTGCGTTCTTATGTGAGCTGTAGTTTTTATTAATACTATTTAATGCTTGGGCGTGATAATTAGCATCTGATGAAATAAATTGAATGGAGTAAAAGACTTTGAGACAATAATTTTATTTCGAAAGTCATTTTATTCAATAATTTTATTATGATGTTGGTTAACCTGTGTCGCATAGAAGTTATAATGAATGCAAACGACTCATTTCATTGAAGTTTCTAGGGGTTTTTGACGGTACCTACGACAGATTTGGCGTTTGAATGTTTTGAACCGTGAAATAATTTGTTTATCACGCAACATAGTTATTGCTCTTTTCTGTATTTGCTGTATATTCATCAGCCTTTTATCGAATAATATCTTTGTACTAAGGGTTAATTTTCAAGTATGAAGAACTAAGTCAACGCAAGCCAACACAAGATTCTAATGATTTATGTCAGTGCTCACCTTTTTAGAAATTGAATGAAATAAAAAACATAATCAGTACACTTCACATATCAAAAAATCAACCACGATATAACTTTTATACAGCTTTTTAAAATAAGTTGACAGGAAAGAGAGTGTGCATTTGCGGTTTGATTCAATTAAGAGGTTTTTTGACTACTGTTTGGTCCAGTTAAGGAAACTAAATTAGGCCTGCCTAACATAGTGTTTTATTTCTTTCCCAAAGATTAATAATAAGTGCCTGATTTGGCATTGACCTATTATTGAGCAAACCATAATTCAGCACTATTGGATGACTATTTTTTAAAACTTTCTATTTTTATCGCCGTTGCCAAACTTTTTAAATTTAACTTATCTTGACGTGTATGTGTATATATGCTATCGAATACAATATTTCTATTTTCAAAATGATCTTTTAATAGATGATGACATGGTAGCCAGTTACCATTCTGCATCTTCCAATTTGCCACTTGAATATACAAACGAAGATTCAGATTCAGATGTTAATGGAAAAGATGGTTCTCCTGGAATGAATAAGAAAGTCATTTGAAGCTTTCATTTACTACTTATTTTTAATAATTTCCCTTCTATTTTGTTTTCAATGTATTCAACACTTAAGGTAAATGTAGTTGTGCAATAATATTCAGTGTTGATAATATGTTCGAATCATTATTTTATTCTACTTTTCTAAAATTATCAATTTAGCTGTTCTAAATTTTTATTCTCACATAAGGTTTTATGGATGGGTTGGTAGATAAAATTGAAGGTTGATTATTTTTTTCTAACCTAAGTAGTTAGCCGATTAAACCATTTTTACTTTTGTAAAAACTTTGTGGATTTGCTTCGAAGGTGGGACTGATGTTTACTGCTGGTTGACAAGCTCAATAAGCTTAATCAATAATTTTTTTTATACTCTTAAAGAACCATTTATGATCAGTTATGAGTATGGCTATCTTTTACGTTCTAAAAAATTTATGAATGCTTTTTTTTAATTTTAGATAATTCTGCAAAATTTAAAAAATGTCTACCTCATTTTAACAAATTGAAAATATTTTAGAATATTCATCAATATTGTAGAATTTTCAAAAATCGAGAATTATTTTGGAAAATATATATAAATTTCGTGGTCTGAATCACAAAGGCTGAGTTTTGTGAAACAACAATTTTTTTCTGTTAAACAATAGTTTAGGAAATCACACATTTTGCTAATAAACCAAAAAAATTCGCCTGTTACATAGTAGAATCTCTCGATAATTTCAATAATTTAATACCTGAAATAAACAATCAACAAGAGTTATACTTCTTTCTTCTTCCAAGGACAGACGTTCAACAAATTAATTAATGTATTTAGCGTGAATATTTAAAACTTCAATATTTTCACTGATTTTGAACTTTTCAATTTGATAGCATTGTTTGTTAATATTGATTGTAATTGTGGTATTGAATGATTTTTTTAAAATTTATTTTCTTTGGTCGATCACTTATTATCTTTAACTCCAGAATAAGTTTTCGAAATTGAGAGAAAGTTTGAAATGCAGAGATTCGGCCACGTCACTGTCATCCGATGTCAACATTTTCAATGAAGTCTGCTGTGACGATGGTCTGCCTGAGGTAAAAAATTGTCTAGTAGTATTTAAGTGGATTTGTGTTGAAGGCGGAACTGATTTTTATAGCGATACGTATATCCGGTTTACATAGACATTTTGTCTATCAGACAAACCAGTATGTAAATGAAGATGCCATTAAACTTTCTACGAACAATTAACTTTCAAACTTAAACTTCAATTGCCTATCATCCTTAATAATTATAAAATTATAACCAGTATAATCAAATTTTTAACATGATTATGCCATCTTGATTTGATATTTTTTACTAGACAAAGCATTTGGTTTCCATAGTCTCCAACATATGGGGCACCAAATTCAAATTCATTGGTCTCGTTCCATTCTTACCCGAAGAGTTAGGTTATAAAAAGTTTTTTTCATTCACTTCATAAAAGAATTGCAGACTAATTTTGTAACATTGTTTTCAAGTTTAAACTGTCTGCTCACATAAACTCAGGGTTTTCAAGTTTTTTCAATCACGACTGATAATTTTACACATCAGATACGCCGCTCCATCATGGTCAGAATTTGCCAGTTAACAATTTCATCAACTACCGTCACTTACACAAACTGACTAAACTAAATAATTTGCCTTTTTCGTAATTTGCTCGTTCAAATTTTCAAAACTTCAGACACTCCCTTTTTAAGAAAATAGAATTAAGCCGTAATCAAGCCATCTATTTGATTATCAATCAATCAATGAAATTTTGCTAGAGTTGTTTTTGTTACGTTACTTGTCATAATTTCTAGAAATCACATATATTCAATTCTAGTAGCTTCTGAAACTTTCAGTTTTTGTTTGCTTGCAATTCCAAAAGCGAAAGGCCGTTAGTTGCACCAAATACAAGTATAATCCGATGCGTTATTCCCGCCATTATGCTTCTTTACTATCAGAACTGCGCCCCTGCCTACAGAATCATCGTAACTTAAAAAATGTTAAATTTATTCCTAAAACTTTGTTGAATTATTTTAATAATTAATTAATTAAGGTCAAGTGACGTACAAGACCAGTCTCTTGCACTTGCAACCTCGACAGATGACTGTTGAAATTGTTGAACTGCCGAAATGTCGTTTCTACAAAAGCAATTATTTTAATTCTAAAAATAATGGTAATCATCACATTCTCTTTTTGCATTCAAAAATATTTACGCCATAAAATCTTTTAGATTTTACTAGCCAGCAAGAAGATTATGTGTGCCGGTCAACGAAATTAGCTCATTTTGACGCCGATGATGATTTTTACACGAGTAAGCGTTTTACTTATTAATCAAGTCATAATTAATATGACTTCTTATTTAAATGATTGAGAAATGGTTACTTCAATATTTCTTTGTTTCGCCTTATAGATTACTTTTTTGACATCATTGAAAATATTGACGCCACGAACACACTTCTCATGAGCACTGAATCTTCAGTCACTTGTGAACGTGACTCGAAGTTTGCTAAAGGTTTATATGGTAAGTCGTACATCCGTTATTTATTTAAGTTTTTGTTGGAAACGCTCTCCATTTCAGTATAAATTTATTTATTTAAATTAATACATTTATTTTCGTTGGAAACGTTCTTCATTTCAGTATGAATTTTACTTTAAAATTTAGGCTTGCTAGTAATTCAAATTACTATTTTTCTCGTGAATAGAACTCACAAGTTTTTGATTTTTTGTTTGAAGTTAGGCTCAACAGAAATAGCAATGTAGAGTTTATTCTTTGTTTAAAATGAAAACCTTTCATTGAAAAGTGTTGTTTATATTTTTATAATAGTGTTTTAGCATAGTGATTTTTATTTTCTGTCAAATGTACATATTTCCCATTGGCGATTGCACAATAAAAATTATTAGAGTCACCTGTGAAGCATCCTTCAACGGACAGCAGCGATCAGCGAGTGAAAATGGACAACGTAAATGACAGCAACAATTCCTTTCGCGATGGCTGCAGCAGCTGTACAATTATTAATGCAGCTGAAAGATACCATCGTCAGTGTAATAAGTCAAGTTACAATTTAATAAATGATGATGTTCCAAATTCTGTATCACAAAAAATTGATGATGACTCAATCAATCAGACTTACGTTGACAGAAATGTTGATAGTCTGAATCTTAATGTTCTAAACAGCAACAACAAAAAAGTAAAAGTTATGCGGAGATACATACTTCCAAAAAACTTGAGCATCAAACTACCTGATAAAAGCTACAATATTCAAACTTTGCAGGCTCAACTGAACGATAGATTTGCGAGAATTTCGCCAACTGAGGTCGATCCTTTTCTCGATTGTTTTTTCAAACGGCGCTGTAATACAATAAACAATAACGACCGTAAAAGCAAACTGGATTGTGACATCAATGAGAACTCTCTGCATAATGATGGCTTTCTGCTCGTCAATGGAAATTCAAATTTTTTCAACATTATGAAAGGGGAGATAAATAAATTAAGTCTGAATGATCATGGCAATGATTGTAGTGACGACGTCGATGTTAACGCTAGTGAAAACAAAAGTCATGACCAAATCATAAAAAAAGTTCCTTGCTCTATTTATGCTGAGAACACGTTGCCTTTTTCAACACCCACCAAACGCATTGTCTCGTCGTTGTCTCGTGTTACCGTTATTTCTACAGAAACAGATTTGCAGAGCGATGTCGACAATTTTGCTAAAATATGTGAGAATAGTGATTGTGACCATTGTGGACAACCTGATGAAAATTCTTCTCCAAAAAGTAAAATTGAAATTTGTCAAAAAGATTTTCTTTCCTTCCTCAATGAGAATAAAATAACAAATGAAATGTCAACAGTGCAGCCGGATGTATCGGCTAAGGAAACTGCTAAGATTTCTGATGAACTGACTTGTTTTGTTGAAGTATCCTCGTCCAAATCATCTTTAAAAGTGTCTGATGCATTGCAGTTCATAGATGATGATAGCTTAGATATATACGAACGCAGACATTCCAATAGGAAAGACGGCACAGATGATATCAGCGCTAGAGATATTATGATGCAATCAACTAATGAAAGTGTTCCTAGAATCATGAAGAGCAATAACGATAAATTTTTTACTAATTTGTGTTCAAAAAACATCAAGGAAACTCACGAAGAGGATTTTATAACGAACAACATAACATATTCTCCCTCCAAACTCATAAAAGTTTGCGGAAAAGCCGTAGTTGGGACGTCTGACTTTGATTCCATCCAGTCTGTGTGCTCCTCGTTCGAGCCATGTTGTAAGACCAAAATTATTATCAACACGCCCTCCTTTCCAAACCATTTCATGCGTGAACACACCTTAAAAACTGGTTAGTTCAATGTTTCCTTTAAAAATCTTATGTTAATGTCGCTGACTATTAAAATTACTATAAAACAATTCAGGAATTTAATTAGAACACACACACACACAGATATATATATATATATATATATATATATATATATATATGTGTGTGTGTGTGTGTGTGTGTGTGTGTGTGTGTGTGTGTGTGTGTGTATATAATATATGTATATATATATATTTCGAATGTATATATATATATACACAGTAATATATTTTTGTATATATTTATTTATTTGTGTGTATATTTTTTTTTCTTTTTCCCTAGGAAAACTGTTTCTGTCTAAATCAAGAATCAAAGAATTGGCAAAGAATGCTCTGTGTAGAGGCAGTTCAAATAGTAACAATTCAGTTCACCATGGTTTCACTAATAATGATGGCAATGTCAAAAGTACGGATACCATAAAATGCATTCCACGGGTTAATCATTCCAAAAAAAAGATTTTTAATGGTTTATGCGGCTTATCTGAACAAAAAAACGGAAGCAAAACTGATGATGAAAATTCGTCATCTAAATTTGGTGATGATCTAACAAAGTCGAGCGATTCTTCTAGTCCTGCCTCACCTACATCAGTTAATCAATGTCCGACAGTGTCCTCACCCCACTGTCAGTTGAAGTTAGGATCATCGGATGTTAGAAGAACTTCTCTTGTTTCTTCTTATTCATCATCTCCTTATAATTACAGCGCATTGCAAACGAACAACTCCAATGGCAAACCCCTTTTTTCTTATTCTAATGGAAAGCATCAACATCTCAGCAACTCTCTGCCATCGTCCCCTGTGCATAAACAAAATCAGCAAACACAATGTAATGTAAGCTATAAGCTGCTGAGTAGCACTATTAGCAAAAATTTGCAACAGAAGTTAACTCATGTAACATCGCAGAGGTTAGTTTAAAACCCTTTGTTACGTAACTTATTATTTTTTCTAAAAATAACGCTGTGATTGGTATGTTATTAATAGAGTGTCCAAAATTTTTTGCATCTAGTTTAATCTTTTTCGTTATAATAATTAATGAGGGGCATGGCACGAAATAACTGATATGTTATTGTTAAAGATGCGATAGCAACCAGTTTAAAAATGAAATTCGTAGGTCTAAAAAACAGATAAAAGTTTTATATGAGTTTTACACCTTGTAGTAACATATATATAGTTCAGAGATGTTACAACGCATTACCATAAGTCAGTACTACCATAATGTGTAATGAATGCAACATAAATGACGTTTAAAAAGGCACTTTGATTATGTTTCTGAAACGGTAAATAGAATTGGAAAAATTTAAGGTGCATATTTAAGAATAATGAGTGGGATTACTTTGAAGGGTTTGAAAATGTTTTCATTATTAATCGATTTGATTTCTTTTATAAACAGATTCAAAGGTAGATCTCAGTTGCAATCACCATTGTTGGTGAAAAGACACATTAAGTCAATGTTGTCCCCACCCACACCCGTGCTTACATCTGATCAAATCGTTGAAAGTTCTGATGAAGAAAATTTGGCCGGCAACACTATGATGACAAGTGAAAATTATCAAAATCTAGAAACGTTTCAAAAAGCTCGTTTACATAAAAAGGTTAAAATATTTGTCTTTGTTTTTTGATTCCTACATTCAAATTATGTGTTATCGCTGTTTTTTTGTTGTATTTGAACTAACACTTTTTGAAATTAGCTGAAGAAAGCTCGTAACAAAAACACTGCGACAGTTTTGGATCAGCCTATGGACATTAATTTGAACTTTCCGCCACAATCTTCTCAAATCCAGTTTTCAAACCAACACCAACCCAAATTCGACAATACCAATAGCTGCACAAATGCCAGCTATTGCTATGCTAACAATGGCTCAACTCATGAAGCTAAACAACAACATTTTGTTATGCATAACAAAACACCCATGTGGAATGACAACAGTCAAGTCTATCAGTTGGATTTTGGAGGACGAGTAACTCAAGAATCTGCTAAAAACTTCCAGATAGAGTTTGGAGGAAAACAGGTTAATAGATGTTTTATTTTTAGTCTTGAGTGTTTTAGTTGCATTAAAGATTTACTATTTATCATTGACTGAACGACCATATTATTTTATTTTGATTATTAATTAGCCTAAATTATAATCAACGAAATCCTTCTCTCAATTTGCTGCATATCTGCTCCTATGGTGCCGCAAAGAATACTGATCAATTTTGTCCAACACTGTTGCTTTCACACAGGTTATGCAGTTTGGAAGGATTGATAATAATGCATACACACTGGACTTCCAATACCCTTACAGCGCTATTCAAGCGTTTGCAGTGGCACTTGCTAACGTAACACAAAGATTGAAGTAGACAGAAAACGATTGGTGTTTTAATTATATATATATATATATATATATATATATATATATATATATATATATATATATATATATTGGTAACTCTGTTGTTAACGCAACATTTCAAAAATTCAACACTACTTTCAACATTGTTCAAACATTGAACAATGTTGAAAGTAGTGTTGAATTTTTGAAATATATATATATATATTTATATATATACGTATATATATATATATACATATATATATATATATATATATATATATATATATATATATACATACGTATATATATATATACGTATACGTAGTATACGTGAGTGTTTAAACAAATGTTAACTCAACTGTATATTTAATTTTTTTTAAAGATATTCAGGAACACGATGTTTTATAAAACCGTGTTTTTGAAAACCTTTCAATCAAAATGAATTTATGAAATCTACAGAATTTGTAGCGTTGCACTCAAGAATGAATTAGAAAACTGTATATTATTCGAACTTTAATAAAATAAATTATGACGACAAGAATTTGGTTAGAAATATTGAGAAATATAATGAAAAAAACTATCCAACGCTAGAAATCCGGTAGATTTCATAAATTAATGCATTAATTATGGTCTTTTACCAGCACATATATATATGGTATGAGACGTAATCGGTATATACGAAGCTTATTATTAGTAAACACGTTGATGTATAAATTTTGTATCGCTGATACGTGGTTTTTTTTTAATTTTTGACTTTGTTAAGGAAGTCATGTTATGATTGCACGTCGTCAATACATTTTCAACATCATGAAAATGTTTCAAAGCGCTCAATAAGTATCATTCCATTTGTTTTGGTTTTCATTTTAATTAAATGAATGCTCATTCAAACAATTTTTTGAAAAAATGTATCTTTTAGATTTTATAATTTTTTTTGTGTTTTTATACATTCTGTTTTTTATCTCTTTTAAATGTGTCATCAATTGTAGAAAAAATTTTGTCCATATATTTGATGTTTATATGTTGTTGATTTGCTTTTGCTGTAAATTTTCTTTACTTTTTCATATCGGCCATCTAACTTTATGTTTATTATCTATGACAATTTTATTCTCAACTGGTTTGGATGCTGCATATGCAGCGAGTCTACGTTTTGAATATTTGTATTTTTTCGTAACATTCAAGTGATTTAAGGACTACGATCTTACTAAGCGGTTATATAGTCAACACTTCTAATGATCTTTGTGGATGATTTCATCCGCCTATTCAAACATATTCTTACATAATGCATTGTTCACATATAAGTTTTTAATGGCATGAATTTTGTACCGTCAGTTTCTAGGTATGATTTTTTAATTTTTTTCACCTAAGATCTTTTTTTTATAACTTCATGGAGATGTTTTGAAGCGCTCAATATAACGTTTGTTTTTTTTAATAATATGCGTCTAAATTTTTTAGGAAGTTTTACCAACTGCACGTTATTTTATCTTAAATAAGAGTTAGAGTCCATAAAAAATAATTTCCAAAACGTTAAAGGGAGATTAAAATTTATTTATCCTTCAAAAATGTGATTTGTTTTGAGAGCCGTTCAGTTAGCGATCATTTAGAGATTGGAATTTTCAGCCTAATTATGTTTTATAATAATGATAACATAAGTTTTATAATTTAGAATAGTAATATTTTATTAATGAAGCTGAGGATTAATTCACCTTCTTAATGATTCTATGTTGGCGTCTAGTAGTCTCTTTGTCAAGTTGTAATCTTATATTTTTCAAACCTTTATCGTGAATTCTGTTGAATGTGCCTGTCTAAGTCGCCCTTTTCATGAATTCTTTTGAATATTCCCACCCATGCCACGTCTTTATTTTTTAAGGTCTTTATTTAATGTCTTCCTAACCCACGCTCATGGTCATGTTTTTCCTTCAATTGAAATTTTTGCCCTGATTCGCTTTTTGGCACTATTTTGTAAGCAATACAAACAAAGCCATTTATTTGTCCTAGTGAGAAATCATTAGTCGTTGATTCCAGTTGTAATTTATTTGTCTCAAAGGCTTTACATTAACGCCCCCTGATATAAATTACCATTTTTTACATTATGGCTCTGCGAGCCGAATGATAATCTTTGAGGTGCGAACCAGTTCAGTCCTCATAAAAGACAAGGAACATGGTACTCCTATATCTTGATCTAACTCGCTTTTTGAATATCTATCTTTTGCTTTGTTAACTCTTTATCCTGGTTTTTCAATTTATTTATCAAGTAGTTAATTCTAAAAACCGGTTCGAGCTCTGTCGTTAAATGTTTGTTTCTTTGTCTCTGTTTTTTGCTGGGTCATCACACCATGCTACTCCAACCGTCACGTTCTATCGTCCATTACTAATTTTTTTGGGAACCACATCTTTGCTACATACATTGCCAAAACTTCATTTAAGAACTATTACAATGAATAAGCTGCGAAACTTTTCTGATGAAACAAGTATCAATAAAAATCACTCAACATTTTCAAAATCTTGTACATATCTTAGACATTTGACCTTTGGTTTCATCGTAAAAAAATTTTATTCAAAACAACGGCAAGGTACGTTTGAAAATAACCAATGACTGATTTAAAGATTAGGATTCTATATAAAAAAATCAGATTTTTTTATAAATGTCTTTTGGAGTGGGTTGCAAGGATGCAAACTGCACTCAGACATTCAAATTTAATACAGATGCCATATTATGTTTAATATCGTAGCGATAGCGTTTAAATGTATAATTAAGAAACGCAATTTTACTTTGTATGAAAATTTTGGCATGAATCACAAGATAATTAATAATATTACCAATTAATTCAGTTACCTGATATGTTAACGAGAACATGAAGTTGTAGTTTTCTATTGTGGCCTATACTTACATATATGCATTACGTTGTGACGTAAAGTTGTGAGTGATTTTTGGCTTACAATATACTAAAAGTATATTAGTTTTCGTTTCATAAACTTTTGTGTTAAGTCCCAATTTTTTGTTCAGCTTGTAAGTTCAGAGTTAATATAAAATAGTGAGCATTTAACGTTTTTCATTTCAAAATCAGTTTCTGTGATATTTATTTGTTCAATTCTATCTGTTCTAATTATGTAACGTTATATTTGACAATTTTCAATTTTTTGTTTTGAGATATCTTTTAATAAATGTTATGTGTCTTTGTATTTCTCAGTGCAGTTGATTGTATTAATAATACTTTATGCGGTCACAAGCACCTAACGCAAGTTTTTTTTTCATTTGTAATAATTATTTTTTTTTATTTTAATTTTATTTGGCTTGTTGATGTTATAATTTTTTATATTCTGATTAATATTATTTATTGAATTTTCATAATTAACGGAAATACTCATATATTAAACAACATTTCCTTCCATTTTTTGATTACATATTCACTAAATATATCAAATTATATTCCATGTATTCGTGTAGAAAAAGTTGTAGGGACGTATGTTAATTTTTGAATTCTACGTGGTTTTTCTATCATAATTTTCAATGTCGTTTTATGCGTGTCTACAGTTGATGTTACACTGATAATAAATATAACTTTGTTCGCAGACAATAAAGTGTGTGAAAGTGTGCGTGTGTGTATGTATGTGTGCGTGTTTGTATGTTTGTTTGTGTCTGTGTGTACGTACGCACGCTTGTGCGCTTTTTCACTAGCTTATAAAACCGAAATTTTTTATTTGAAGTTGATGAAATGCAACTCACTAATAAATTGACTACCGTCCAGCCATCATAATTGCAATTTTCGTATTAGATAGTCGTATTATACCTAAACATATATTTTTAAATTTTTCAAGTTGCATAATCTATTTTAAATTTTTTATTCATTTTGTTAATTTTTTTAAATTAGTAAAAAGAAAAATTGTGATTGCGTTGTAAATTGATGCAATGAAATATTTTGCCTCCTGAATGAAGGAAATTAATTGCACTAACTTATGTGTTAAATTCATGTTCATTAACAAAAGTTTCAAAATCTGTTCCAACTTTTCAAACAATTAAGAATACAAACAATACAAAACGGATGTTTATTATGTTTTAGTGACGTACATTTTTCATTGCAAGAAAATTTAATTTGATAACTTTTTGACGAACGGATTCTAACTCCATCGAGTAGGAAAGAAAAGTTAAAACTGAAAATATTAATTGGAGAAAATTTTTTATTAAAATAAATCCAAAAATGTACTTATTGTTTTGTGAAATAGAAGGAATGTAACAACCTAAATGAATTTGGATAATAATTTAAGGGAATGTCAGCCTAAACCCATGAAAACGGATAAAGTTTAGATCACTTTAGATATGAAAACAAACTGTGGTGATAAACGTAGACATAAAATCAAATGACGGAATGATAAAAATGTGTAAAAAAAATGATGCTAAACATTCTTTTTGCCGAATCTCATCCAGCGAGCCGCGTCAATCCGCTCCGAAAATTTGGAATAAAACGAAACTGTGTTCCTTACTGTGTCTTCAGAAAATTCTAGTCGTCTTTTCAATTGGTGAACTGGGCTCTGATTGCCTCTAACTAAGACAAAAATGGTGGCGGTTTTAAGATAAATGATTGTGACCTTCGTTCTTGGAAATATCTGCGCTTCACTCTACGTAGGTCCAACTTAGGGGAGGTTGCAGCAAGGAAGGAATGACGACCTCGTTGTTGTCTATTTTGTTTTTTGTATCTTCCGGCCTCAGACACTCGTTCATACAAACAAACGGCTATGTCTGAAAGGTTCAAGAAATTTTAAGATAACTTTGCATATTTCTGTTTAACTGTATAATGATAACCATACGCCAAAATGCCACATATCCAATGCCTTATGTGTAAAGCAAGAGGCGCTCAGCAGTCATGTTGAGTTACCATAGAAATTATATAGAATAAATTTGTTGAATGATATTGCAAACGCTTGCGTTTGATATTCTTATATTGTAGTGTACCACACAATCAGTTTGATTTCTACAAACTGGTAAGTCATATTTATTGATTTCTTAAAATCTGTTACCGTGATCGTACAATACGTTCGCTTCAAGTTCATATCAATTGGAATACGAGTGTGTATTTTTTGTATTTACGTGAAAACATGTTTTTTATTAAAAAATAAATTTATTTCCAAAGGTTAGATGTTTTTAAATTGGTTAATTTAAAACACTTCTAATTTTATTTCGTGTTATTAGTTTAATAATATTTTAGCAGCTATGGCATATTTGATAATTTTTTCATTTATTTGCGTCTATTTCAAACAATCACGAAAACTAAAAAACGCTTCTATGATTTAAGAAGCTTATTTATTTAATTAAACTTGAGTTAGCATTAGTTATATTAAGTTAAATTATGTTTGGTTAGTACTCAGCCTTCATTTCCTTGCTTCCTGCATTAACCGTTGAATCAAAAAAGATATTATAACACAACAATAATCTTTGCTATAGTACAAATTTGTTGAATTATATTTCTATTTTTATAAATTGAACCGTTAAAAATCTTAGCAGCCAAAGATTTACTTTTAGAAATTATATTGTCTTTGTAAACACATCACTTGTAATTTTTAACTTGTTTAGTACGAGCGCGGCATTGGTTGTGTGTTGCCGGCGTCGGATCGTCTAGTAAATTCTGCTATATCATTTTTCTGAAAAATTAAATTAAGATGCATTCATTTGATAAACTTAAATCACTTTTTTCAGATCGCTCATTTTCAAGTTAAATAGAATGACTGTTTTTCTAAATGACACAATCATAATGCTAGAAATTTACTAACTAATACTAATTAATTACTAAAACTAAACTAAAGCCTAGCTTGCATATTTTCATTTACCACACAATCTAATACTGAGCTAAATGTTTTTGCTTGATATCCCTTTTTGGAAGCCTTATCGCTCACTCCTGACAGGTTGCAGAATTTTTTCCAAATTGCACAAGGGAACGCTATTCTTTGTAAGATGTTTTTATTCGTTATTTAATGTTGATTTGCCAAATTAAATTTTCTGTTCTGAAGATTTGTAGTTTTTATTAAGTTAATTAAAGTTTAAACAGTTCTAAAAAAAATGAGCGCATGTAGTAGCAAATAGTCAGAAGCACAGGCACTACCTGCTTTTCTCAAGCTAGTGCATTAAAAAATGAAACGTTTTTTCTGATTGAATATCGTATATTGAGTTTTCTAGGCTACTCTAACATTTAAGGCAGTTATAAGCTTGGATCAACAAGGTCAAGATTACAGCAGATACCCACTTTTTACATATTTTATCAATATTTGTAATATGAATAAAGACAAAATGTGAAAATACGAATTATTCAAAAACAATGGAATGTGCACTCAAATGGATTTTTCTAATCTTCGTCAGCCAAAATAACGCTTCCCTAATGTTTGCCATTGATAAATTTAATGCTGATAACTTAAGCAGTTAACTTTGTTTAACGTCCAAAAGTTAATCTTGGGGTTTATATTTTTTTGGAGTTTTATTAAGTACAATCTTCGACAGTAGATAGCTGAATTTGAAGTTTTGTTATCGTAGGAGGTGCGCGATAGTATTCGTTTGTTAATAATTTCCCACCGTCCTTAGAAGGGTAGAAATTTGGTTTTTTTTCTCAGTAGGGCCTACCTAATATGTTTCATTTAAGCAAAGTTTTTTTAGATTAACAATTTTATTGCAAAATATTCAATAATCACATGTGAGCGTTATTGTGACACCGCATTATATAGCAAACATGCGGTTAATATCGTTGTAATAATAAATTGGTTATATTGTTTTTATTCATTTTATTTGCTGATTGCATGTTTTGAATAAACTTGTTGACAAAGCGAGTAGTTTGGATGGTTTTTCAAAACGACATTCATTGATATACATTATAGATATACACCATGTATGGAGTGTTACGATTTCATATTTTTCCAAGTGCCAAATTGTTGACACATTCTCAAGTAAAGTGTAGTCTCCCTATTGCCAGAGATGGCATCCTACTATGTCTTGCATCAGTTCTTTGTTTTTTAAATTTATAAAGTTATAAAAGAACTGTTTATTAAAAACAACTGAATTAGTCCGATTTCAGTTTTTGTTCAGTTTTTAATGTTGCGTCATGCTCTGCTGTGTTGCAATTTTGGAGCGCAAATTAACTGAAAAAACTTATAAACGTAAAAAAGAAATTTAGTATATTGGTGTTGCAGAAAATCAAAGATAGACGAGTCTTTGGGAAAATTCAACGGTAACATTGGGGAAATTGATGGAAGGTTATGTTTCGTCATGAAATCTCTTACAATAAATCCCGCGATCATGTTTATCAAAAGTTCAAAATTGCGGTCAATACGCTATCGTGTTCTTCAATTGCAACAACAGCTAATTTTTCGCGGCGTTGTGTGTAAGTTTTTTTAAATAGAGACGCCTATTTCAAATTTTTATACCTTTTGAAACAGAAAAGGTTAAACTAGTAAAAAATACAAAATAAATTATTCAAATTTTAAGCAGCTGTCTAAAACATCAGAAATTGCATCGTTAAAGTTAAAAAAAAATTTAGTTTGATATTGAAATTGCTTGTATAATAATAATTTATTTGAAGCTTAAAAATCAAGTAATATTCCAGATAAAAAATTAAGATATGTGGCCCTACAATTTCAGTCATAAAAATGGAAATAATTTTGGTGATTTGGCAAATAGGAAGAAAATACAATATTATAGATAAGAAATATAATGAATTACAATTTCTATACATTTATACGAGACATAAAGAAGATTTTTAGTAATGAATAGACTAATTCGTATGATGAAATTAGTAGCAAGTTTTATTTCGAGTGGGTTTGATTGCAACGGGTTTAAGTTTATTTTATTTTCTCTGAGATATAATTCTGACTATTTGAAATATCATCTTAATTGGTAAAAAATGTTTCAAAGAATTGTCTTTACAATCAGAAATGTTATCACAAACACATAATTGAAAAATAAATGTGCAAGCGATGCAACACGCACAAAATTATATATATATATATGCGTGTGTATGTGTATATATATATATATACAAGCACATATTTGTTAGGATAGCTGAAATATTTTTTCATGTAAAAATCTCCGCCTTTTAATCTAACGTTTTCTTGTTGTATGACAAGCGTCCGATTGCTTTCACTACGAAACCTTGTCCAAATTGCTCAGGATCTTAATTAGCTGCAAGGATTAAACCTTCAGAATATTATTATTGGCGATTGTCATTGAAAATTTGACAAATTTATATATGTTATTGAAACATAGATATGCCTTACGTCAAACCATCTAAAAAGATGAAGAATGATAGAACGAATAAAGAACCAACAACGTGGTCGATTTGTAATTATTTCTGGGAAATAATTGGATCACTAGTTTGCTTATTATGCGGAATCATCTACGTTTACATTGTCAGAAATATACATGAGGCTAGAATGTTCTTCACAGGAATCACTGTGAGTTTTTTCTATAATTTATCATTTATTTTAATCATCGAAAACATTTTGATTTACTAAATACATAAACGGTGAACTAAGTTTTATAGACAAATCATAAACCGGGTTTCTTTTTTAGTTTCTGGTGTTGAATTGCAAATATTTTTAACGAAGATTTAATTTTAAATCGGTTATGTGATCTGATTAACTGTTTAAAATTTAACGGACGGCTTGATGGCTTAATGATCAACAGTGCCTGGTCATGTTTCTAACACAAAAAGGTATTCCAACTTTCACACGCATTGTTTTTAATGCGTCGTTTAGCGCGTATTCATGTGGGTTGTTGGTTGATACCTCTGATTTTTAGAACAGTGTAATAGATCTTTATCTATTACTCTTTATCATGTTGGCAACTTTGTTAGTACTAGGCTTTTGGAGAACTGTTTCAAGAGATTTCGACTGATTCAACATTATAATAGGACATAACAAATAGTAAACGTTTTTGCGTTATTGTATCAATGAAATAATTAATGTTCTTCTGCAGTGGCATAAACTTATTCATCTAATACTGCGATATATTCTTCGAAATAATTAAGCAGATGTTAGTGTTTTTGAGAATGTTGTTTATTAGAAATTTTCGCTACATTTAAAGCAATGAATAACAACGATTGAACAAATTTTTACATTTATTGACGGACAACTGTCAATTTGCGCCGTATTAAAATTGTGCTGCTCCGTTCTCATCGTGCATCTTTGACGATGTTGTGCGTATAAATAAAATGAAGAAAGTAGAAAATAAATTTTAAAAGAATAAAATAGAATAGAATAAAATGAAGAGTTTTTAGAAAATTCGTGAACAAAATTAAAAGTTTGGTAAAATTTTTAGAAAAAATGTTTGAACAAAAACTTCAAACTATTCTCTACTATAGCGTGTGAACCATTTTTTTGTTATTTAAACAAATATTTCATTTTTCAAGCAAATGTTTTACTTTTTGATAACATATTTGGCTGTTCGAGCGAAGCATCGTTGGATGCACTCTAGCAAACGTGAGTTGTTCTGTTAGTGATAGACTGTTTAGTTGGTTGCAGATTTTTAATACAGTAAACTCAATTTTTCAACTGTCATTTCTACTTTTTTACTATTGCCACTGGTTTTTTAGTCAAAGGCACTTGTATATACGTTTGCAAAAATTTCGGCTAGCAGTGTAAAATTTTAACGATCTTGAAACTTGTTAACCTGTTTGTCATACTTCGTTAGTTGGAATAACTTTTTTCATTTTATGCGAATGCATTACCACACCGGTTATAAAAACATTATCATAAAGGAATGATAGATAGAACATAAAACTTCTATGAAGGTTAGCACCACGATACTGAAGTTGGCATTTAATGATGAGTAGTTATGAATATTTTATAGACCAACATATTTTTTGGCACCAACCATTTTTTTTCTTTTGTTAATGGTTTTTATTCTCAACCAACTTTCCAAATGATAATTGGTTTATGACGTCAAGAGGCATATTATTTATTGATTCTAAATGAATGTTTGTTAATCATTTACTATTAAAGGAGGTGGAAAGAGAGATCTCCTTTAGAACGGAGAATGGATTGTATTATTCATATTACAAACAATTGATACAATCACCTTCATTGCTGCAAGGTCTAATTGTTAAATTTTAAATTATAATTTTTTTCTGACGTCTGATGCACTATGATGAAGATGAAATTATTATTTGAAGGTGTTTATGATCTGACTCACGATCGTTTGACGGAACATCCTCAAGCAATAAATGTGTTAGCACGAATGAATGTCTATCAGGAAGTTGTACTGGCCGCTATTTATAGGAATGTTCCTTTTATTTCTGTTGGTCAATTTTTCAAATGCGTATTTGTTTTTTAAATATTCCTTATGAACTGTTTTTTGCCGTCGGAATCAATAGAACCGTACAATGTTATTTACAAATACAATGTACGTATTTAGAGTTTTAGCTAATTGCTCTTATGATTTGCATGAGATTAAGTATTTATGATTCTAAGAAAAAATAAAATTACAACAAAATTAACTGATCTAGTCACTGGAACGAAATCATTCATATTCTCATAAAAATTAAAGATAATTGTAAAAAAATATATGGTTAAACGGTGTAATTGTTGATTATGAAAAAAATATAGTTGAATGAATCAGTGAAAATAAATTTGAGAAATTTTTACATTCGTATTATGCCTAAATAACATTTCAGAATTTTAGTTTTAGTATTATTGCTATTTATTATTATTATATTATATTTTTTACTTATCAGTGTTCGGTATTGTTTTAAATAGCGTTGTGGGCAGTATTTGGAAATATTTGATTTATTAATAATCATGTTCCATAATTCGTGTATGCTCAATTGCCCGCTTGTCAAAATATACAACAATGATGAAATGGTTGATTAGAAAACGCACATATTTTCAGATACACGCGTAGAGTTAGTATTTAATATTATAGGATTATTTTGGGTTTGTAATTTTCCCACCTATTTTCAGTCTTACATGGAACCTGTATTTTTCTACATCTACGTCGTATTTTTCCTGCATGGATTGATGATTTGTTCCTTGTTTGTTATGACCTGGGTTCTCTCTGGCACCTGGTTGGCGGGTGTCCTCACCTTTCTCTTCTACCTCATCAACAGGTTTGTTTTTTAGTTGGTTGTTCATTACACTATGTAGAGTTTGTGTGATTGTTCTTTAAAAATTATAGCTCATACACTAGGCAGTTTATAAAAAAGATTTTCAGTAAGGAGGTTTGGAAAAAAATGTTATTTATAGTTTAATAAATTGACAAAGCATATATTTGAAAACGAAAATCTTAAAATAGTTAAGAAAATTGAAAATTATTCTTTTTAACAAACTTTTTTAGAAGCATTGATTTTTTAACGTTGTTATAAAAATACCAATCTTGAAATATTGAATTACTTTAATTAATAATTTTTTCAGCGCTGATGTAACGAGAGTCGAGACTTACATGCCTCTCCGTGAGAACTTCTCCCTGCCGTGTTTGTGGATGCAGTTGCTCGCCATCACTCTTTATTTCCAGTCTGATTCATCACCCAAACTTAAGGTATCTCTTATAAACCTATAAATGAACAAAAAAATACTTGTTGAACATCTGTTTATATTTTCAATTGTTATTGTTTAATAAATAATGAGGCGTGTTTCTGCTGTAGAGTGGGGTTTCAACCACTCATTCATCCTTATTATCACCATCATCGTCATTGGCTGTCTGTCCGTTGACGACAATGGTTGAACGAGATATTACAAACTTCTTAATGGATTTTTCCCATTCTCGGCTTCGAATTTCTTCCAACGCATCCATCACGCCTTGATCAATCATGTCTCGTTTTTGCTGGCTGAAGCGTTATTTATTTATTTATCTGCAATTTTATTTATTGAATGTTTCAATTTCTGAAATCTGCTTTTTCTTTAAAAAAAGTTTCATCGTTGCATTTTTATACTTCTTCGTTTAAGCGTAAAAAGATTTTCAAATAATTTTATTATTTTTAGAAAACAGAAATTTAATGAAATATGTAATTTAAAATTTTTTAAGAATTTTTATGAGAAAACCATATCAATTACGACATTCCTGTTTGCTCTGATGTGGCAGTTCAATCAATTTGCATTACTCTTACAATGCATGGCTCTGTTTGGCTGCCAGGTACTTCACGTGGTCAACAAAAAAAAGGTTACTCTTTGTGTATGTGACCAATTGGTCACGCCTTTATAATAAAGTTAATATATTTTTTTAATGTTCTTGTTTAATAAAAAGCGTTCCATTTGGAAATATAAATAAAATTCATAATTGATATGAATTAAAATATAATATATTTTATACGTTTATAAAATTCCAAAATTGAACCGTTCCAACAGATTTTGCACGTGTATATCAGTATTTTCATCTCAATGCTAGTCGTCAGTTTCTTGCAGTTTTTCAATACGATGATTCTCAGTGGATTTTTACTAAGTTTCATACTGGCAGCATTCACTATTATGTATTTCCAGGTTGTTAATTTATCGTATTTTTATTTCAGATTTTGCATTTTCTTAATTGTTTTTTTGTTGTGGTAGTCTGTTTTTGAATGATGTCCTGGATTGCAAACCACGTTCTTTTTTAAGACGTTGTTACGCTTTTTCTATTGCTGGGAATTGTCTTGAATTTGTCGATAACATCTGACGATAGTTTATGTCTTCGTATTATCATGCTGATTGTTGTAAAAGTTCTAAAGCTGACATCCAAATAAAATCGACAGTCAACAGTCCAGACGACATGTCGTTGGTTCTTCAAATTGTTCTGGATGGTTTTCAACGTTATCGCCGTGTTTGTCGTCGCATCATTCATCAACGCACTAACCAAGGTTTATATGCTAGTTTTTTTTTACAAATCAATTTTGAATCTTTTAAAACGTCACGTCAGTATTAATATAATTTGCGTAAAAACCTATCGAAAGCGCGTTCTCGAGGGAATTATCGGAGAAATTGTAGCCATCCTGAAAATTTTAAATGTAATAATTTACTCTCAGTTTATGTGCATATGTGTAATCAAAACAAAATATTAACAGAAAGAAAGTTATACAAGAAACAAAAATAGATTCATTTGTTCATTATGTACGTACTATGTTCATCAATGTCAATGCATTTAAAATTGAAACATTGAATTAAAACAAAATGAACCTCAAGCAAAAATTTTTTGGTTTTATTTAGTTAATATTTCAACAAGAATCTGATGAACATATAAATCGATTTGTCCTGGCCAAATTTGGATTCTCTTCCTTAGTGTATGTTTTTATATGTTGATTTATATTTATAAATGTGTTTATGATATAAATGTTCGTACATGTCTGTACTGTACAGCTTTTGTGTTTTGTCACTGCTCTTAAACCCCATGTTCATTATGCTAATTGGTTTATCAATGATCGTGTTTTTGTTACGTTGCAAATACAAATTTGACTCATTAAGACTAATCATTATTTAGAAATTTAACTCTTCTAGTAGAGGTCGACAAACTAGTCTGCGTTTGGTTTGCTGTCACCAAAATCCATGCGATGGTAAACTAAGTCGAACCATGAACTAAGCAAAATTATTTTTATTGTGACATTTTTTGCTGGTGCATCTTTTAAATAAAGTAATATTTTTCTTAGCTTGAAGTCGTGTAAGCCGGAAACCTAACCCTATGACCACGTCATTGTTTGTGTTAAGTGAGGTGTATTGAGAAAAACGAGAAACAATTATTAGAAAAATGTTATCTTTGTTCTCTAATGAAACTATTTGTACAATCTTTTAACACTAGAGACTTTGATGTCCGTCTATATTTATGCAATGGAGGATTCACATTTCTCTCGTGGGACTATGCGGAGAGGTTGCTGGTGAATATGGTCCTTCCACAATACATTCTTGTACATCTCGTCTTGCTGATATTACTCTTGATAACCTCTATCAATATTTTATTCAGGTTTTTAATAATTTTTTTTAATAATTTTTTATTTTTAAACTGTCCAAGGCTGTCAGTTAGTTTCAAAATTGGAAAAATTGTCTGTACAATGTTGAAGAATTCAAAAATTCTTACACACAAAAGCTTGGGGTCATTCTTCACTCCAATGATGTTCTCATAACTTTAGAATTTTATACTATATTTTTTTGTAATTTTTTCATGTATTTGATTAACCATAGGCTGTATTTTTTATTTAATTCCAAATTATACATTATCCACATTGCACATCGAGATAAAGTTTTTGATTGTCTTCTATTCATAACTAAGCTACAATCTACGCAAAAGTGAACTAGTTGGACAGTGGATGACAAAAACTTTGCAGAATTGTTGATGAGTTTTCATTGAACAAAATTTTCTAGCAACGTTTTGGAGTGCAGGCAACACAGTTTTGCGGAAAGATGAATTTAAAAATTTAACAATGTGATGAGTGCAGCCAGAGATAGGTTAAAGTTCAAACATTCACGATTGACAGAAAATACAAATGTATAGTGATTTGTTTTCACAGTCTGCTTTATACTGTTAATTTTAAAAACAAATAATAATTTTAAAAAATTTTAAATTTATTTGTTAAATTAATTCAGAAAGAAGTTAGTCGTATGTGTGCAAATAGTTAAAAAAAATATAGAAGTTATGGCTTCAAGTACTGTCATATGGTTGGGCAAGATTACGACGGAGCACGGCACGGTGGGTGCTCAACTGCACGTTCGCAAGAAATGTACTCTGGCTCACTTTATAAGCTGTGGCCCACATTTTTTTTCAATTTTACCATTGCTGCCCTATGTTCACAGTCAAACATTCGTGATTGTATAGAGATTGCAGAACCTCTTGGAATGGATTTTAAATATTCTGCTGGTTGAAACGTAAAATTTCACGAGACAAATCTCATAAATGTTTACTTGGGGTTACTTGGCGACTTAAGCATAAATCTGGTAAAAACTTTAAAAAATTTAACTGCCAATCATGATCTTCCTTCTTCAGCGAAATGGCACGTGATATAATCGTTTTCGATAATTTGCAATTTACCATATAAAAGAAACCTCCCGCAAAGCAAGTTCAACTTACAAACACATTCTGAACTGATGATATTTTGATGTATTTAATTGTGATGAAGAAAGTCGTGGGTTACGGTAAAAATTAAGTGAAAAGCACTGTTCCTAAAAACAGTGTAAATGGACTTTTAATAAGAATTTTGTCTTCTCTTTTTTGGACGTAAAAATCTCTATAACAAATCATCATTACTTGATATTTGCGAAAAAATATTAATACAAGTTATAAAATGTTATAATTGCAGCGCTAAAACTGAAAACATCGATTCTTTAATTGAAACTTCAAAGACTGGCGATTCCAACTTTTCATTTTCGAATTACATTCTTAAACCAGAGTACTCATATCACTCAAGTTAGTATGGACTATTTCTTTTGGTATTAGCATATTTTTTCATTTTGATATGAGAATCAACAACTTTGGTGTAAAATATAATTGCGTGAGTAAATACATACATGATATACATATATATTGTCACAAACAACTAGGATGGCACTCACTATAGGCTGAATTTTCCTGAAATAATGTAATGTACAAGTCAGAATTCGCTAACTGAATATTTACGGTCTTTTTTGTACTACCAAAAACACTCAAAGTGAAGTTATTTGGCGCAGTCGTCTGTATAACAGAGTCATCTTTTGAAATTAAAAAAAAATCTTAACTAATCGGTATCCATTGGCTTTAGTAAATAGTTTTATCGCCGTTTCGTCTTAAAAATGTAATCCCATTTTGCTTATTTAAACAATTTTGTTAGTAATTATGTTACTTCTAATCATTTTCATTTGTTTTTTGTTATTTTTGGTCACTGCTCTGGGAGTTTTGCATTGCATATGATGTTAGACGTTTAATTACTATTTTTATTTGAATTATTTATTTATATATTATTATTGGTGGTAGTTGTAGTAGTAGTGATGGTGGTTCTTGATTCAACATCGTTCCTAGGAACAGATATTTTATAAAATCATCGGGGTTTCCAAGACATGTTATAAAATATCGGCGGTTAGACGATATATCTATATTATCTCGATACATCGGTATTTTTTGATGTTTCTGCTATTTCATCCTAGTAGTGGCGGTAGTAAGAGTTGCGGTCATATTTTGTACTAAAATATAAAAATTAAATTTTTCCAAATTTTAGTTCAAATGGTATTTTTTGGAGCTGTGAGTATCATAGCTATGCGCATGAAATACTTCTGGACTCCATACATTTGTGTGTTTGCATCGGTGTGTCTTTTCAAACACCAACCTTGGGCTCTGCTAGTCAAAAAAATATTTTCAAATCAAAAGGATGCAGGCAGAAAGGTGGGCAGGCAGGCATGCAAAATCTTATTCTTAAATTTAATATTATAAATTATAATTTTCAGCACATTCTTTTAAAATTTTGTTTTTAATTGATACCAAAGGTGAAAATGATCTTGACGTCAATAGGAGTAATTTTCATATCATATTTGGCTCTAGACGTACGTTTATTTAATAGTGTGAATTTTTCTAGTGTGAAAATATTTGTTATGCTTTTTATACTAACGGCTTATATTCAACACAACCTTTACCTAACAAGTTCAGCTTTTGGCTATAAAGTAACTTCATTAGTTAATACCACTCGAAAAATGTTTATTAAATGTCAAATGCAAATCAATTTTGCTTTGAAAACATTTCTTCAACTCCCGCTTTTCTGCATTTAATGTTGCGAGTTGACAAGATGTCCTGCGGCATTATAACGAAACTCTAAACGTAATGTTTGTATGCGCCGTCAAACAATAATAGATTTATTTTAAAATAAATTTAATTTTTTAAAAAATAAAACGATAAATATTAACATACAGTGTTTCAAAAACGTAAGAGAAGAAATAAACAATTTGAGGGAATTTTACGACCCAGACACCGTTGAATTGATGCATTGGATCAAGTCTGTTATATTTTATTTATTAACTGCTGAATAAATATGCTGATTAAAATATTTAATTCTTTTATTTTTCTCAAATTTATTGGTAAGAGGCAATAAATTCATGGTATCATGGTAATCAATTTTTTGAAAGTTTTGGAAACATCCTCATTCACTTCTCTCTCTCTTTCTCTTCTTCTATATATATATATATATATATATATATATATATATATATATATATATATATATATTGGATTAAGAAAATCACAGCTTGTTCCGCGTTAGTTTACTTCCAATTTAACTATCTAATTTTTCTAACGGTTGATCGTAAATCATTTTCTAGTTTCTTTAGTTCAAAACTTAAATTTTTGTTTTTATTTTATGCCGAATTGTTATTTCCAACATATATATATATATATATATATATATATATATATATATATATATATATATATATATATATACATATATATATATCATGTGCATGAGTGTTAGTGGATGTGCCTGCATTCTGCAGATATTTTACGATATTTTCTAAATTTTTATGCGCGCATGGTCAGCTACTTTTTGTTATACCCTACATTTTTTAATAATAAAGCGGTGAGTCTAAAATTACAAATTTGTTTAAATTAACTTCAGTTAGGTTAATTCGTGTTTCTTTTTATTCTTCCAATTACAACATGTTTGTTCTTTGTATTCAATTTTTTTTTTTTAAAGTGTGCGTTCTCTTATTACTTTTTATCTTTTTTTGTTACATTCTGATAGTTATTACATTTTAAGAAATTTTATTTAGATATTAATCTTGGCCAAAATTTAATAAATAATATTTTTAATTTTTTTTAAATTTAAATTTTTTTAAATTGTGTTATTTGATTTTTTCTATTTTTGGTCCAAACTGCCGTGGCGATGAAAGTTTAAATGCTTTCTGTTGGTCAAGATAATTAAAAACCATCCGATTCAATTAATTATTATTATCTTAATCAGCAACAAGACAAACCCCGGAGACTCTTTTTCAGGGAGCATGCAGTTGATGGCCGCAGTTAAACTGAGCACGGGCCGCCCGATTACAAACCACCCCCACTATGAAGATAAAGGCTTGAGGCTTAAAACTAAAGATGTCCGTTAATTTCAGTATCAAATTTATATAACTGTTTTGCTATTTATTTAGCTAATTTTATTATTTTAAAAATAGTCTATATAGAAATATATTTTTAGAAATACGCAATTCCATTAGTCAAAATTTTACCATTTTTGCGTCGTCATGCGAACTCAAATGCAATGAATTAAAGCTCTCTAATTTGTTTATATTTATTTGTCATAAAGATTTATTGTTATTATAAAGATTTACAAGTATTACGGTAGATACAGTGCCGACGAAGTTCATGAAACTCTGAAAAAATATCAAACAAATTATATTATCATGGAGGACAGTATTTGTTTGGTGCCACTGAGGGATGGCTGCGGACTTCCTTACATTATGGACATGGAAAATGGATGGGTATGCACTAAATTAGATTTTATTCAATACAATTTAGATCGATTCGTATTATGCGGCTCCGGCGACTTATTTGTTATAAACTTTAATTCAAGGAACTCGAACAGACCAGTCTCAAGCTAGTTTACAAGTTGAATGACACGAATATTCATCCACGATTTTGTGAAAAAGTTAGATACCAGGAAGAATCATACAAAATGTTTTTCAAACTTGTTTTTGAAAATAAAACATTTAAAATTTATTTGGTTCTTTAGAAATTTGAAACTTTCAGAATAAAAATGTCAGAATCAGCTTTAAGTTATATTTTATTTGTATTATATTTTATTTATAATAAAAAATATACTTTTTTTTATGACTTCGCATACAACATAACTTTGAGGTCGTTTGAACGATATTAAGCGGTTTGGATACAAACGGAATTGATCGACTACAATAATATATATTAATGTACGTGAATACAACTGATAAAGATTTTACAGTACGACTGACGAAATGTAGGTATTGAGCAAGGAAGAAAATTTTATACGTTTTTGGAGTTTGAAAAACCTGATGAAAGGTTCCAAGAGAGACTGAAGGATGAGCTCTGAGCTAATTTTAGGTAGAAATTGTAATAGGTAATAATTCAAAAACGGTGATTCGTAAGTACCAGAAAGTTAAAGATTTTTTCATTAAGATGCGGCTTCAATTCAATGCTGTTTATTACAGGGATGAATTAATCATAAAGAGCGTATCTAAATATAACAAGTTTATCTTAGCGCCCTTTAAAAATTTAGAACTTTGTGCTTTTCAGGTACTCCATAAATGAAAACGTCCAGTGTCAACGATTTGTAAGGTATCGGAAAGTTTAAAATTATCACGCGGCTTTTAATTTAATAGTTATAAAAGAGAGCTGAATACATTATTAAACACAACATCACAAGTTCATGTAGCTTATGTACAAGTACACAATTTTTAATTTTCTGTATGCAAATATATGTCGTTGACAAATGTTTCCCAAAGTGGGGCATCGAGGGCAATTTCACTATCGAGGGAAGCGGTGGGTAAAAACAGAAATAGTTAAAGTAGCATGCAAATATGAAGAAAACGCTATATACAATTATAAAATACATGTTTTTATTATGAAAACGCGGGCGTCATAAACCAATAACATTACAAAATGCACGAGCCTGCTAACAAAATAAAGATTTATGAAATTCATGGATCAATTGAAATCATATAAAATTTCATTATGCTTCAACAGGTTTAATGCAAACAAAAGTAATTACAAAATAAAACTAAAAGATTACAGCAGTAATTATGCTATAATCATGTTATCATATAATCTGTGATGATTGCCAACACCGGTTAACAATTGCAATGAAAGGAGTTACTCACAGAATATTTCTTAAGTTAATGATCAAAAAAATAAATTTACAAATGATCTTCATGTCAGATTTATATAGCTGACAACGCAAAAGTCAATTGCCGTTTATGAGCGAAACTGTTGGACAGATTTTCCTTCCCCACAACAATTAAAAATATTGCATATTTCATGTTATGAATCAAGTAAGTTTTGAAATTTCAGAAAGCACCATCAATGAGCATGAAATCATCATCGAAACTGAAATCTAAACCATCACCAAACTTCTTCTCATGATCGATGACTTGGTCTATGTTGCATTCGATGTCCAGATCTAACAAGGATAAATCCAAATCACTTGGCAGAAGAATTTCACTAGCTTTTGGTATTTCTGAAGCTGTCGTTAAACCTAAATATTGCATGTCTCCATTTGACGACAACACATTTATATTCGAGTTTACCGTGATTTCCTGTTGACTAAAATTATTTACATTATTAACAAATGGAGTTGTATTTGGTGTAAATTGTTGTGAAGTTTTTTGAACAGGAAACATTTCAGCAGTATTCATTTGGGACAAAACGAGATGACTATGTTGATATCTTGAATCAGCATTATTTTCGGGTAGTTTTACCACAGGAAATGGCAATCGATTAAATGGCTGGTTGGAGGTACGATGAGCAGAAGGTATTGAACGATGCAGGTGGTGGGGATTATTTACATTTGAACTTTTCTGACATTTTTGTCCAGCAGTCAACAAATGTCTCAACATGCTTGAATTCTGAGGAGGTAACTGGTTTTGATGGTGATGATGAGGATTTACATTGAAGTTGTCACTTTGTTGATGCAACGCACAGTTATGTTTTCGATTGTCATCACATAGAAGGCGTGGCAGTATCAATTTGTTATTTGAATTTTCAACGAACTGACGTTGTAATTTGTTTTGTGATTTTTCAGTTAGCAACTGCAGTAGCAGGCCATGATTTGATTTGAATTGTTCTTGCTCTTGCCAAGAAACAGGTCTAACTGGAGCAGCCATATCAACAGAATTTTTAGAATTCAACAAGATACCACTACACTGACTTTGGCACAAATCAAAATCATTATTTACGGCAGAATCATTCTGACTCAAATACTCACTAAGCAATGGATTTTTGTTGCTGATATTTTGATCACTGTCTTCAAGTAAATGTTCACTTTGATAATTATAATTATTCAAATTATTTTGTGGTTTCAGCCCACTACTTCTGACCAACCTACCTCCACTCAGCAAATAACTTTCATTTGACTTAATATCATTAATTGAATTGTTGAATAATTGATCATTGTTCATTAGGAAAGTTTCATTATCTGTTTCCTTTCCATTTCCGTTGTTTTTGAAAAAATTTGTTCCAAATATTAAATTGTTTATATTAGATAGCATAGGCAGAGAATTTGAATATGCAGCATTTTCGGTCTTAATCACAGTCATTTTAGTATTATTTATTGGAATCCCGACTGAATAAGGATCTGACTCCATAATGTCTGTTGACGCTAAGTTGAAAAAGTCCTCTGCTTCTCTACCTTTACAAAAATCATTCAGTGAAAAATTATGATCAGAGATTTGAGATTGAGGCCACTGGAAAGGCTGATCTGTAAAGGATGACGAAAGAGATGATGCTGGCGCAGGTGGCAGGTGTTTTTCATCTGAATCATCAAATGTCTCCAACTTGACATTTTGATGATACACGTGTGCATTCGATCTTGTCAGTGAATTAATGAAATCATCCATTGCATTGATACGATCATTAAAATTATCATTCGGAACTGAAGAAAATGAGTTTAGCAGAGTTTCCTCAGATCTATTATTTTTTGAAACATCAACAAAATTATCCATTGACTCCATTTTTTTCATTTTTCTTTGTGACTGTAAGGCTGAAAGTTTGGAAACATCCATAGTTGCGGCTCGTCGCCGTGGTAACTTGCTGGATTTGTAATCAGGATTCAGCATCCACCAAGAACTTTTACCTGTGCTTTCATTTTGAACTTTCATGAAGCAACTATGCAAAGATAGGTTGTGTCTGATGGAATTCTGTTATGCAAAAAAATTATTTATCACAGTTTTAAGAGAATGATAATTATCTTAATTTAATGATAAACATAAATTGCTGAACAAGTGTATTAGTTCATTCATTGTTTTGACAAAATCTAATAAATCTAATAAATATTTTTAGCAAAATATTTTCTTAAATTTTCTCAAGTTTTATAATTAAAAATTAAGACCAACCCTTACTAAAAAAAAGACCCTAACTAAAAAGATAAAAAATGTTTACAAAATAAAAATTACTCTTGAATAATGGAAAAAACTAAATTCATCAAAAGCAAATATTCTTGGAAGGGCTTTATTTTTGGGCCTGCAAACCATTAATTATTCATGTATCTTTAACACTATTCAGCTAAACCTATTGCCAAAAACTAGTGCTTGTTCAGGTGAAGGTGAGGATTTGTTCATTTGAGTCAATAATATATTAAAAAATTTTAAATTATGCATCCATATTAAGAAATAATACATTTAAATTGCATGAACAAAAGTAATATCTTACTAGGTTTTTTATAGATAAAATATACATTAAAAAATTAAATATTCAAATATTAATAATTTGATCTCTACCTTCCAGCCTGCAGAACTGTTAGTCTCACCTTTTTCTTTAAAGAATGGTATATTTTGCATCATCCAATTATATATTTCTGACAGAGTCATTCGTTTATTTGGAGTGCTATTAATAGCTTTAGTAATAATATCAGCATAAGACCAATTTCCCCATGCATTTCTTCTTGTAAAATTTTTTCGGGTACCAGTTGACACTGCTGCCTGTTCATCTGAAGCTTTTTCAAACTTTTCAATACTTTCATTTTCTGCACTGTCCTCTATAATTGTTGCATCATTTGCATTAGCAGCTGCAGTTCTATGTAAATTACCATGTAATGAAGGTCTATCTCCATGCCATGTGTATGCTCTGAGTCGGTACTGTGGACTAAAATCTACTTTGTGGCTAATAGAATCATATTGTTCATCAACATTTCTGTTGTCATAACTTTCACTTTCATTTTTAATAAATTCAGCGATCTCACTCAAATCCATAATTCTACCATAACTTGATATTAATTGATGACTGTTTAAAAAATTAAATCTTCAATCAAATCTGAAAAATTATAACATATTAATGTAATCTAGTCAAAGTCGTATCCCAGGTTTCAGTCTACACAGACAGAAACAGACTTTATCTCTTATATTGTATGCATTGGAATTCTTTTCTGTTTGCTTATTATTGTAAACATTCAAAAAATATTTGGAGAAAATTTTCCAAAAGCAATCAATCACCAATCTAATTGTCTTACAAAAAAACTGAACTGAAAAGACTGGAAGTTAGGGTTTGATATTGAATGGATCACACCATAACAAAACGGTTGAAAATAATAATAGTTTATTTTTTATTAAGTAATAATAGTAACATTATTTATTTTATTATAAAATATAATAAACAAATTTCATTGATAAGACCTCCTTTTAAAAAATAAATTTTAAGTTTAGCATGCAGTTCATTCCTTCCTGCTACTACTAGCCAAGACGGATCTACGACTTAACCAATCTTCTAACTAATTACTATTTGAATTGTCAATAGAATTTGCATCAAACTGAACTTCTTTGAATATTTTATTTTTTATTAAAATAAATAAAAGTATCAGCCAATCAAATTGAAAAATCAGAAGCTTAAAAACTTGTTCGAAAACGTTTTCATAAATATTAGCAATGACTTTTTTAACCAGTCAAAATACCCCAACGATGCCAAATCCGGTGCACTAACTGATTAAACTACAAAATGATTCTGCGTATTTGCCGATGTTGATGACACGAAACTAAACAAACACCTACAGCCTACCCCCATCTTCACGTTATATCAAGTTCAACAGCGAAGTACAACAAATTTGGCGCATCATAATGGGTCAGGCTATTTGACTTTCTTGGCTTATTGGCTTAATTACGAAATTGTATGGGTTATAACAAACAACTAATACAAAATATTTACTTGACTAAATATTTTTAAAACAATATAATTAAATTGAATTTATATAATTTAAAATTATTGTAGTCAATTTAAATAAAAATATTGCTTTTTGTTTTGAAGTGTCTTACTGAAGCCATGGTTGGCTTTCTAACGAAATTGCATGGGTTTCAACAAACAAATAATACTAAATATTTATTTGACTTAATATGCTTAAAACATTGTAAATGAATCGAATTATGTAATTTAAAATTATTTTTTTCAATCAAAATAAAATCATTGCTTTTTGTTTATAAAACACAGTGGCTTACTGCTTAATGAAGCCAAAGGTAGGCTCACGAAATTGGATGGATTCGTACTTGTAGTAATTGCAAGGATAAAATTTTTTAATTATCATTGTTAATCTTTTGCTTGTATGTACACATACGTGCACACATACATATAAATAGAATAAATATTCATACATACATAAATGAACTTAGAGTTATGTAATTTGCAATTATTTTTTGTCAATTTTAATGAGAATTTCGATAGCTTGTTTATTGTTCCACGATCTACCAAAAATAAGTTTTAATCTAATTAAAATAAAGCGTATTTAATGGCTGATCTAAAATACTTTTGAAATTTTTAAAGTGAGTTACACCAAAATACTGATTGACAGGTGCGTATCCCACTAAGCACTATGTGCCCAACTATGACGCTTTTATCTCTGTTTGAAAACTGGGATTAAATTTTTTTGATCGTTCGCATGGAATAATTTTCCAAACATTGAAAGCTCTTTCCCACCACAGCGCACCAACCGCTTTTCATTTCATAAAAATGAATTATGTGATATTAGTCACGTGAAGTTTTTGTTTTTTATACTTTAGCAGGTACTTCTAGGAAAATTAGGCATATCAATTTTTTATTATTTATGTTACCATATACGGTAAATGGGTTTAGAGAACAACAACGGCCTTTTTATATTTTTATCATATTTTTTTAATACTTCATAAACAAATATCACAATTTAAAAACGATGAAATTTTTACATGTTTTGTCAGATAATACAAATTTTGTCTGTGAGAACCATATACATACAAATAACTAACTGAAAAAACATAATCTAATCGTTTGACCTTATCATCATAATTGTCTCCTTTAAAGATATATGTTCATCAATGCCGTCCCAAATTAAACCATCACGATTGAAGATGTCATCGAATTCATTCATATATAACATTTTTGTTTGCTTTTTGAAACTTTTTTTGTAGTGTTTATAAATGCCGTTTAAATGGGATTTAAAACAAGCATTAAACCACCAGGCACCTTGGTAATGAACGGCGCAGTTGTCATACTTTCGTCCGTCATTGTCACGATCTTTCGTACTGAATTTTTGATTATTGTGGTTATTTTCAAATACCGAACTAAGAGAATCGTTACTCGATAAAAATTTAGTATATTCATTTCTGTCGATGTTTAATATTGACGAACTGTCGCTTTCTATTGGTTCAGGAGTTGTTGAAATGAAATTATCCCTGCCGACGAAGCCACCAACGGTTAATCGGTAGCCATCTTCTTCATCAGATAATCTGAAGTTTTCATATTCTACAGCGTACCTTTTTATTTGGTTGAATTATATTCAAAAATTGAAATTCGCTTCAAGTTAGTTAAGTATGTCTAAATGTAAAACCAATTTTTTTAATATTCATAAATTTAAATTTTTTTATATGAATAATTTTGAATGAAACTGCTCACTTCAAACCAGTCCATGTCTTCATTTCTATTCGAAGCCTGTAAGATTCTTTTTAATAAAGTTAATGACAGTTAAAACATAAAAACAATTATCAAAATCATTTTTTTTCAAATTTTCAAAAATTCATTCTCCTGATTACATTCCCATATAAAAAAGCAACGTACTTAGGTTAGAGCTAGAGATAAAATTTATATACGTTTTATTTGCATACACATATTTATTCACATTCAGTGACTTAGCCAGAATTTTTTGCAAAGCTTAATTTTCAACTATACGTTTGCTACCTTTTTTCTTATCCCACACATTTCTCTGCCAATTTTCCGATCAAAAGCAATTTTTTCTACAAAATAAACAGGTTTTTATTGTTGTAGAAGAAGGGCTTGTCCTGATTTTTATTGAGGTTTTGTTCAAAGTAACCTTTAACCCTAGCTAAACATTACAACAAAGCACCTTCGCTTTTTTGTTTTATCATAAGCTCTCTTTCCAAAATCCTCTAACCATAAGCACTTATGCTTATTAAATTGACGTGAATCAGTCAGAAACAGTGAAATCCTCTTTTTATTTCAAATATGAATTACAGCTAAAAATAGCAAAAAATGTATATATATATACAAGGAGAAAACAACATTGAGTCCGTGCAACTTTAGTTATACATTTTTAATTTATAACAATTGAACAGTAACAAATGAAACATTGTTAATTACTTTGATTAGTTAATTGATGAATTTTTTCGTTTCCAAACCAGAACTCTGCCGATATATTGCCGAAGCCTCGTTTGTATTCGTCCCACGTTCTAAAAAAATTTTCCTGCCCATTGTATCTTCTTTGAATGACTGTCCACACTGAAATTAATTCAAACTGTTCCAATTATTGAAATGAAAATTGAATGAAGTAAGGCTTATTTTGATTTGAGATGCATAACCATTAATTTTATTTTGGAGACAGGTGTCTATTTATTTATTTCAAGTATGTTTTAGATATAAACAGACACGTTTGCTTTTTATTTTGATATTCAATAATTGAAAATAACATCTGAAAGTCTAAACGTAAATGATATAAAAATTTGCATTGCACAGTAGAAAAAAACTTCATAAGGAAAAAAAAGTGTGTTGTAAGTTCAAATTTTATAATGTCATGAAAGGAAACCAAACTAATTAAGAATATCTTACTATAATTTGCTGAGAAGTAGCAACAAAAGTAAACAGGCCCGTGAAACATCTTCAACTGTATGGAAGTAATTTGAAACTGCTGCAAATTTCGAGGTACATTTTTGCAATCTGAAGAAAAGAAAAATGTCGATTCGCATTATAATAACGGCAAATTATCATTTTTCTGTTATAGATTCATTAAAAAAGAATGAATACTACCGATTGGCCCCGCCACTGATTTCTTAAATTTAGAGTTGTGCTTGACATCGTTTGCATTTTTATAATTCTGGTGATAAAAGGTCGTCAAGTACAAAATAAGAATAATAAACTAAAATTTTATGAAATTAATTACTTCGTCATTCATTAAATCAAAGAACATTTTCAGTTGCTTTTTGTTTTCTTTTAACGTTTGGTTGAATTTTGACAACGATGATTTCATGGCGTTCATCTCTTTCAAAAATGGATTCAGAATCCTTTGACATGAAAATATTCCAAAATAGAAATTATTTAGTAGTATAGTAAGAAATTATAAATGATTGAAATGAAAAATATCAATAAAATGTAATTTACTTAGATATTTTCCTTTCCACGAATTTTTCTATTTTGTTTTTGTAAATTTTGTTCCAGCCATTTTTACTACAGAAATGCTCTCCACATGTATGGTTCTTTTTTGATTCACACACATTTACTTTCACTAAAAAAATCAGATTTATCCATAAAGCTAAAAATTTGTACAAATTCATCACGAAAGAGACGACGAGATTTTAAGATTTTATTCTGAGTTGGAAAGTTTTTCTATGACATTTTTTTAAACTTCATCAAAAATACAACTTCAAAAACAATAAAATGTCCTTATTCAAGCACTTGTTTTCCGAGATTACATATTGTTTTCCGGGATTTTATATATATATATATATATATATATATATATATATACTGAATTCATACAATACTGTATATAAAATTCATATCATATATATTCATATATATAGAATTCATAAAATACTGTATATATATACATATATGTATGTATATATATATATATATTATATACATATTATATATACACACAGGTGCGCACACGCACTCACAAACACACACACATATACACTTATATATATATATATATATATATATATATATATATATATATATATATATATATATATGTACACGCATGTATTTATACGTATACAAAACACATATATGTAAAAACATCTTTATGAAATAATAAAAAAATACATAAAATGCTTGTTTTTAAATATAATATGCACTGCTCTGCAACTGCTGCAGATGTTTGCTTGGTCTGAAGATAATTATAATGAGAACAACAAAAAGTTATTTCTTTCACAGAAAATGTTATTTCCTTTGATAAAAAATTTTTTTTCTTGTACGTAAACAGGATCTTAACAGCTTGTAAGTTACGTTGGTCTTAACAAAATTTATTGAATGAGCAATGAATCGGTGGTATAACAAAAAAAAGAAACAACTTGACAACCAGTCAAATGAACGAACGGGTGAACGATAAAACGCATGAATGTAAAAATAATTTTCGACAATAATAAATATATACAAATTAGTAATAGTGAACCATAATCAATTTATTTTAACGCAAAGCTGGTTACCTGTTTTTTGTTAGGTTTAATCAACTGCAATTTATGTTCATCTCCCAAATCAAAAAACTTTGATATCTCTTTTTTAATGTCGTAGATTGATTTTTCAAGTTTCAAAGATAACATTACATGCAGCAGATTGAATGAAAATAGTGCTAATTTTAATTCAAATTCGTACAAATTTCAATTTTGAACGTTATGCTAACTGAAGAAGATATGACGATGTATATGACGGTATTAAAACTGAACTATTAGGCTCCTTCGGAAAGAATTTACAAAATTACCCACAATAATAAAATCCTTCTTTGAGGTTTCTCACACAAAATGTAAAAAATGTGTGACGTTAAGGGTCCTGGTAAAGCTTATTACGTGAAAAATACGATAGGGCAATTTCAGGCTGTAAATAATTACATTACATGATCGTGGCCGAATTTTGAAATTTTCTAGGCTCTAAGGTATTTAAACAAGAAACGTGAGGCGTGAATGTTATTTCACTATAACCTGTCCTAACAAAACACTTCATTAACTTTGAATTACGTATACAAAGCACTAGACTTGCAGGTCTTCAAACAAATATCTAAATAAATTAATTAATTAATTAATAATAAAAATCTCATATAAAATAAACGCGATGTTAGAACGTTTATAAACTTTGTCAAAATCTTCAAAATTCAACAACCGTTTATTTTTTGTACAATTTGAATAATTTAATGCATGGCATCGTTTCATCGTCAATAGTAAAAAAAATATTTGACACATTTACAAATAAAAAAGTTAAAATTTCATGTTATTAAGTTTGTTTATTAGTTTAATTAATGGTTTTTTAATAATATTATCATTATTAAATATTTCAAAATTTCTTCCGTGAAACAGGAAGGCAAAGTTAAACCACATGCATAATCCTTCAGCAAAAACATCAACTTGTTTAAACATCTTCATTCCACGTTCCTTTAAGTTCAACAAGTTTGTGCCGTTTTTGCGAAGGTTCATCCTTGTCATCATCTTTGCTTGTGTTATCACTATTGCTTGCTTCAAATATTGCAGCTATGGTTGAGGTCTGTTGTGGCAACCATGAAGATTGTTGTTGTTGCTGTTGTTGTTGTTGCTGCTGCTGCTGAAGTTTTTGAACCAGTTGTTGATGTTGAGCATTTGTTAGAAATGACAACAGTTTTGAATTTGGAGAAGAAGGTTCTCTTTTTACCGGTTCATTAAATTTCTGGCCGGAAGATGATTGTTGGTGCTGCTGCAAAGCTCCAGCAAACAAATTCAACGTCGTTTGATCACTTACTGGGATAATCAGCGAACTAGCAAATACAATTTAAAGTTTAAATAAAAACTACTATATCTCAAATAGCATCTATTATATTACGTTTCGTATCACAATATTTGGAAAAATTAAAAATTTGTTAAAGAGCCATGTATCTATATCTCAAAAACGTTTTCATTTAAATATCAAATAACAACCCAGGGCCGATGCCAGCAACTTGTAGTGCAGCGGTCAGCGGACCCTTATTATTCCACTGAACTAAAGAAGGGGTGCTGGAAGAATTGTCTCCAGACTGTATCTGAAATTCTGAATGTGTTACAAAAGTGTTAACATTTATTTTTTCCAAACATGACAGTGATGCACGATTCCTACAAACCAAACTCTAAAATTTGAGACTAATGGCAGAAATGTTTAATTATAGAATTTCAAACACAATCTATAAGATTTAATGTTGGATAATTGAAAAATAATTGTGAAAACATGCAGTCTGTATCGACGCTTCTATATTATCATACTGATCAATGATGAAAAATTGAGACTATCAAATCTGATGGAGAGTTAGTTCATCTGTTTGTTTCATCATCTAACCTGGTTGGAAGCCTGTCGTAAGACCTGAAGGAAAATTACTGATACTGAAGTGATTCGGAGTTGCAACGGAAATGATCGGAGTCACCAGAGAGTTCAAAGTTGATTTTGTTACATCCTACATTGAAAAAAGCGTTGAATTATTTTACAGAGATTTTCTTAGAGTTCATTCTTGTTTTACCCTAAGATACGTCATAAAGTAAAATAACGATATTGTATAATTCTAAGAATTTCATTTATCACAGTTTCCACTCGGTCATGCCGGAAAATATGACAAAAAAATGACCGATCATAAATTGAGCATAAATTGCTTTTCAAACCTCAGCAGTGCTGTTCAAAAGGACACCTCTGGAATTTGGAATGTAAACGCGTAAAGGAGGCCTGCTGGCTGACGTTGTGATAACTGCTGATTGTTCAATTCTAAGTTGTTGCGGAGCTTCAAATTGGGAAACAATTTTTTAATTTATCAGTTCTTCAAACTTTGAAATTTTAACATTGATTTCTTCAAGTTCAAGTTCTACGAAAAGTGAATTGTAAGGCTGCATGACATATCCATTCCCCTTATTCTAAAAACCAAATATTCCAATTCACCCAACAAATACCGCCCCATCCCACATTCCAATCACTTCAGCTTTTTTTGTCAAAACAAACATATAACCATAGGTAGCCAAACGGCAAATGTCGTCTAAACGTGTGTTGTTGTTGTTATACATATAACCATAGTTTAACCACATATTCACCAAACCTCATCTACATAATCCTTTGCCCCATCGGATCATCCACACACAGCCGCCACTGTTCGCTTTAAAAATCACTTCCTTCTTCATTCATTCATTCAATAACTTCATTCTTCAAAAAATAACAATTTTGTTCATCTTCTAGAACTTGATTTTTTAAAGCCTTCGACAGTCAATCATTCAATTTTCGCTTCGAATCTTGCCTATCTATTCTTGCCTGATAACATTTAAAATTGAAAAAATTTTCTCTGCTAGAACTTATTCTACTTCCTTTAACTGTCATCATCTTTTTTAATTACACCACAAAAAGTCAATGGAATGCAAACTACTCTGCAATGACAAAATAATCAACATATCAGAGAAAACATTCCTTCCTGAACCCACCATAAATAACACTCATAAATAACATTATTTATTAATCTCGTTTCTCACTATTTCTTCTTATTACTTTTTAATGCTATTACTTTTGTTCGACAGTTGATTCGAAATAACTAAACAGAATAATGCTATTTTCAATAAAAATAACAACCTACCAGGATTATTATTTACAGGTGTTAGATTACTATTTATTAGACTGCTGCTATTTAAAAGAGTACTTTGCTGCTGCTGTTGCTGCTGCTGCTGGGAAGGAACTATGTGAACAAGATGTTGAAGTTGCTGTAATTGTTGGGGCAACAAGGTCAAAGTTCCATTATTGTTCTGAACTGCCACGATTTGGGGCAACTCTTCTGATAGCTGGATTAGAAAATTATTGCAAAATTTAATGCTATATGCATGATGCGTGAATAACTAAATGAAAAAACAAAACAAACTTTATGGCGGGTATTGAAAAGGGATGATATTTCTTGGTCCAATTTTTTGTTGCCACTAGCTAGTTGTGTGTGCTGCTGCGTATCGATCGGTTCGTCATCAGAATCTGTACTGCTTTCATGCTTTGACTGAAAATGTCCATCAACGTCTCCCTATAGAATAGGTAAATAAAAAACCTTTATTCTCTTTTTTTGATAATTTTTTCTTACTGCAAATTTTTTTACTACTTAAAAGTTAATCGAAACAAGCCTGGAAAATGAGAAGAAAACCAAAAAATAACAAGAATGTTTTTAACCGAAATGTCAACACAAATTTAATTGTGACAATGAAAAAGTTGCTTTACGAGTGGCATAAAAAGATTGTTTGAAAGATAATGATATTTGCATACTTGTATACATACATACCAGTGTACATACATAACAATGCATACTTGCATACATAATGATGGCTAATAATCACCTAAAAATAAATAAGTGTAAAACGCAACTAAAGCCAGCTAATAACAGCAGCTTTCCAAAATCAAAATAGATTGAGCAGTTATTAATAATCTATTAATTAAATTTTCTTCCAAAGCTGTTAATGTGAACATTATTTTGAAACCTCAACTTACAACAACTCATCAAATAAAATTTCTAACCAAAAAGTTAAAAATAATCAAAAGATCACTTCAGGAGAGACAATTCAGTGTTTGATGCAACAGTGTTTTTTGGTTTACATGACAACTCATTCAGAATCGTGCTGCCAAACTTGCGACTGGAGCAGCAAAATTCGACCACTTTACCTCAAAACTAAGAAAACTACACTGGTTGAGCGTCAGAAAAAGAATCATTTTAAAAATATCAAATGCCTGAATGGTCCTGCGCCAAAATATTTGGCCAAGAGATGCAATCTCAAATCTTCATTTCTAAAACCACTTTATTTGAGTGGTGATGTTTTTTAACCTGCAGTGGGTTGACAAATTGGTTCAAAAAATTTCTCTTTTTCTGACCCAGAAGTTTGAATGATTTGTAAAGTTTCGACACATTTATTTGATAATTAGATTATTTTTTGTTATCTTACTATATTTCAAACTTTAAACATTTTTTAAGACAGCTCGGAGCACTTTTGAAGTTATTTTTAAAAAGTGCACTATATATTTTAATACTTATGTAAGCAAGAATTTTCTGTGAAAATGATGATTTTGTATTAAGATGATTTTTACACTGCTTTTATGAAATTTTAAAAATAAAAAATGGAAATCCTTCAAAAAATATAAACTAACCCCCTCATCTTTGAAGCTGCCTTTTTTCACCAATTTCTGTTGTGAATTGCAAATGCATTTTAAACAATTTATAAAGAAATCCACTTTTACAAGTCAAATAGCTGTCCAAGCATGAGCAAATTTAACATTGTAAGTGTGCCACAAATATCAATGTTTCTTGATTCAAATGTTTATATGCTATACAAGTACATGCGTCATCTAATGTATATGAATAATTATATATATAAAATATTGTGACGTAACAAACAATTCATTTGTATGTATGCATAAACATTTATATGAGTCTTTTAAATAACATGTAGAATGCAGTTTTAAAATAGAATGGACTTAATAAATGCAAAACAACACCAAAATGAAATTGTTGATGATATTTTTTTAAAAAGTATCGTTAAAAGTTAACATAGCACAAATGCCATATATTTTACTAAATATTTTTACTCACTTCTACTATTTCTTTATTAGTGCAACTTTCGTGAGGTTCATTGAATTCTGTATACCTTAATAAAACTTTGTCCATGTCTGTACTTGCATATTGAAATAACTTGTTAGATCCATTAAACACGATTAAAGCAATTTCACAATCACACAACACACTCAGTTCATAGGCCTTTTTCATTAAGCCAAATTTTCTTTTTGTAAAAGTTACCTAAGGTAGGAAAACGTAATTATATATTATTTGGCATTTAAAACTTTAAAAACATTATTGCTAGATTTTAATAAAAATAATAAATAATTAATTAATTAGCGATGAGTATAATATCAAAACAGAGTGATTACTTAATAAATTGTAATATCGTTGAAGCAACAGGAGATGGCGCATCTAAATGAATTGATGATATGAGCCACGATAATGAAAAAAGATCGCAAACGACCATGCGAGATTTTTGATGATGAGCTGAAGACAATTATTGAAACAAACCCTGCCGAAACTACTTGAAAAATTGCTGAAGTCACACAACTTTCGTTCATCATTTAAAACGAATTGGTAAGGTCAAGTAGCTTAATAAATAGAGGCCGCCTGGATTGAATAAAAATCAGATAAACTTATTTTGAGCGATACAAACGATTCGTTTTTGAACTGATTGTGATAAGTGATGAAAAATAGATTTTATCTGACAACAGTTTGGTGGCTGTATCAAGATGAGCCCAAAACACTTTCCAAAACCAAAATTGTACAAGAGGAATCTAATGGTGACTGTTTGGTGGTCTGCAGCTGGATTTATACATCAAAGTTAAAACCTTGTCAGAAAATTAATGGAATGACGTAATGCCAACAAATTAATGAGATGCATCAATAATTAAGTCAATTGTGCACGGCATTGGTTAAAAAAAAGAGTCCTATCCTTATCCACGATAACGCCAAACCACGTCACAAAACATACGCTAAAAAATCTGTACGCGATAGGTTACAAGATTCTGCTTCATATTTAGTAGACCAAACATACATAATAAACATACAAAACAAGATAATATTTTTTCAAACACTTCAACAACTGAAAAAGCCACGAAAAACCGTCTTCTTATAGTTACTCGTCTCCAGACTCGTTAATTTTAAAGATACTGGCACGAATGAACATATTTTTTGTTGGGGGGTAAGCGTAGATTACAATGGTTTTTATTTCAATTGAATATTTATAATAGAAGCCGTGTCATCGCATTTTATAGTGGAGGGTACGAAACTAACATTATTTTTGCATCAACCTAATATTTTAAATACAAGAAGTTTTCATATGTCAGTTTTAACACAACATTTTTGACAAGTAACTAAACAAAGTATCGTTAAAAAATATTTCAATAAAAGCCAAAAACTTTATGAAACAGTGAAATATGAAAACTTGGAAATCTTTACACTGTAATCGACAACAAACAAAAACTATGCGAAATTTGTTTGAAAAATTTACAATCAATAATTAGTTTGTTAGATAACAATACCACTTTGAACAAACATTATGAAAACAATGAATAAAGGCACCTGTTTATTGCGTTCATCAGTAATTGGTTCAATACGAATTTTTTTCCTACCCATGGCCAAGTTGCAATAAAGCTATAAATGGAAAACTATATCTGAAAATATTTTAATAAAATATTTTATAGCAAAAACAGTATATATATATATATATATATATATATATATATATATATATAGGATATATATATATAGGATATATATATATAGGATATATATATATATATATATATATATATATATATATATAGGATATAGTGGATTAAGATTGTCAGAAATGCAATTATTGATGAAAATCACAGCGGGTTCTGCGTTAATTGGCTTTTGATTTAATTTTTTTAACGGTAGATCGTAAATCATTGCCAAGTTTCTGAATATATTGGCATGACGACGACCAAGCTATAAAGAATCACAAAATTAAAATTACTAGGCAAATCATGGACAACAATGTTGAAATCTTACGTTACAATAACAACCATTATAATTAACGATTAACCGAGTCAATACTCCTAGAACAGACATCCGATAATAAATATTCGATAGCGTGCAATGGGAATCTTTCAAATGTAAGCCGTTATAATTCAGCTCAAGTTTTTGAGAAAAATTACGTACATTGCTAAAACATGGCTAATAATTCATTTGCTTGCAGTGCATTTAGTTATAGACGACGCTTCAGAAGAAAGATCTTAGAGGGAAGTCAGTGAAAAACATACCTAAAAAGTGGTTAAAGCTCAGGTGCTCGGTGATGGTAAATGAGTTGAACAGAAAAAAGGTTTGTTGAAATAACTAGGAAACAAATAAAAAATTATATAAACTAATAATTAATGTTTGGAAATCGGTTGAGTAAGAGCATGCAAAATTATAAAAGTGGGTGGGAAAATCTTTAATGAACTTGTGTGCAGTTTGTAGAGTTGACTAAATTTAGCGCAGCACAAAATAAGCCTGTAGGTAAAATAAGATGTTGAAAGTGAAAAGGTTTGAGTGCAAATGTTGTAAGAAGAGTGAGACTCAGAAGGCTATTCGCACTATAGATGCTTTGATCAGGAGCAATTTTGACAAATTTGTGTCTCAACATCTGTGCCATTTGGAATGAAGATTGTAATTCAGAAAACAGTAAATGATAGACAATAATAAAAAAAATATTGACAGTTTGTAAAAAATTTAGAATGTTTGCTCTAAAAAATTGACGGGCGTTAACTGCACATAAGCCTTGAGCTGTAACAACAGAGTCAGAGGAAAAGGAAACATGCAAATGTTGAAAAGAATATTTATGATAAAAATATTTTTTATCCTATCTGTAACTTTATGTCAGGACAGAATTGGCTACAAGCAAATAGAAGAAAAAGTTTGAAAGTATTGAACCTGGCGATAAAAGAAATTATATTGCTATTGCGTTTGTGCCATATGCTACCTATCAAAGCTGTTCTTTGTGATTAAGAGCAGTTTATGTTTGTGAACTTGTAGATATTTCTTTTGAAAAAGTTCAAGCTGTTTTAAAAACCTTAAAAGTAGTACTCGGTTATAACAAAAAATGGAATGCTGATTAGCAAGACAGTAAACCTTATACCCAATAGCCAGTTTGATGTTTTTATGAAATAGCACAAGTATAATAAAAAATGTTTAAACAGAAATCAATGGTCTTTTTATCAAGGAACGAGAAGTAAAAATGTGATGCTCCTAATATCAATGAATAAAAGTTGTGTCATTTATTTTATTCATACGGTCGGGGAAGCAGAGATGATTTGACTAGCGTGAGGTCTTTTGACTTGCTCAGGTCTGTAGTGAATCCAAAATAAAGTAATAATTCTTTAACACAGCATAATGTTTATCACTATGATTGACTCTTCAATTTCATTTTGCTTCAACACAATGCCATTCAATTTTTTTAAATAATTTATAAAACAACTCATACACTTATTTTGTAATCAGCTGTACCTTAAAAATCCCTATTATTCATTATTTTAGGAATCTAATTAAAAACCGCTAAGGATAAACATAAGGCATTGATATATAAATTTAAATATGCTCAATAATTAATTTTTGTAGATGCTACTAAATGAAAAACTGCTAAAGTTGAAATAGTATCTTTTAAAATGTTTGAATTTGGCAACCATTTCCAAAAAGGGAAGAAAAAAGCAATTACACTGGTGCAGTGATTTGAATTAGATTTGTGAACTCAGGAATATCAAGACTCCAGAGTTGTTAGTCATTTCAAGAAATTTTTGTAAGATTATTAGTGACATTTTAGTTCAATAACAAAATAGTTAAATAACTTGAGATAAAATACTAACAATTACAACTTTTTTTTATAAAAATAGAACAATCAAATAATCTGACCAGGCTGCAATTTTGCGACTGAAGTTAATAAATTGCATCAAATTAAATTTTTATTACCACACATATCTGGTTACAAAAATAATTCTTGACATTTGTCACCAACCTAATGTGATTAGTAATAATAATAATAAAAAAAAATAATAATAATGACCAGTGCCAATTGGAATCTACAATTTACATTTTAATGAGATCAATAATAATTATAATAAATCAATATCTTTTTGTTTTTGGATATGTCAATGAAAAAAATTGCTCAATTTCAATTTCAAAGGAGCTTATTAGCAGCAATAAGGAAAAGGTTACGGAATGCACAGCTGGTTATTTGTATTTAAATAAAATTTATAGCATAGGTTTGCCTATGCTTATCTTATGCCTTATGTTATTTATTTATTGTAGCAATTTATACATTTATGGCTTACGTTTTGCAATTTAAATGTTTTGCCAGCAAAATGAGTTGATGTGATGATCATAACTTTCAGAGGATAAAGAAACATCATGTAACTTAGTTCTTAACTAATAGTTATTAATAAAACTTAAATAAACAGACATACAAGGACTGTGATTTGTAAGCAGTATCACGCCAATGTAATGTGTCAAGTCAATTTGACCACTGTGGTTATGAATACCAAGGGTCGATTTTTTGAAAGAGAAGACATAAGTTAAGTCTTAACTTCATTCAAGAGTCATTATGTTATTTGATAATTTCATTTTAATAACAGTAGTGTGCCATATTGGAAATTTAATTATAATTGGGAGATCGTCATATTGTAGGATAAAAAATATTTTTATCATAAATAAGGCGAGTGACGGCGGAACTAAAGAACAATAAACGATCGAAAAACATGCCAAACATCAAAATAAATTTTTGATAAAATTCGTCTGCAGATGCTATTTATATTGACCAGTTAAATACCTTTAGAGAGAGATTTCGGTAGCTATTTTTGACTTTAAGTCTCCAGAAATATCCTCGACCGCAGTACAACAATAATAAAATTTACAGCAACTTTTCGCTAGAAAATAGTCCCGATTTATTATAAGACGTGTAATCATGTATAAATGTATACGCATATGTATGACATAATATTATAAGCACATGCATATATCAAGTTAGCATAATAAAAGAACGTTATTTTTTTGCTCTATTTCGCATTTATGATGAATAAATAAATAAATAGATAGATCGAGCTTACACATTATCCTTTCGTTACTCAGCTGCAATTACACTTTTGTATCATAAACTCTGTACGTTTCATTGCACATAACTTTCGAATTTACAAAAGTAAATTCGAGGGACTGTTGGCCGGCGAGATGGCTCAGTGGTTCAAATGCCGCTGAGTCAAACATCTCAATGGCTATCATATACTCAGCGTATATGATGCGGTGTTTGCGCGTGCACATAAAATACATGTGTACGTCGTGTGAAAAGGATGAACAGCCTTTGTGGCAAAGACAGCTGCTTCAAATCAATAGATGAGGATTTGAAGAACATAATATAAAGATATAAAGATAATATATCTGTAACATTGTAAGTGGTTCTGCGTATGTCAGAGCTGCAATAATAAAGACTAATAAAAAAAGTTCGGTCAATGGAATGTAGAACTATAGCACCAAGGTAGGGGTGTCGAATTCAGTGACGGTACCTATATTATATATCCTCCGAGCCCAATCACTTGATTATTCAAACAAAAGTCTAAGCCAGGAAGAAATAAAGTAAGACTAGAAAATATATTAATGTCGCCAGCCCAGTGCACCAGCCTATATGTTAAATATATTAATATTAAATGGAATTAATTTATCTGAGCACTAGTACCAAAAATATAATTCACATCTACATCCAAGAGTATATTTTCGGTAACGTTGTTTCCATCATTTCTATTGAAGATTGTGCAACACGTATTGCTGAACAAATGTCTAAGCAGTTTCTGTGCTTTTTTTATAACATAAAACTAATATGTATAATTTCTCTCAAACTTTTTGTAACTAACCAAAATATGAAAATTCTCACTTATTCTTTATTAAGTTTGTTAACCAATGCCCATATGTTAAATGTTATGAAAATTAAATAAATATCAAAGTATGCCATTTAATGTTTATGACACCGATGTTTGTTAACTCGTCGCTGACCACCATGGATATATATATCCATGCTGACCACCAGCAGTTGTTCCGCAGACCACACTTTGAGGAGTACTGAATTGAACATTAAATTAAAAAAAAGTTCTTATTGCTTTTTCGTCATATAACAGGGGGCTAATGAGTTACAATAGAAAAAAGAAGACAAGAAATGCCAGGGAAAACGTTGGACGTAATACCATAATATATATATATTTTATAATTTATTTTGGGCATATATATAATTATATAATAAAATGCTGTATAATATAATACTGTATATAAATAATACAGTATAATATATAGTGTACACTGTACAACTGTATAAAAAAAATGTTGGCTTTCCATAAACAATTTTAAATAAAAAATCATTTTCGTGAGTATCGTTTGATTCGTATGTTGATTTTATTTTTGTTTTCTTCTGATTCTAATTTTGGGGGTACGTAATGTTCCTATTTTGCTGTTTTTTTTAATTTGTAACGATTTTCTTCTTGAAACTAATTCATTACTTGTTCGAGTCGCGTACGTGTACAAATAGTTTGGTAAAAATTCAAATTTCCTTGATTTCGGTTACGATTTGGAGAGCAGGGTGTAAAAGTTAAAATAAAATCAAAAGATTATAAACTAGAGCGCTATAGCCTAGCTAGCAGCTAGCCTACCACCCACCATTATTATATCATAAATACCATACCAGACAACCACAAAAAAAGAATAGGAGAGGATATTGACTTGCCTTTTTATGTTTACTATACTTTTAAATAAAAAATATAAAGTTTTAATTTTTCCAAAATAGCCTAAAACTGAACATTTGCTAATGATTATTTGCTAGCTTTTCCCAAGTATTATTACAACATATTATTATATGATGTCTCTCTATCTGTGGTAAAAACAATAAAAAGTAAATCAATCAATCAATCAATTAGTTTATGAAGTGCTATTTCTGTGAAGTTTAACATCACTCCTCATTGAATTTTACAGATAGATGGGTCTTGAGATTCACTCTGATCTTCACAAGTGATGGAGAAGTAGTTGAAGAAAGAGGTAGGTAGAGAGTTCCAGAGAAATGAGCCAGAAAAAGCAAATGCAGATTTAGCAAAAGAGTGTTTGACATGAGTTAAAAAGAAGTAAGAACAAAAGGACTATGGCAAACCTGGTGTTTAGGTTCAATTAACTATTAACATATCTAATAGGTACTTAGGAAATAAATTAGATTGATATTTATACATTAATGTGCATATTTTAAAAATTATTATATCTAAATGAAAGTAAGAACTTCTATTAACACTATTTATCTGATAAAAAAGAAACATGCTAGAATCAAAAATAAAGCATAGACTATGAAACTTGTCAGAAACATCAAGAGTTTTAGAATCAGGTAAGATTATTGAAGGAATAATAATAGAGTTTTTAGATTTATTAAAACAAATTAACTCAAATTTAGATAGATTAAGTTTAGGACACATAGAGTCAGACCAAGCAATAAATAAAGAAAAACATAGAGATAGATTGTGAAGAACACTATTGAAATTTAGATGGAGGGAAAAAAGTATAAATCGTAAGAATCATCAGCATATAGTTGATTAAAAAAAAAATTGTTAATACGAGGTAGTTCAGAAGTATAGAATATAAATAGAAGAGGGCCAAGGATAGAACCCCGAGGTACTCCAAAAGTAAGAGTAGAGGAGTTAGAAGTAACATTATTAAGAAACACTGAAGAAAAATTATGAAAGAGATAAGATGAAAACCAAGATAGACAAGAATAATTAATATTAAAAGAATTATCTACCAATCTCAAGAGAACAGTATGATCAACAGTATCAAAAGCAGAAGAAAAGTCAAATGCAAGATGAAGATACATAAAATAAATATAAAGTAAATTCTTTTTAGCTCTTTTGTCTTGTATTATCTTATTGTATTGTTGTCTGTAACAAATTAAATTTCAAGTACAAACTATAAATGTTAAATAAAAATAACATAAAAAATTAAAGTATAAAAAATTAATGTTTTGAAGCATAGAACACTCTATCGCATTACTTTAGTACTAAAATGTTTAAACTGCAGAGACCTAACAAGTTTAACTTAACTACTATTGATGAGTTTTTTATTTTTTATTAATAATAAATTTATTATTTCTCTAATTTGCATAATGATTTGGTATTACTTAATACAAGTATAATCTAACTAACATTGTGTATAGATTTAGTGGTTTGTGTTTTCTATGTTTAAATGCGTAAATTTTTTTTTTTATGTATATTATTTTATATAAAAACAAACAACCTAAATTCAAATCCTAAAGACAGTTAAGTCTACTGAATCTTTGTTGAACAACTTTTGTCATTTTTTAATCACAATATGAAATTATGCATCAAACTCTTGATTGTACACATTCTTCTTGCATTCACCCAGGCTGTTGATATTTTTGAGCTCTGCTATCGCATATTCATTTGATAATTTTCATATTTACATTGTAAAAATTTTTAAAACAGCTTTGTTTTTTTCTATTATAAATTGAATATATAAAATTTTTTTTAGATTCTTCTTATATATTCTAGTGAATAAAAATGCCTGTTGAAGCGATTTTAACTTGTTGGGGTAACTCACATCCCTTCCAAGAACGAAGGATGAGTTTGTCTGAACCTGCTAAAATTGGTCGTTCAGTTGCACAGTCACGCCCTACTTCCAGTAACGCTATCTTTGATTGCAAAGTTCTCTCAAGAAATCATGCATTGATGTGGCATGATAATGGGAAGGTTTGCATTTTAATGTTTATCGTGTTTGTTGTAAACTTTTTTGGTTTATAACCATTTAATTTCATAACATTGCAAAAGTCGATAATGGAGCATTTAATAAATTTTGTTAATCCGCTAAATTATTGACCTATATTAAGTTGATGTGATTGATGTAATTTAATATCTAAACTATTTGAAACTTAAATAATCTTTTATTTTGTATGATGAGCTTCATACATTTAGTTATTATTAAAACCATTTTAAAAATTTTTGTTCAGTTTTACCTTCAAGATACGAAAAGCAGTAATGGTACATTTGTAAATAATCAAAGGCTCAGCAAAGGTGCTGAAGAGAGTTCACCCAAAGAAATATTCTCAAATGATATTTTACAATTTGGAGTTGATGTTGTTGAAAATTCTCGAAAAGGTTGCAATTATTTTGTAATAAATTCTTTTAAAAGTCTATACTGATGAGAAGCATATATTTTCGTGTAATTTTTGCCAGTTTTTGCTACTTTGGCTTTTTAGAAATGATTTGATGACTTAATTTTTTTAGGTTTATAAGCATTAATGTATATGTTATAATTATCAGTCATGAACATAAAAAGCTTTCTTATTTTTAAGACAATTTATTTTTATGGTTGATTATGCTCGAAATCATGATGGTGGTGCTATTTTTCGGTTTGTTTTATAGTTTGAAATAAGTACAAGTTTCCTTTTTTCTATATTTAATTGTTCCCAAATTCACAATTTCAAGTTATTGGTTTGGCCTTTAGCTATATCATTTTAAGATTCAAAAAAGGTGAATGATGGGTTCTGATGTTAAATTTTTATTTAAGAACAAACATATTAAGTCATTTTTATTCATCCATATAAATGACTAATAAGATAGTCGTCTTTTCTGATCTGAGTTTTATGTAATACTTTTCGTTTTGTACATTTGTTAATGGATAATTTTGCACATCCAACTGTAATTAAATGGTAATTCAATTTATTTTACGTACTCCTAATTTTATTTTAGTAACTCACAGCTGCATCATTGCAACATTGAAACTATTGGACAGTGATGGGAGGGAAATAACAAAAAGGTGTGAAATAATATTAACAGATATCAGTTTGATTTTTATTCATCATTCAAATGTTTTAACAATTTTGTTTTAATTGGAAACAAAATTTTAATTGATTGTTTTAATTTTTAAATGGAATTGCCATGAGGGTATAAGGTAGGGCTTAGATTTAATAAAAAATTCAAGAATGAACTCGGACCAAGATTAAATAAACATATTTATAAAAATATATAAAAATACTTTCTTTTGAGTTAAAGAAGTTATAAACTACTAAAATGCATTGCTGGTTCTTTACAGTTTCTTTTTCAATAAAATGTGAGGCTTACTCTTTTTGTTAATCTCTGATTCGCTGGCCTAAGATGGGTTCCAATAGATGATAAAATTGTAAATTCCAGTTAATAAAAAAGTGATGGAAATAAAAACCAAACTTAATTAACAAACAAAGTTAACAATGGATGCATAGACCAGTAAAAAAGAACAGAATATTATCATCTATGTATACTTGTTAATAATTTCAATACAATAAATAAATAGTTTTATAAAATATAATTTTAATTACTTTTTAAAAATGTATATTTTTAATTTATAGCTCTTTATCAAACGACTCATCATCTGTGGTTGTAAATAACGTCCAGTCTCATGAATTCTATCAGTTGCTGCAGTACCTCCAGGTCATTCAGTTTTTCTATCTGCTGTTACATTTTTTAACTAATTATGTATTTTGTAGAGGCATCTCTGCTATATTGACATCATTGTAAGTTAGGGAAGAAGGGCTACGCCTCCGATTAGTTCAAACTTCAGTTGATCATGCTGAGATATTTTATAGAATCTCAAAAAAATGTGCCAGTTTTTATTCTCTCATTTATGAGCTAGATTGATTTATCAATTACAATATCTCATTGAATCAAATGATTTCCAAGGAGAATGGCGCTAACAATTGGTATCTCATTAAACTGAACAATTTTTAGGAGGCTCTGCATAGAGAACAACTTCTTGAAAGCAAGCTTACAGTTGTTCAGCAATTAGTTCAAGCCACTCAGGAATCTACAGAAAATAACTGGCAGGTCAGTCAGTTTGCAATGATTGAGGAATCTTCATTTCATTGTCAAACACTTTAATTTTACACTGTTTTTAGTTATATTTCATAAATCGGAAAATTGATATAGAACAACTTATCAAATTATTTCTAACTATATTTTTAGAATTTAGTCAATGAGGAAAAACTGCTTTCAAGATTGGAGACTCTAGAAAAACAGCTGAGCATTTGTTCCAAGGTAATGATGAAAAAAAAATTTTACTTTTAAACATCTAATTAATTTTTTTTTTTTTAAATTTTAGCTTCAGCCTGATGGAAGTCTGCAGCAAGAGTTGATCACATTGCAAAATGACAAATTTCATTACGAATCTCTGGCTAAAGTATACCATTCAAATTCTCAACATTATCTGATTTGTTTTATACTAAAATCTCTATTATGAATGACTTAGAATAACTTTTTAGAAAAACTTCATTTTTAAAAATGCTTTTGACGATCCTCTAGTCTTTAACAAATCACCACATAGACTTTATTTTTTGTTTGTTTAAACTTATTCTAGTTTAAACAGCTTATGTTGGAATTTTTTTCTTTCAATCCCTCATGGCGTCATACCGTTTTATTCCTGTAGTAAGACAACTATATATTCTTGTTTCTTTCTTTTTTAAAAAATTATCATTTAAAAATACATTAAGGCTAAAAGATAAAATGAAATGAATATTTAATGTCAATACAAACGTTGTATACACACACACACACACACACACACACACACACACACACACACACACACACACACACATTCACACAAACACACACTTAAATTTGCAGAATTCTTTGAAAAAAGTTATTGGAGAAAAAGTTGAGGCAGTGAAGAAGTTAAATGATGTTGAGGTATTTCAATATTCAGTTCTCATCTTTTCTATTCTCTTTGCTCCTATTCATCATATCCTGTGTGTATTCTAACTTCTGTGTGTATTCTAACTTTTCCAGTTATCTTTCAGCTGGTGCTACTTCTTAACGAAATAAACATCATAATTTTATTTACATTAATATTATAATATTATTTTCAAAGCGAACATTAAATAATAAAGAAGAGGAATGCTCGCATTTGAAAGACGTCAGTCAGCTAATTCAGACGGAATTAAATGCTCTCTCGGAGAAGTTTCAGGACCAATTTAAGGATCTACAAAACGTTCAGCAACAATTGCAGGTATATTTCAGCCTTATTATGAAAAGCTGTCCCAAATTTCGCAATTGCTTGTTTAACAGTCGTTGGCTAGTCTAAAAATATATGAGTGGCAAATATTGAATAAGATTAAACCAAATGTGTTGTATGCATTATTAAATGTTGCTTTTTAATTAGACTAACTGCTTGAGTGCTAATCCATTTATTTAGACAGCCTTGCCTTAGAAAGGCAAATATTGTTTCTTGTTCTATTTTTAAGAGAAGTAAATCTTCAATTTGGACATAAGATTATTAAATTTTCGACCCACTTCCATTCACTTGCCAAAATACTTCATTAAGGCCTGGTATTTCTACTGAGTCATCTTAACGTTTCATTCAGACTTTGGATTTCCATAAATTCTTTTCAACCCTTCTTCCAGAATTTGGACTTACATAGATTTTTCAGCAGACTTTTTTTCTTTCATTTCAACTGGGAACTCTTGAATTGACAACAATCAAATAATGTTGCAAAATCATTTCATTTGATTCGTTGATGTGGATATGTACTGCATAGATTTTCCTGTTCTAATCACGTTTTATTTATACAGACTTGTCTGTCTGCACAATATAATATCAATAAAATTTATTAATGTGATGTATAGTAAATAAAACTATGTTATGTAATTGTTATTAATATTTGACTTGTGTTATATAACTCTTACATTTCCGAAAATAGAAATTGAATTAGTTAGTTTTTTAACATTTATACCACTAGGATTCTGAAAGTACAATACTTAACAATAAGGAGGAACATAAAAAAGAAACTGACGCCCTTCTTGCAAAAATTGATGACTTATTAGAGGAACAAGAACGACTGCAAGCTAAAGTATATTTTTCTTTTTTTTTTTTCATTTTATAAACGACAATGATGTGATTTAATTTCATCAAATTGTTTTGAAATGAAACTTTGTGATTTGTTAGCCAACCAGTAAGTGCATTGAGTGACTCAGTCCTAATATATAACTTCGGTTTTCATAACTTCGGTTTTCACAAAACTCCGGAACCATAGCTAAAATTGTTTCTGAATATAATTCTGCAAAACAACTGGTGTCACTCTTATTAAATGGATATAATCAGGAAAAAAATTTCAGTGTTGTTTGTACTTCTGGACTCTTTTATACATTCTGAACTCAAATACAATCATACAAGCTTATTCTTTGCCTTGATTTTTCTGGGTGATTGCAGCATTATTTGCGTCCTTCCACAGTTTGTTGCATACCACTGAGACGTGCTATCAGTTTTATTCTTCTGTTTCAAATCTTCACAAACTTCCTTCAATACCACATTTTATCAGGCAAGTGAACATTCAAACAACAGGAAAAGACAAATTTCTGAGACTACTGACCAGGCATTGTAATATGATCCAAGACAGATATCACACTTTAAGCCAACATTTCGTGAGAGCAATGCTGGAATCAATCCAAATGCTACTGACATGATTTAAACTTAGTCTGATTTTTGGTCTCATGCAAATAAAATGTTGTAGTTCAGCACGCATTCATATATATGCTGTTTGTTTGTCCCTCTGATGAGCGTAAGTGGAGTGCAATAAACCTTTAACCTTTACTGGCGGGAATCACTTTGCATTTCAGTCCAGCTACCACAATTCAGAATCAGACATCTGTTACCATTACACAATCTCGTTACAATTTCACCATAGTGGAACCTAATGTAAAATGTTATATCTAAATCGTAGTCAGTTCATCATAGTCAGTAATGCTATTTAACCACAAGAATTGCATATCTAACAAATTTATTTATTAAAGTTTTTATGAATAATTTGATATTTTTTTTTAAATTTATAGATCGATAGCTTACAAGGAGAGACAAATTTTAATAACGAGCAGTTGAATAATGTTAAAGGTTAATTATTTAACATTGTTATTTTGAATCTTAAATTAATTTTTGGCATGTTCTTTTCCTTTTTTTCATCATCTTAAAACTTTATTGTTGCATGCCTTTCTTCATTCTAGTTTTTTTTTAAAAAGAAGGGCAATATTTTTATAACTCTTAGGTTATAGGATCTCCACATTCGTCATGTTTATTTAATCCATACTTTCTACCTCAGTTAGTTACTCCTATATTAATCTAGCAGCTCTTCAAATCTAGTATTCACAAATTGACCCTGGTGTCAAGGAGCTATTTAAAATTTTTCACATGCTTTCTTATTAACTCTTAATGTGTCTTTTTATTTCAACCTGATTATTTAGCTTTATTTACCACGCAATCTATCTCGCCAACTATTTCAATTTGTTGCTTAAATATCTATCAATTGATTTTTTTATTTTCTTCTTGGATCCTATTTCATGACACTCACTAACATAACTCGTTGTCCACTTCCAGCAAAGATGAATTCATTCATAAATTCTAACGATGATGTGAACAAACCAAAGTTTAACAAAAGCTCGAAAGATGAAGGTTATTACGGCATTTTTATGTTACTCTTTGTTCTGCTGATTTTATACTGCAATTTTTAATTTTTTGCTTCCATTCAACACAATGTGACTCTGAGCATCCTTGTCACACATCCTACAATCAGTTGATCAAAACTTTCTCCACTCAGTCTCAAACAAATTATTGCTAGAAAAGTTTCTTTGTGTAATTATTTTTTGATGATCATTTGAAGAATGGTGTTGATTTTACACTTGTTGAACGATGTACAATCTTATCGCATGTCATTCCCTTTCTAAGTTTTCAATTAAGTAGCCAATGTTAGATAGCACAAATGTGAACAAGTTCTTGTTAATACAGAAAATGTATTTTTAGATAGTGTGGAATTAAGGCAAGACATTATTGACAACCACACTTTAATACTTAATCACTCAATTGCTGGTCATAAATAAGTCTCTTGAAAATTGCTTCTCTAGCTTCTTTAGCGCCGTTATGAAAATAATGAAACATTGTTAACAATAAAAACTGTGGACTTGTGTAATAGATTTAACTAAATGACGATGAAATTGCCTAACCAGGAATTCAAGTTGATCTAGTTAACCTTCTTGATTTGCATTTATTGCAAAGTTTCAATGAAGTTGAATTACTTGAATCAATACATTTAGATAGTTCTGGCACTTCTCAGGAAAAATCAAATAAAAGTTAGTTTAAAAGTTTATAAAATGAAAGTTTTGTCTTTGCAGTATTTTTTTCTAAAGTGAATTTATTGTCGTTCATTTGCCAAATGTTTTTCACGCTATTTTTGTTCATAAATTTCCTACATTATATGAAATATGTTTTTAGTATGTGTTGAGAGATATCTTATTCTATACTTCATTTTTTCTGTTATATATATATATATATATATATATAACTCATTAGTTCGTTCCAAAGTGGCAGACTTATTCTGACATAGATTTATTCATTTACCATCAGTGTAACATTGCATTTGTTCTACACTTTGAATATGCTGAACAAATATTTTTTAATACTCGTTCTGGAGTATTATTTTTTTGCATTACTTACAATTGCATACAATTGTAATTAGCACCAAGTTAATGAACAATCACTATACATCACAGAACAAATTCTAAATCTTAACAACAACAACAACTGCAAATAAGCTTTCATTAATAATGTTGTGCTAAAATTTTTTTCCTATTTTACATTTGGCATTTATGTTGTCTCAGATTAAAATCACAATTCATCAAATTCAATTTCTGCCATCAAAATTTATCTTGGTGGAGGCTTTTGTAAATGTTTCAACTGAAAAATAAACTTGAAAATCAAAATAGTTTTTCGCCTATTTTTAACTCAATTTTCAGTTTACTGTAAATTTGTACCAATAATTTTTTTTTTTAATTTTTTGAAAGTCGTTTGTTTGATAGATTTGCTTTGGATAGATGTTTTGATTTTTTTTTAGAGATTTATACGTAATTTAATTATTTATATTAAATCGGTTAGGATAATGTTAATGTTAGCGTTAATGGCATGAAGTTAGAAATATAAGATCTTTTGATGTAATAATAAACAATAATTTAATTCACGGCGTTTCAGCTTTGATGAACTATTTTTACGCCTTAGTTTAACTCATTAGTGGTTCATTAAAATGGGCGTATTTAAAATTATGAACACTGTTGTCTCTTAAATGGTTACAATGTAATTAATACGTTACATATTTTCAGTAGCCAATGATTCGCATGGTGAGATTATAAACCAAGAAAACGATTCTGGCAAATTAATTGGTAAATACAAATTATTTATTCATTTATTGCATTGTTTAGAAAAAAATTAAATTATATCATATTACAATAGAGTGATTATCGTTATCAATGATGTTGTTATTATATTGTTGTAAAAATTTTACATCCTGTTGGTTTTTTAATTCTTTCATTACCTAACTAACCTTGAATTATTTATAAGTAACTAAACTGACATAATCTAATCAAAATATATTTGAAAAAAATCCATTGCAAAACTCCATGAACTAAATATAAAACCATTTGAATATAAATAATCTCATGAGCGCCTGGCTTCAAGCTTCTGTCTAAACAGATTGATCACCTCTTAAGGTCTTATGAGCTCATCTTAAAAATTTATTACTTATGAGCTGGCGTCTATGTACATAAATCTCCCAAATATTTGTTATTATATTTGATAGCTACTCTCAATACATTGATACGTTATTTCATCGCTATGATCGTTTTTTTTACATTTTTAACTCCAACAGGAATGCCAGCACATAGAGAACAACATAACGTTGAGAGCGAACACTCCAAGATTGAAACAGGTATTTTATACGTACCTATCGAAAAATTTCGAATTTTCATGTACAGTAAACCCTTGTTAAATGATGGAATTTTTAAAAATTGTTCGAATAGAGAAATAAACGCAAATTGATGACCTCATGCTATGTTATACATCATTTATTTATCTTTTATTGTGGCAATCAGTCACACATTTTTTTCAAATTTTATGAAACAAATTCACTTTTCGATTATTTTTTTTTATCTCACTCATTGCGACATTTTTTGTTGCTTAAATTAATTAGTTTAATACGCTTTTATTCAAATGACACAAAGAATGGACTTATCATTTGTTTAAAATTATCAAACGACATCCGTTAACTGAAGAACGTCTTACTGGAAAGTGATGAATACAACAGTATAAATATTTATTTATACATTTCGTTGTTCGCTTTGTAAGTTTCTACCTGTTCATTTTAGTTTAAGAAAGGAGAAAGAAGTTGTCGTTTTGAATCTAGTTGAATGGTTTTCTCAAAAGTTTTGAAAATTTTGCTACTTTACCTTTCGAAATTTTGTTGATAACCAGTGGTGACAACGTTGCGTAGGCGACTTTAAACGTTGCGTGATCATTGACAGACACTTGCTACTCGGCGGGAATACGTGTACTGTGTTTGCACTCATTGATTTCAAAATATTCACGTTCGTGCTCTACATTGAGATTTTGTTTTTCTTCAAAGTACGTTTTTTATCTTGTTGGATTTGGATACCTTTGGTAAATAAACAAGTATGTTAATTATATGCATACATACACTACACACACACACACACACACACACACACACGACATTGGAAATTTGGAAATGATTAGTTCTCATCTAATTACACTATTTCACTGCTTCAGCATTTTCACCTGGAACTCCAACATTTTAAAAGCCTGTTTGTTTTTTAAATATTGTTGCCCATCTAAGTTGTTTGGAAACGTAGTATGTCATATTTTATTAATCATTCTTTCTGTAATTTAACAATGTTAATTGTTTATAAGTTACCTTGTTTGTAATTTTGTATGATCTTATTTACTCGTTGCTGGAGCAGATAATAAGTTGAAACAAGATAGGATCAATATTAATACATTACTATTGTAGTCAGAGAAGTAGTTTTTGTTTTTTTTTCTAGATACCATGTTGACAAGGGCTTACTGTATTTATTTGGCTTCTTGCCGTCCTAAAGCGTTATAACGTATTAAATTGAAGCCAATTTTTTCTAATTTGATCACTATTCATTAATTTAATTACTTGAATCTGTTTGTTCTTTGATGATTAAATACTCATTTGGACATTTTTAAATGAAACAGAAATGAAGAAGAAAAGTGCTTGCAACCTATCACCAAATGACCTTCTTGAAAGTTTACTCCACAAAGATAAAAATATTTATTGCTGGAGACTTCACATATTAAATTCATTTGTTTATCTCGGATAAATTCACAGTCTTTTAGAAATCGTGATGACTTTTATATATTTTTTTCATATCAAATACCCGATATTAAAAACTCACAATTTTACAAATTTTTTAAATAAATTTTTTGTTTTTATTTTGGCTGATGTAAATAACATAGCATGAGAACTTCAAGGCACAATTGTTTTAGTTATTTATTTCCATTGAGCGATAAACATATAATTAACTTTAGCTGATGAAAATATCTTTCGAAGTAGGACATATGAATCTCTAAACATAGGTTCGTAATGTTTGTATATCTGTTATGCCTGTTGGGATTTGTTATTTTTATGTAAACCGATAATCGGCGTGAGGTATGTCAATAAATTTTGTTTAAGCTCAGAACGATTGTTTTGTAATTGGAATTTGACTTGTTAAGATTGCAGCTTTTATTAGATTATCTTTTGTTTATAGTCTCAAAAAGTAAAAACTAGACGAAGTTTATAAATAAATGCTGATAAAGTTATAACGTTTGATCGTTTAACCTGTCCTCATCTCAAAACATTTTCTAACGGTTTAACTTTCAATGAATTTTTAACTGAAGATGCCCAACTTTTGCTGTCATAAGTTCTATAGCATGCCATGCAAAGCTTTTCTTTGGGCTTTTTTCTTTATTTTGCAGGTCTGTCAAACGTAGAGCTGATTGCCAATTTTTTATGGTTTTTATTTAGTTTTCCAATTTGTCTTTCTTAAGAGATGATTTTTTTTCAACAGCCCTATCTTCGATTCATCTCCATATTCAGCAACATTGCACCACAAATACTTGCAGTATTCATAGTACAATGTTGGATATCTTTACAACCTGGCTTTTTTGTCATCGATTTACGGCGCTATTAAACTGAAAAAAGACCACCAAACGGAGGCCCACAATGTTCACAAAGTGGCTTTTAGTCTCGAAATTTTTTAACTTCTCCGATGACCAAAATTGAGATTAACCGCAAATTATGAACAGCCAGATTTTAGACTTTACTGATCCAATCTACCTTTTTGCATCTTGGTGGAAACGATTTTTGCCAGACTTAAATTCAACTATACACCGTGGCCATAAGTTAGACTCGAACCCTTTCTTTAGGCTTTCCTAAATCTTTTTTGGTCCGGCTGTGTATGTGTGTTTGTGTGCCCAGGATGGGACTGTTTATGTGTCTATTTGCATGTGAATAGAAGTTTATATCGAAGTGCCCGTATCGCATCGTGAATGATAAATTTTAACTTTTCGTTCATTCTCAAGGCATTTTTATACATTTATTTTATTTTCAAATTGCGTCGCTTAATGTTTACAATCACCGAATTTTTTGGAGATATTTTATTATTTCATGTATGTTCAAGTTTTGGAAAAATCATTTAAATAATATGGGTTTAGTTTCACAAAAGACTTCATAGTTTGAAAAGTGATTGAAATATTTTTTTATACCGTAAAAAACAAACCGTCAGACTAAAAGAACGGTAAATTTTATATATATACATTGGCTTGCCCGCTGATAAAATATAAAAATCTTGCTTGTAAAATATGACAATCAAAGGTTTCCGTATCTGAATGAATTTTCACCTTAATAATACATATTTATTTATTCAAATTTTTAATACCAATGGAGTAGTAATAAAATCTGAAAATCATGGGGTCGCGCATTATTTTAGGCGCATTATCCGAAACCATTTTTTATCGAGTTGAAAAAGGAAAATACACTCTTCTGCTTTTATTTAAAATATATTTTTGCGATCTATTCGACATAAATTTTATTACTGTGTTTTGTAAATAAGTTTATCAGACATTATTTGGCCAAGGGTGAAACATTTTTGCTTTGTTATATTATTTTGAATAAAATTATTAGAACCTTCAAGGCTTTAAGGAAATTAAGTAGATTATGATAATAATTCATGAAACATCTTCAGATAAAGGTAGCTGCTTATCTGGGGAAATTTCGGAACAGAAAGAACTTAACGTGTTAGTTTTTTTTTCATGCAATGACTTTTTAATCCTTTTTGTATCATCTTTTAAACCACAATAAAAAATAACTCAGTTCAAGGAAAGAACTTGAAGACGTTGAATGTAAAAATCCAGAGGCATTTTCAGACCGTGTTGAATCAAATAAACAAGATAAACAAAATAAACAAGAGGTTTCTCTTCATTAAATTGTTTTCAGAATTACTTTTGTGGCATTTTCAATTTATCTTTCTGCTTATTATTATTAAATCAGGATTTTGTGTCGGATGTGAACAGGAAACAAATTTTGTTGCAACGTGAACTGGACAACGCTCTGCAAAATTTGAACACCCTGTCAAGACATTCTCAAACGGTATGTGCCAATTTTTGAAACTAATTTGGTTTGAATAATGAGTTGAATGTTTTGCATATAAAAATATATTCAATCATTTTATGACTGGGAACAAGATGATCTATATCAGTCGAAACATTTACGATTTTCTGTAATTTTGTGTTCATCGTTCATCTATCAAACTGTGTGGTTTATCATAGTTTGTGTCTTATTTCCAGCGTTAATTATCATTCTAAATAGTAAATACAAAATCTTTGACCATTGACTTGTTTTATTTGTGTTTATTTTTAACGTTCTATTTTAACCGATGTTGCAGATTATATGTTTATATTTTAAATTCTTTTTTAATTGTTTTGCAGGTTTCTGCTCTCTCCATGATCCCATTCCTGGTTCTGTTTGTGTCTTTTATCATTGCATTTTATCCATTTTTCGCTAACGTTACAGCTACAACAACATTTTTTCTTAACAATTGACAATAACCTTACATTAACATGCGTAACAAAACTTTGTTCATTTTTTACCGGATGATTGCATGGTAAAAGGTTGTCAATTTAAATATTGAGTTTTTGCACTGACTCATTTTTTAAATTTTATTGATTTTGCAGTCAAATATTTGGTCATGTTTTTTGATTAAAATAAAAATGAATGTTCCGAAAAATAAAATCGAGATTAAGTATCGTTGTTACAGTTTTAAATATTCTTGAACCAAACCAAAGTTTAAGGTTTGAACTTGATAAAAACGTAAGGCGGTGTTAACAACCTTCTGCTGAGCATTTAATTAGCCATGAATTGTATGTTCAACAGAAGTGAAGAAATGTTCTATTTCGTTTTCATTTTTGAGTTATAATCTATTTAAAAAGGAAAAACTGCTTGTGAGAATGCTTTATCGAATAGTGATTTCTCCATAATGGTTTTTCTTGGATTTTCATTTTAAGTAAAATAATAAATTAAAATTTTAATGATTAGCCATTTCGTTGATTCGCTTTTGAATTATTTTTAATTTTATTCTTTTCGTTGCTCAAACTTTATGTATTTGTCAATGTAATTACATTACTAACATTGGGAATAATTTAATAATGTTAATCAATGCATTCAGGCCTGGATTTACATAGGGCTAAATGGGCTATAGCCAGGGGCGGCAAATTTAAGGGGCGGCAAATTTTGACTATATATTACAAACACCCAAAAACATGGCGACACGTTGGAGCATAAAGAACAAAATAGTTACCATTATGTGTTGTTGAGCACGCACTATAATTCGATTTTATTTTTTATATAAATAAGCTGTTAGTTTTTTTTACTAAATTCATGTAGTACTCATTTTTCAGAACACAGATATAGAAACTTGAATCAACCGAATTTATTATGAAAGAACAATTCGAATTATTTGGGAAATTAATTCATAAGTCGCATATTTGACTGTTTTTTCATATAAAAAACATTGTTATAAACTTAATAAACTGGATCTTAAACGTGCATTTAAAGTATCTAAGCCACTGGCTACTACTATTTAACATCATTACACGAATTTCTGCTCTCGTACTATCTCTTATGTTAATATGTAGGTCAAGTTTTTTGGGGCGTTAAATTCTTCGGTCACACGTTTACCTTCAAGATATTTGATTGCGACATGAAGTCTCGTTTTTGTGCCAATATTTCTTAACATGTTAATTTAGCTAAATTAAATTAATTTAAAGTTTAATAATGATTTGCGGACACAGTACGGCAGATGCACTTAGGATATTACATGACGAGTTGAGAGCGTGTCTAGATGATTTTGAAAATCTTCCCTCCCGACTAATTTGTTACAAGTTGCTTACCAATGTTGTGAGATCGTCATGTTGGGAGAGTACATTGCTTTCATTTCTCTGCACAATATGCTTACTTACAGTTTATTTATTGCAACGACAAAGGTTTAGTCAGCTTTTTAAATAAGTTTTTAATAAATATGATCAGTTATTTATCACATCAAGTTTTAACTTTTAAGGCGTGTCCTATTTTTTCATGTATCAGTTTTCTAATCCATGCCACAATGGATTTGGACACTGATACTAGAATAACAGTTTTAAATTATCCATGCAAACTAATATAAATTTTTATGTGATTGCAACACCATTCTGTCCATTTTGACATGCCCAATATCATGGCACAAATTTATGGTGCAGGGTGGTGTGATGGCCTAATGCTTAAAGGTGCCTGGTTTTGCTGTTGCAATGACAGGTTTTGAATGCAAAGAGATCCCCACCTTTTATCTGTAATATGTGTTATGCATGGTCTTAATCTTAATGCGTATTCATATATGCTGTGAGTGTTTGTCTTTGAAACGTTTGAAGTAAATGCGAGAAAGAGATTGATCTTTAACCTTTTAATAAAACAGCAATATATAAAAGCCATATTTTTGTTTTTCAAGTTGTTTGTGTCTGATTTTTTGTTTTACCTTATCCCCTTCTTAAATCTCAACTCTGCTTCCTGTTTTCTTTCTTCTAAGAATTTGCCTTCTACTTCTTGTAAAAATCCTTTCCTTTTTTTTATTTCCATTGATGTGTGTTGTCAACTCAACCATTTTCAAAGTTCTCTTCTCAGTGTTTAATGTTACTTGTTGACCATTTGTTGGTTTTTTCGTGTTTAATGCTATTAAATATTTTAATCAGACATTCTACAATTTGGCTTAGACATATTACACTTTTTCATTTAATAATGTTCAAGATATTATTCATTTAAATTTTTATAAACTCTAGATGATTTTTTTTATTCAGTGAAGCCATTATATTTGTTCAAGTAGTTATACTCACAATTTCTTTAATAATGAATTTATCTTTCACAATATTTGACGAGTTTTTAAAAACCAAGGAACCAGTTTTTAAAGCTAAGAAATTGCTTAATTTGTTAACAGGTAACTTTTATTTTCTAATTTTTATAGTCTTTTAAAATTTAAATTTAAATTCTGATTCAGTTTCGTGTATGTGTTTTGCTTGGAGCTATTAACCTAGTTGTACATACACATATATACATGTTATACATGTTGGCTGCCTTGATAATAATTGAACCCTAAAAAATAACTTTTTACTTCATAAATTAATAAATATGAAGTTTGTTTGTTTTTTATTTGAAAGAAACTTTTCATTAATTGATTTACAGAATGTTACCATTTTCAAAATTGGAATCAAACAGACTATCTTGACCTCCATTGTCCTTCCTCTCAATGTATTTCTATGCAGTGGACCATTAGGGATTCAAAAATTATAAATTTGCCTATTCCATTACTTGTTGAAGGGGATGTTATTTTGTTGAGGCCTGGACAAATTATACCTGCTAAAACACAACCTTTAAAGGTGCATTGAACTATAATTTTTGAAGTTTTTTTTTATGTAGTAATGAAGTAAGTTATCTCTTCTGCTGGCCTGAAGTTTAACTTGATATAATGTGTTTCTATTTGCTCCATTTAATAATTGTTTTACCATACAAAAAACTTTTTTAAAACTTCTATGCTACTTTCTTTCTACAGAAATCAATAAACTGAACTTCATTTTTACAGTATTTTTTTTTCTATAACAATCAATTTGTCTACTTATTCCCAACCTATTGACCCGTCCATCTTTAACATTTTTAAAAGTATGCTGATTTCTTTGTCTTTATTCTTTTCAAAGCTTCAACTACTGTTTCAAACTACTCAATCCTATTAAAATTCCATTGTTAACATTTTTTCATATTCCACATCACCCAAATATTTAATCAATCACATCTTTTTTTTGAAATCTTTCACAAAGCATCATTGTTATTCAGTTTTGTTTGTTTACTCAAGAGTTATGCAGACGATTTAGAAATACCAAAAGAATTCATTAAAGATGAGCATTACACACCTTCTCACGGATGCTCCAATATTGATGAACTTAATAAAGTTTTAACATGTTTGCCTTTAAAACCGGAACCTTACATAATGCAAGAAACACCATTTCTTGAACTCTTTAGGTAAATGTTACTATTTACGTTGGTTTCATTTTGTTTTATTCTTATTTAATTTTTTGTAAAATTATTTCTTTATATTATAACGTTATTTCTCGTTCTGATTTGTGATGTTGTTTTGATTAATAAAAAATATATCCATTTTGTTTTAAAAATATATCAGTTTGTGGCTTTGATTTCTTTCTGAGTGAGCAATTGAACATCATACTGAATGTTTCTGCCCTTTTTAACTTTTTTAATAATGAAAACAATGAAACTTAGAAACAAAGCATAGTTGACCTGACTCAGTGAATATATAGTTCAACTATCGTTCATGCAACTGCAATATTGTCATTAATTATAGACAGAAGATTTTATTCACGGGCATTCTCATTGTCAATTGGGAACATGAACATTTGTACCGATATATTAGAATAAGGGAAAAAAAATGCCATCGGTACTGAGGAATTTTTGAGGTTTCTGGAAAATACAGAGGCATCAGGAATTACCATCAAGTTACTGATACCGATGCACTGGTATTTACCAGTAAAACCCGATTTGCAGAATATGTTTTTTGAAGTTATATAAAAATCTTTTTGCGTTTCTTCAATCCAATTTGTTGTGATTTTTTAAAGAAATTTATTTTTCAACTTTATTCTAGGCAATACCTCAACAGAAGTTATGACAAATCAAACTATAGAATGGACAAAAAGTGGTTGAACATTTATGTACTACTCTTAAGAAAAGTTTTTCTTGTCCTTTTGGTTTGTTGCTTCACTCAATATTCATTTTGAGTAAAATCGTTGATATCTTTTAGATTGTAACTATTATTTAAGTAGGACGTGAAGCATTATTGAAATGTTTAAACTATAGTTTAATACCTTTTGGATATCTTTGTTTTCACTCCAATCGAATGTAATGTCTTTTATCTTTTATGCACGCATACGAACATAAGTACATGTATATCAATGGTAAAATATTTATAGTAGAAGAAATGAAAAAAGATGAAAATTATTTTTATCTAAAATATCAAATTTTAATTATTTATTCAGATTATAATGATACTTATTAATTGTTTGCGATACAAGTTTTATTCCAACTTGGTATCAGACGTTTATGACATGGTCATTTTTTTACAGGTTTGATAATTTCAAATATTTTGCCTAATTAATTTTACAATTTTAAATGCCTATATAGTTATTTCATCGTTAGTGTGTATTTTGTTTTTCTCTACTACATTCATTAAAGAATGAGCAAGCTTCTGTTTTTAATTTTTATCAGCCATACATAACTTACAATACTGCAGCTTTAGAATTTTGTTTTTTTTTTTAATTTAGACTCCTCTTTTAACTATTATATTGCTTCAGTGCATTCAGAAATAGGGACTAAATTGATTATTTTCATATCATTTACTTTGCCCTGCTCTCATGTTTGTTAATATTTTTTTTTTTACAAATTCTCCAGGACATGGGTTTAATTGAAGTTTAGTAGCTTAGCAAATCACAATTTTTTAATTTTATGGTTTTTCACAGAGAAAGACGAACAAGAATTGCAATATTAAGGATTTTAGGAATAAATGCTGCATTGAACGTGGAAATCAAATTATTTGCTAACACGCCAACAACTTGTTTTCGATTATATAAGGGTCGATGAATGCACGGTCATTCTTGTTACTGAAGATACAATATGATGGAAGATCAGTGACCTATGTTTGACTAAATGGACGAATGAGCCTTAAAAGTGGCCTTCTGAAAAATGAAACAAAATCAAATGTTTTAGAATTGTGCAAAATTGAGATATGGTTAAGAATAAAAGGACAAGTTCGATTAGACAAAAGACGAATATAACAATGATTAAATAATTTACTTATAAAACTGGTCTGGTGACTGGAAAGAATTTATGTGAAGAACCATTAGAACTCTGAAGATAGCTAACTATTTGCTTTTCTGAAGAAGACTCAAATATAAAAAAGTTTTTTAAGAAATAGATTTGCAGTTTAGTTTAAGATAGCTAAAATTAGCTAGTTTAAATTCCCGGAACACCCCAGTTGAATCTATGCAATGTAGAGACAAACTTACGTGGTCAATGCACCAGAATCATTTTCTCACATTTGCCTAATTAGTTGATGGCTTGAGAATTTGATCATCATTTCAATTCAAGCAATACTCTTTCTTGAGTTTTTTTTATCGTTCTTAATAATTTGATTTTACTTACAGGTTGAATGTTTTTTCCCATTATTGCCTCTCTTTGTTCCAATTGTCTGGAAACTTATTGATTATTATGGATCAGCTAAAATTTTGCTTCTGGCGGAAACTTTGAATGACGTAAATATTTAGAAACTTGTTCATTATTTTTTGTTATTATAATAAAAAAATTTTTTCAGGAATCTGAGATAAACAGTTCATGTGAACAAATTAAAGGCACTGTTTTCTGTAGGAAATTTGTAACAAGGTTTGTAGAAGTAATGGGAGGGAACTCTGAAAATTTTCCCAGATATTTGCGCATTGCTCAGATCCTAGGAAATGTTACGGTGATGATTTAAAAAAATGATATCATCTTTTTTTAAATAAAATAAATTGATTAAATGGTTATGTGACGTATATATTCAGTATTTCCAAACATTTTATAACTCTGCTGTATGAACCATGTAACAAATAATAGTTGCATTGCACAGAGACCTGATAGTTGAGCTTAAAATTCTGTCAACTATATAAAATAAAAATATAAGTGGTATGAAATCAAAGGCTGTTCATAAAATTATTTTAACTTGCTATAACGGCCACTGCTTAAAACTTCCAGGTTCTAAGACTAAAAATTTAGCAGCAGTTTTACAATACGAGGAATGTAATAATAAATAAATGAATAATTATAGTTCATTTGAGAAACTTCGTTCAGAAATTTCAAAATTGAACTTGTACCACGTTTTATTTTAGAATGATGATAGTTTAAAACTGAAAGCACGGATTATGTATTTTAGTTAATGTTAGATGGAACGGTATGCAACTAATGCCAATTGAACCAGGTGAGCGTAGATGCATCTATCAGTTTCGTTATCCTGGTCGTTAAAGCCATCAGAAACTCAATGACTTGACATTCGTATTCCTTCTGAGTGTAATCATTTCAAAGCCATCATGACGTATATTTGAATGTAAGTAACAACCGTGTTATTGTTGTTTCAGTCTGTTTGCTGCGTAGACAAGAAAGGAATTTTATCGTGGCCAAACCCAACGCCAGAAAAAGTGTTTTTCCTATCACGAAACAAAAAGTTACCCCTATCGAATTCATTCACGCATTCTAACAATCGTGAGGAAATTAACCATCAGAACAAACTTAAAAAAACAGAAGGCACGTTTTTCACTTCCGAGTTTTTATATAATTTCATTGGAGTTTTTTTTTATGTTTTGTGACCACCATTTGCAGCCGTCCACAGCACTGTTACTTGTCAAGTGTTGAACCTCACTCAAGATGTCAAAGTCTGTTCTTTTATAAATCTAATGATTCCTATATTGAGCATATTTTTAAAACATTTTGAAGAATCACAGCCACCTCTTCTTTGATGACCACGCCTGGGAAATGTACATGAACTCTCTGAAACCATTGGTATATAAATCTTCAACGTTTGCACTATTTCATTTGTAGGACAGTTTAAAATTATTTCAGGGTCTTAGCATTTTGCTTAACACGTGCAACTTGGAGACCATCGAGCAGTATACGGAGTTCGCCGATCACGTATCTTGCATGTCTCACAAGCACAAGGAAGCCATACCTGTAGTCAACAGAAGGTCACTGACGATTTTTCAACAACTTAGATTATTTACCTTTTTAGTTTTATTATTCTAAATTTAAATTTAATTAAACTTCAAATTAATTATATCTTATTAAAAACTGACTAAAATGTCATTTAACGAATCGAGAGCAATTGCATCATATCATCTGGATAGTAAAATGTAAAATGAAAATAAATATCGCGCGAATGGTTGCACGCTGGATTCCTACATTTTAATTCAAATTATTATAAAAAATGCTGTTAATTGTTATGAAATACATAGTCTTTAATTTGAAATATTACCATAAAATTACTCAAAAAGTATTTCCAAGTTATTTTTTAACAGCTCACAAATATATAATTTAATTGATTATTTAATTTGAAAATACTATATGGGTTCTGCATGTTGCTTTTAGATGTTTTTGTGAACTTACAAGGCAAATTGGTTTTGGACAAAACGCCAAAGAAATATTTCAAACTCAAAACGTTTACGGGATTTATCAACACGTTGTGAGTTTATATATATATATATATATATGTGTGTGTGTGTGAGTGTGTGTGTGTGTTTGCATTCAATGGCAGGTAGAAATACTCACCATAAAAATGTTAAGGGGTGAGTGAAGCCTTGCATCATTACTTGATTATTGTTTTATGGGAGCAAACTGTCAGATCATAAGAATTAATATGAACTTGAATAACAATTGAATATAATAAATACTTTTTTAGAGAATAATAAATATAATGACTTCAGGACAGCAGATGCAGCAGTGAGGACAAGTCGCACACGGAGAAGTACAAGATGCCCATGCCAAGCATGTTTTGCGTGGCTGTCAAGGACTTGTCCACGAGTAAATTTCCATTTGTTTAATTGTTTATTTGATTCAGTATTCACTATTCTATTAAGTGGTGGGGTGGGTGTTATACTGCTCCAGATTTCCTCCGTTGGATGAGTTTGCCTCTGAGCTCATTACGATGTACCTATCCGTAATGTAGCCAGTCAATCAATATTTTTAAATAATTAAATGTCTACATTTTAAAGACTGTTTCGAAACCGGTGAAAACAATTTAGCTGCATAATTATAAAAAAATGATAATTTGAAATTTTCTAGATGGATTAATTTGAATGGTTTATTCATTGTTTTATAGCTTAGGTTAATTATTTTATTTAAAAAGATACGACTCAGCTGTTCTCTCAAGGCATGGCTGACATACTTTTGAATCTATGTACTGATTATTGGGATGGTCAAAATGTTCAACCGCTGGCAGAAGCTGAAAGGTATCAGTTCTTCATTTGATCGCACCTTAGGCGGTGAAGTTAATATTTTACGACGTGTTGGCTATCAAACGAAAATTCATGTCATGAAAAGTTTATCAAATCTTCAGCGATAAAATGTTTAGAGTTTTTTAAAAATTAATATTGAAATTTTATAGTTAGTTGGTCTGGTTGTTCATTATATTCATTCTTATTATAAATGTGTGAAATCTACTAAATGGTCTGATTGAAAATTTAGAGATCTTAATTTGCATAAATTATAATTTTAAATTAAAAGGTTACTCATTTTTTCATTACCCGCAACTGATTGGCAGGAAGAAGATAGCCGATTTTTATCATAGAACGAGCATGACGTCATACTGCACAGCCTTCTCCTATCGCCCATTGGAAGACGTTTCTCTATCAATTGCAAATGATTTCTACTACGAGATTCCAGAAGCACATTTTCTATCCAGGAATCACGTGGAGAAGAGGTAGGAACGTTACTGATTGCTGAAAAGAGACATGGAAGTCATTATTAAAATTTTGGTCGTCATCGTTTAAATTTTTAGTTTTAATTTTCACACACTTGGAAAGAACAAAATTTTCATCTGTCGAATGGAGTCAAAAAATAAATTGCAAAGAGCTTAATCAAATAATGCAAATGCTGCTGAAGACGTTTTAAAATTTAGATTTAGATGTAATAATCAAATTCATTTGTGTTCATTGTTAAGTAGGGATTTTTAAATTCTGTGCTATCCGAACGCTTTGTTATTTACATTGACAACTAGTTATATTTCATGTGACTTTTCAATTTCGCAATGATCTCAGGAGCATCATTTTTTTATTTTTTACATCAGTTTTTCTCGAGGTGAAGATGGCAAGGATGGATTATTGCTGAGACCTAACTACCATGAATTCTCAGGACCCAGCTATGTCGATAGTGATCTGAAATGTTATTCAAAGCAGCCTTTCAAGATGCTTAACAATCAAATATTCATTGGAATGGTAACAATGCAGTATCAAGCTAAGCAGGTCGACCATTTGTTCTGAAGAGTTTTTCATTTAAAAATACTTTTTATCTTGATGATTTTGTATCTAATTTGTTCATTTTTTACTAAATGTTAAATGACTACCACTTTACTTTATGATCGGAATCACAAATTTTGGATTGTGAATGTACATTGCGATCACTCATGAAGCTATGATAGAATAAACAAATAGTCCATAATTTTCTCCTCGTTATTCTTCAACATTCGTCTGAATGTTTTTTTTCTGTTTGCAACTTATCAGAGAAGAATTTTTTAAAGAAATAAGCTATCTTATAGTACCTACCTTCTTTTGAAATACTTTTCCACCTTCCCATTGTAACTACTCTTCAGTACTGCCAATCTGTTAGATCTAAATTTACGTTACATTACCGTTACAACTTCCTACTTGTCATATGACATCACTAACAACTTCTTACTTGTTAACATATTTCGTCAATTTATCGAAAACTAATTTATATGAAACGACGTCTCAAGACCGAAGTTTCTTATTCCCAATTGTCTGAGTCGTTCTCACTGAACTGTAATTATCCAAACTAATGTTTGATATCATTTGAATAACGTTTAAATGGAAATTGATGAGCTGGAATGACGTTTAATGAAAATTTAAAGGAGGTAGTGAACCTTATAGAGAACCTGGAGTCATCCTGTATTCGATTCGTTCACTTCTCAAAAGAAAATGAATTAAGAAGTCGGGTAAATTATTAAAAATTATTATCACTTTGTTTTTCATTTTATCTCACATTATGTGTTAGGCTAGAAGTTTCAACATTTTTTACTGTTTAAACTAGTGAATTAAGTGACAAAACCGTATATATTCTATATAGAATTAATATATATATATATATTCTATATAGAATTTATATATATATATATATATATATATATATATATATATGTTGGTAATAGACCATCATTTTTAGAATATTCTATAAATTCTACCGAATATATATATAAAGGCATACACTAAAACAACTGACTAAATTAAAATTTTGAATTTTTTTATGTTTAGGCCTTACTTGATTAATTTAAAATCACATTCATTTCTTTCAAGAATTACATCACTGTTTATAGGCGTTATCTTCATTTATTCTAAGAACAGTCTTCTTTTTTATACATTTTTTCAAATACATAGTTCGTTCTTTATCATTCATTCATATCAATTCATGTATTTGTGTGACCAAATACTCTGTATGTAAGTTTAAACTAAGTTTATTGTGAACTAAGCCACAAAAATTATATAATCATTCATCTGTTGTGATCTTGCTCAGGTTTTTTCAGAAAAAATGGGCCTGGAGGCTGGCTGGAACTGCCACATTTCTCTCCTAACTGACTCAGAAGAAAAACAATTAAATGAGACTTCGTCGACACTAGAATGGCAGAAGAGAGTTACGAAACCATTCAATCACTCCAAATCTGGCAGCGCTCCTCATATAAATATGTATTGCTCTCAATACCATGCCGACAATTTAAACGACAAGTTAACAGATTCGCCGGCAGCCGCGGAGGAATATGACGCAACGAAAAGTCTGCAAAAAAACAGATCCTCTGTACCTTTTCACAACCCTGCATCGAAAGTTAAAAAGTTCAAATACAAAAAACGAGAAGTTAAAAATTCAAAAGATTTTATAGAAGGCAAACATTTAATTTCGACGAATGAACCTGAATGTTCTGATAAATTATCAAATTGTTCCGTGTCCTTAAGTGAGGCGTCCAGTGAATTTTCCAGCTACATTGAAGGAGTTCCTGAAATTCAAAATAGAGTACGTGGTATCACTTTTAAAGTTTCTATAATTTATTTTTCATAATATAATTATGATAATAGTAATATTCAACAGGCAAAACTTCCGAAGGGGATTGAAAATATACGACCTCATATTAACAACATTGACAATGTTCCTCTTCAGGTATCTTTGTTCACAGACTGTTCAACTTCAAGTTAGTGTTAGCACTTTAATTTTTTAAGTTAATGTAAGAGTTGTCACAAACGATGATGCCTTTTAAATGGAAAACTTCCCATTTTAATAACAACAATCGGAAGAACAACGTACAAAATGAGGATACATGGGTGGATTTGCAAAGGCAGGACTTTTCTAATATTGACATCTTTTGTCATTTGTTTGACGCGTAGAATGGGAATGTAGAGAGCAAGCTGGAAACACGCGTGTCATGCATGTATAGAGAAATAATTCATATTTAATCTGAAGGTATCGCATTAGCTTTTCAAAGAAAGCTGCTGAATTTGTCTTTTCACAGAACAATGAAAGATTAGAAAAGCCATTGATGCAACTGCCAACAGTTTTATTGGTGAGTAGGCTCTCTGTATGGAAAGATCAGGAATGGGTTGGAATAGATGTGTTGCATGACACGCGGCTAAGTTGAGAGGATGATTTAAACATGTAAGAAAAAAGATTAAAAGATTTTGTGAGAAAATGTGAATGATAAAAAGATCAGATTTTGTAGCCAGGTTTTGTCTGCAGAATGTGTCAATAAGCATGCAGGCAGGTGTAAGGTTGCCACTGTTGATTTTTGAAAATTTCCTTGATTAGAACTTTTAAATATTTATGATTATAACGATGACGGCTGAAAATTTTTCAAAATTATTTGTTTATTTCAATAAATTTCCATTATGAATTCAAAAAAATGATGTATTATTTAAAATTTTTGGCAGCTACTTGTGAAATGTTGAAAATTTTACAAGAGTATGGCGAAGTGACATGTTGCCTGGGGAGTTCACTGAACATTGAGAACTTCTCGATATTTTTGCAGGCTGACTGCAGGTTGTTAATGGCTAGTTTTAAGAGTTTTAATTCGAAAATAAAAAAAAGATAAAAATAATAAGATCCCAGAATGATCATAATAGAATTTATATCAAAATTCAATCAATTCTTTTTTACACAGCATTTCCATCCACCCAATTTATCCATATCTATGTCTTCAAAAGAATGAAAAGAACAATCATCTGCTGAATGATTTCACTTCTCCCTTTGGTCTAAGTTCCTACATGATCAGCCTGCCATGCTCCTTGTTGTTCAACAACTGCAGCTTGTCTCGCATGCCTAAGCTTATTGCTGAGGTACACCTTTACGCTTTTTGAAAATTTGTTTCCTATACGTTTTGTTATAAAACAAATAATTCAACTGTTTCTATGTTGTTATTTGCATAAGTTTTGTTTGTATCATAACGAAGATCTCAATATTACAGGCTCAGAAACATTGTCAAAGAGTTTCTTCTGCGGCCCACTTATACTTGTCATTGCAGATGAGTTTGGTCCTGTTGCAATTAATGACGACCTTGTTTTTTCTGCCACCTTGTTTGACTGCACATCAAGTTACTTGGTTGTCTCTGTTTGTTGTGCCACTAATAAGCTTTTCAATGATGAACAATCCATCTTATTCTCAAATACCCAACAATCTACAAGGGAAAAATAGAAAACAGCTTTTAAACCAGGTTGGTATACATTACGAAATTTCAGTAATTCTTTCTCTTCAACAGCTGTTCATTCGCTTTGATTCCAGGCCAATGTGGCAAATATTTAATCCTTTTTCCATTTTTCATCTAATTTTTTATCGTTAGGGAAATGTTTTCAAATGAAAAAATTAATATTTGGAACATGCAGTTCGTATTCCCACTAACAATAAAGCGATAAAACATGGATATGTATGCATCAGCAGCAGAGCATGAAGAGAGATTAGGATCATTGGGTGATAAATATGAAATGACAGGAGATGAAGACTTCATGGCATTTACTTTTTTCTTTTCTCATTACCATATCCAAATGTAGTTTTATAAGAATTGTGCAAAATATTTCGTGTGGAACAGGAAATTAGAGCTCTTGTTCAAAGATTAAGGGGATTCGCTTCGGAGATACATTTACAAACATCTCAACGAACTCTGGTGTAAACGTTTACTGATTGTGCTTTGCAATAATTTATTATTTGCTGAAAATAGGGCTTAAGTATATTTAAATGATTTGTCCAGTATTATCTTGACTATTTTAAAAATTTACAAATTAGTTTACCTTTTAAATCATAAATCAATAACAATCACTTATTTTAGACATTTTTCGTGGGCGCATTCAGCTTTCTCGTTCGATTTGTTCCAACCATAGCAGTTTGTTTGTTGTGTTTTGCTCTCAATCTTAGAAGTTTTTGCGTAAATGGAGCTGGAAATTCAACTGTCGTTTGTCACATTAATTTTGGTGAAATGTTAGTGCAGTTTATTTAACTGAATACATAAGCACTGTTTTTTTTAAATTTATCACATCAACTTTGGGGAACTGTTTAATTTTTTAAACTTACCACATTAAATAATTTCACTGTTTAAAAGCTAAACAAGTTTTTCGTTGCTTTAGGGCACAGTGCGTGTCACAGCGATAGGAAATTGTAGCTATAGATGAGTTTACAATGTATAACGTTGTAAGTAAGGTTTCACTTGAATAAGATTTAGGTGCTACATTTGTTCTTCTTTATTTATTGTTATTGTCTTTTAAGTAAGTACCTCAAGTTCGCATATTAAATCTTATTAGTGACTTATTTAATGAATTACTATGAAGCTTAGTCATGTCAAATTTTGCGCTGTTTGTTAATAAATCGTTGCACTCTTTTTAGAAAATTACACTAAATGAATGAGGTTGTGACTAATTTTTTTCCAAAAAACTTCATTCGCTTGCCCTGTTTTTTATCACAGAAACAAAGAAAATGAGAACTCAACAGAGGCTGCGGGCACGTGGAATGGATGGACGACAAAACACCTGCACTCTTACGTTATTTGTCAACAATTTATTGCTCTCCAGCTTGTCACCTACTTTAGTAAGTACCGACGTACAATACTGTATTTTGTTGGTAACATTTACTTAAATGTTTGCTGCTTTTACTTTAATAAGTTTACTTTATTTACACTTACATCTGTCTTATCTATGGCTAATTGTGACTAATAATTAAAATGGCTAATTATAATAGTTAGCTGTATGAGAGTTGAACTTGCGACGTATTTCGGTTGAAATTATTTGACGCTGATGGCTCTGGATTGGCTTATATGATTATGGTGTATAGCAACATTTAAAATATTTTTAATTTATTTCTCATTTGAAGTGGTCATTTCTTATTGCAACATACATCACTTGAAATATTTCTGGAGAATACGCCCAAAAGAAAATGTTCTCTGGTGCTTCATATGCCCCGTCATGTAAGAATTTTATTGCTTTTTTTAAAAATGTGTTTTAAATTTTTTTGCATATATTATTAAAAATGTAGTGGCGGTTATCACAGTATTATTGCCATTGCTGATTTATGTAAAGTTTATAAAAATTTTAGCATTACAAATTTCCATTACAATGCTTTTAAGATTGGTCGTACAAGCATCCTGGTTCACATTCCTTGTAGTCGGCTCCGATTATGAGGAGCGGTCTTCACTCAGCTACGTTTCAGCTCTCGTTTGGCCTGTTTCACTGCTTTGGGTTATCGGTATTATAACGATTCACGAGCTGGTGAAAAGAAAAGAAATGAAGTAAGAAGAGTTTTTTTTTGTTATGAAAAATGATTTTCAATTAATTTTAACGCTACGTCCTACTTCGGGTAACCGGGACTCTGGACGCAAAACGAAGATTGATTGATTTAACGCTATTGTAATTGTCTGTACTCTCTTATTAATAAATAACATTTGTTTTTATTTGAATCATCTTCTATTTTTTTTATGTTAATTCTCTGACGTTAAAGCTTTTTGCGGATCAGTATTATTGCTGGAAACGTCGAGAAATGCAAAAACTTTGCTAAAATGCATAAATTATCATCTGCATCTGTGCACACACACATGTATATATATATATATATATATATATGTGTGTGTGTGTGTGTGTGTGTAAGTATTTATGCATGGCAAAATTTTTAATTTATGGTACAATGCCCATGCCTATGAATTTGTGAGAATGCTTCTACAAGAAATTGCCCCTTTTGCATTGTTTTATTCCTTGTTCATTTCTAGCTAAACATCACTATTTACATTCACGTGGACAGCGATTAACTCGATTTAGTTAGCATGAAAACCAACGTATTGTTTGATAAAATTCATCATAAACATTTCTTTTCAATCTAAGGATTTGGATCAGACACCAGAAGAGGGCGAAGTTAGACTTTGGAACTAAATTGGGAATGAACTCTCCATTCTAACGATATTGGTTTTAAATTTTATATCATTGTAAATTAATAAATATATAAACAAATTAATTGATAAATAAAATTACGTCAAAATAAATACTACAAACAATCGTCTAACAAACAATCTATTAAGTCAAATTAGCTATGATTTCGCGAATGGCAGGCAGTATACTGCATTCGTTCGGTTTCACCAAAAAGTCAGAAAATCTTTTAAGAATATTGGCCACGACGCTCATTTGATTGACATTCTGCTTGTGGTTCTCGACGAGTTGCACTGTGTTTGTTGCGCTGTCGTAGCACAGTGGTAGTATGACGTTAGGCGGTTGATTGCTGCTTGGCGTGGACTCTGCGTAGGATGGATGACCCACGTTGCACGTCAACAGCAACTGCAATGAACATCGATTAACGTTTATTAGCGATGTTGTAAAATCACGTGCAATTTTATAAATGTGTTGAAATATGTTGAGATGAAACTTACGATGAAAACGATTTTTCTGGAGATGACGATAGCGTTAGCTCCCATATTGTAATCGAAACCACTTGGAAATGTTAATAACAGTTGGACGAACCACCTCATATTTTTATCTGCATTCTGTAAGATAATTTTGAAATTTATAATAACGTGAATGACAAATAAATTAAATGCAAATCTAAGTGTATTTGAATATTAGTAGACTACGAACCAATTCCATCCTGAATATGTTGATGAAATCCTTCAATATATGGAAATGCATCTTTAACAACGAACAAAAAGCTTCGAGGTTAGATGGCTTGTACGGGTGACTGAGGACCTTTTGTGATGACAAAAAATATTCAGGTTAATAAAGTTAGAAATGTAAGTCAAAGGTTTAATATTGATGACTTATAAATAATTTTTTTTAATTGAAATCCAACCTTAACTTCAAAGAATTTTTCCAGAGAAAACAGATCGTCCATATCCCAAGGTGTATCTATTGAAACAAATGTAATTTAGTATTAAAATTATTGAAATAGGAATAATAAAAAAGAAAACAGGGCCAGTTAAAGAACATAATCAGTTAACAGTGCTGAAGAATATTGGTGATATTTATTTCTTAAAAGACCGCTTATAAAAAAAGTTTGACACCTCAGAAGCATAGGAAAAAAATTGAACAAATTTGCCACAACAAATTATTTTTAAAATAAGATCAAATATTTCAGAGACCATTGATAATAAATGGTACATATTTAAACATATCTAAAAGTGTAATACCTTGAAGAGGAAATATTTTGAGGGGAGAGGAAACCAGGCTGGCGTTAAATTTCAGTTGAAGTCCTGATAAATCTGATTTGAACATCAGTACACCAGCTTCTGTCGTCGGTATCTGTATGAGCTGCTACAAAATTACACGTTTAATAATAAGATGAAGAAAACATTAGCTTTTACACGAGAAATCTAGTTTAAACATGAAACGATTCTGTATAAAAAGTATAAAAAAAACTTCTTGAACAAAAGTTATCATCGAGGATTGAAGAAACAATTATGCAATATTAGAAGCGAGTATAATTTAAAAAAACACTAACGCTGTCATCAGATTTTATAATTCTTTGGAGATGTCTTCGGAAATACTGGACCCCGAGATATTTATCCAGAGGCGATACATTGTTTATTGGCGTCATCAGCTTAGTGAGGAGATCCCGTGTTACATAATTTTCAAGAAATGGCTGATGGATCTTTTCAGCAGCAGATCTAAAGACGTCTAATGTGGAAAAACAATGAAAAAAATATAAAAGATAGTTGAGCTTAAATTAAAATAGCTAAACTACATTTTTCAAGTTTTTATATCTCGCTATGAATTTACAGTTTAAATATTGTTGAGATTTATAGATTCAATTGATTTAAAATAGTAAATGGATGCCATTCACGAACTTACTCATTTGCAAATCTGACAGTAAGAAATTATCAACATCCGACATGCCAACAACCTGTTGAATAAAAATCAAATAAAGTCAAAATTATTTTTATTTCAAAATAAAAAATTATGCGTCAATTCATATTATGCACACTAGGATTTCATTTTAACGTTATTTCTCATAAGTGTGTTAACTAAATGTGTAAGTAAACTTTTCGTATGCCAAAAGTTGTGCGTTATGTTGGATTCAAAAAATATAGCCCTAACAACACTCCAGATCAGAGAGTGCAGATTTGAATTTGAAATGTTTATGAACCTTATTTGTTACAACCAAACTTATATAATAGATATTAATGTCTATGTCTTGACGCGTCAGTTATGCCATCATACGTACATACGTTAATGCAAGTCAAATCACTGACATTGTGTTGAGCATTGTTCTCATCAATGGATCCAGTGACATCGTTGCTACTACATAATGAATCAGATGAAGCGCACAGAAAAGCCTTAAAAAATTCAAATAGTGTACGCAATTAATACATTCAACAATGCTTATGAAGAATTTTTTCAACCGCCATTCAGCACTCAAGTGAGCGTGAAGATGAACTAAAAAATATAGACGCGCGTGTAGGTTGAACACTCTAATTTTATAAATTTGTTCACGTATGATTAAAACTAGACTTACGTTATAAAGATGAAAAATAATCTCAAATATAAATAGATGGTGAAAAGATTTGAAAATGAATCCAATTGAAAAATTATTTTGAATACAAATGAAGTTATTAAACGGACCAAAATCATTGTAAATGAAAATGAATTGAAATTAGCATTTGAATTGATGAATGTACATCACGTGACAAACCTGGAATCCGGAGAGTGAAGCGTCGTTAAGTTTTGCGTTAGGACTGATGGAGGAGTCCTTAAAAGTGATGTAGGTTTTATTTGGACAGGAGAGTTCCATACAGAAGAGTGGATAGAAGTAGTATATTCTGTAGTGGAACAACGACTGAGCGACGACGGTGTAGTTTTGCACTGGCAGCATCCAATTCACCTTCAGTTTAAAATAATTGAATTAATTACATGTTATATATTTGTATTAGTTAGGTTTAAACATATTTTTAATTCGGCATTTAGGTGTTTGTCCTTATTTTGGTTATTAGTATTATTTAATTGTTATAACATTTAAAATTCAATGTTCTGTTAAATTTGAAAAAAAATTTGTAAAATGATATATATATATATATATATATAATACTCCATTATATATATATATATACATATACACACACATATATATATATATATATATATATAAAATGGAGTTTTAGAAAGAAAAATGAAATTATTTGTAATTAATGACCAACCTTGGTCCACACAAGTGGAGTGGTGTTCAGTTTGTAGAGTTGTTCATTCACTTCACATGTTTGCGCCAGCAACTGTCGTCAATTTTTTTATAAATTTGTAGAAGAAATTATAAAATTGTTGAAGATTTTGAATAAAATTATACCACTTTAAATTAAGAATTCTAAGTATGTTAAGCAATGAATATTTATACCTTGCAGAATAAAACCAAAGATTTTGATTTATTGAGGTGGTGACTCAAATGAGCAGAGACTAACGAATGTGGATTTGATATGACAGAATCAGCGTGGCTGCCAAACGTCACTTGGAAAGATTTTGTGTTGTTACAATATTCTACACTCACCTAATAAATGTCATAATATTAATATTTAGAATATAACTAATATTAACTAATATTATATTAATATTTGACATCTTATATGAACATTCCAAAAGTTATTCATATAAAACTAACCAAAAAGTGTCTTTTTGGGCCATAACTTATGACTAGTTTATTGAAAGAAAATGACTCGATGTAAAACTGTGAAGGTAATGTCTGTTCTCCTTGTACAAGATGATCTGCAATTCAATGTTTATTGTCGAATTTTATTAATGTTTGAAGCAACGGAAGAAAATAACATGCACAAACCGTTGTACTGATAGGACATATCGTGAACGATCTTTAACATTTGGTAGTTGACATTCCAATCAGTTGCAAATGAAGAAACAACTTTTTTAACATCAGAAACATCGTAAACCTTTAGAAAACATCTTGTATATTCTGCAAAATTATTTCAGTTAAAAGTTCAACATCTTGTACATTTTGCAAAGTTATTTTGACGAAATCTATATAAAAATTTTCCAATAAGCCTAAAACCAGAAACAAACTTACGTTCATTTAGCGTCGGCAACGAGAAGATAGGATTTTCAGAAGCTGTAACCTGATAAAATAAAATAAATAAATAAATCATTAAAACTGAAATATCATAACAGAGAATAAGTAACTTACTAGGACACACCAGTAACATTTATCCTTCTTAATTAATCTGAAGGTCACGGTCATGTCATGCGAATTGAATGGTATTTTTGCTGCATCAGAAGTGTCGAATGAAATGCCCCTGTTAAATTGTTGGAAACAAATCACTTGATGCCTTTTTTAAATATTTTCATTTGAAGAAACATAGTTAGATCAGCGTTTCAATGTCAAAATAGATATCAGATTAGGTGTTTACAGATTTATAATTGATCACTAACTTGGTTATTTGAAGAGAATATCCAATGCCACACGGATCGGGCAGATGGTTACTGTTGTAGATCCCTAATAGGCCAAGCTGGAAATTTAAAATTGAGATATTTTAAACTACATTCAACTTAATGAAGATTTCATAAATTCTTTCAGGTAAACAAAAGTAAACAAAACTTATACTAAAATATGTTTTTTTAAAAAAGCAATAAATTTAATAGAATGAAATATGAAATTATAACCTCGTCGTTCAGGCCATCAAATAGTATGATATCCTCCATGTGGGAATAAATGTTGCTGAACATGTGCATCAATGGGACGGAGGCCTGTATTGGGAAAGAAAAAAAATTTAAATTTGTATTTCTTAGCTAATTGTGTTTTTGCATTTATGATGAAGGATGCAGCTCAGACGTTTTTAACTGAGTAATAAATACAACAAAAATATAATAAAAATAAGAAAACATATTTTAGCATAAGTTACCTTTGATTTCTTCGAGTTCAACAGTGCTGTTAAATGAAAAAATTATATTGTATTAAATAATTTTGATGTATTGAATGCAGAAGTAAAATGAAAATGTTATGTTGTTTAACATTTTGTAAATTAATTAATGCCAAAGTAATGTTAAACAGCATATTACCGTTGATTGAGTTGGACTCCAAAATCTTAGCAGGATCAACGAAAATCATCTCTGAGTAGTTTAATCGTTTACTGACGGGGTCCATTTCTCGGACTTTTAACAAGAAGTGTTGAACACATGCTTTATCTTTATTGCTAAACTTAATAATCTGAAAATAAAATTAAAAATATGCAAGAGTAATGAAAATTCGTCATCATTATCAGATCTATAAAGGTAGGTGCAGACTATTTTACACAAATTTTATTCACACCAATTTTTTCTATCACAACCTTTTTTCTTTTACCTTACTGACATTTTTAATTATTTCTTACTTTGCTCAAACTAAAGTTCATTCTCTAAATATTTTTCCCAAATTTCATAATCTTTTAAAACTTTATTACACTGAATTTTATATGATTTTTAAAACAAATAAGTCAGAATTTTATTTTCTGTTTTCTTATAAGCCTTATGATAATTATCTTACATCGTAAAACAAACAGAGCTAAGATCTATCTAAATTTTTAATGAAGTGTTTTATAAAAGTTGCTCATTTTTTGCTAACACGCCAGGGTAATCACAACAATAGCAAATAATTATACGCAAAAAAATATTTACCATGGTATATTTGTTGGTGTTGGGGAAAGCCACTGAGAAAAAGTTCTTTCCAAAAGTTGCATGTAGGTCGGTTGGTTTTTGAGAGTAATCCGTGTACTGAAGTCGATGGGATACTAGCATGCTTTCATACATGCACTTGTACTGAAATACTCTGTAATTAATTCATCATTTATTATATTGTATTATAATTTGCATGTAGAAAAAAGTTTCAAGTATAAAATAATAAGCATCAAAACCAGCCTTCATGCTGTCATTATGATTCAAGAAATTACAAAAATATAATAAGTAGAAATTGATGATTATGATAAAGGCCAAATTGACTGCACACCTGATAGCAGCAAATATTTGCCCTATGTCCTTCCTGTCGCCATTCAAGCTATCTTCCAGTGCATCTAAATAAGGATTGGCTGCAAAATTAAAAATTAAATTAACATGACTGAAAGATCTATCGTGTGTTTGGATTGCAAGAAAGGTATCATTCGTAACCAATGTAGTTACAGTTAGCTAGAACACAGCAAAAGCAAACTAGTAAGTGCTGTTCATTAACTATACTAGATAATTTTTTTAAATATAAAAAAAGAAGAAAATGTCGTTTACCAGAATTAATTTTTGTGACGGAGAACAATCCTTTCATCATATCCACCGTTATAATAATTTCTTCAAGTTCTTTGGACACCGTCAGATACATTAGCGGAGGAAAGTCGATGATGGAACCTGAAATGCAAAATTATTACAATTAAAGACTTAAAAGACATTCCAACTTTTTATTAAAAAATGCATGCGGCTTATCAGTTAAACCTTTTCAAAACATTTGAATAAATAAAATAAAACATTAAAAAGACAGAAAATAAATAATTTAAAAAACATACATTTTGCAGATGTAAACATTTCCAGCTCTCTTTTCAGCTCCTGTTTTGAATTGAAAGTAAAAAAAATAAACATTGTCATACAATGTAATAAATTTAATTTGTAACATTATAAAGCCCATAATGATAAATGTGATGATATCATATAGAATGGAATGTAATTAGTGGTTATGATCGGAGGGTGATGAAATAAAGTTCATCTTAGAAATGGAATAAAAGTTTCAATTGAATTATTTATTGGAAATGAGCGCAGCCAGCAATTAATTAACAATCCACTTACCTTTAGTTTAATGAGACACCTTATTTGAATTGTGTGGGTGATCAATTTCTCCATTGATATGCATGATATCTTGAAATATTAGGCATTGTAAAGGGTTTAATGTATCTTTTAATGTATAAATGCTTAATAAACATAGTTATTCTATGCTACAAATGTTATTTAATAATTAAAAAAATTATTATAGACCTGGATGTCAGAACAGAGGGAAACTGATAATTAATAATAATAATAAAACATATCCAACTTACATTGATCTGTTTCATACTTTTCATACCATCTTCACCGTACAATACAGGACTGTGAGAAATAAAAAGCGGTTTGCTCGTGTTCTTTTCATCGACATATATGTTCAGTTTGCAGCCTAGAGAAAACAGGAACATTAATGAAACGTTAACACTATGCAACTAATAAAATAATTGATCTGACGATGGGGACTGAATAACTAACTTAATTATGACAAAGTGGCACGTAAAGCATGATAAAATAAAATTATGATATTACTGATAACTATTAACTGAGTTGAAAATGAAACTGTTAAATAATTAATTAACAGTGGTACACGAGATATCAATTAATTAGCTAATCATTTAACTAATTAACAAATTAAAATAATTTAATTAAAAAAAAATATTAGTCAATTGAATTATTGTGAATAGTAATAATAAATTCTACCTGTTGGGTACAGCTTCTGTGATTTTCCTGAATCTCTGAAGAAACATTATTAACATATAAACATGGCGTAAATTATCGATCATCGTAAATTTGCATATGCATTAGATGGAATGTACTAACAATAACAATGATAGTAATGATAAGATTGTAGAGATTGAATATTTCTCTGCACTAGCCAGAGCATTAAATATGAATGACAATTAAGAGAACGAATTATTGATAAAATGTAACCTCCAATAAGATATTATAAGATTCCTTCCGAGGTTATACTCATCCACTTTTACAAAGTCTCCAAACTTTTCTTTTATAAGGGTGAAACTCTGCAATAATGAAAATAAATAAGAATTATAGTTACAAGTTTTTATGAAATAAATAAACAAATAGATAAAAAAATGAACCAAAAAAAAGAAAAATAATATCTACATTACCTGAAAATATAGAACTTCCAGCTGGAGTGATTGGCAGAAGAAATCTGGAAATAAGAAATTAGTTACAGTTGAGACTGTTGAACATTGACATATCAGTATAATAAAAAGTTAAACAGGTAGTTAATTAATGCCGAACATGCTGTGATTTTCATATATATATATATATATATATTATATAAATAATATATATATATATTATATATATATATTATATATATAAACTTACGAAGACAATTGTAGAGATCATGCAAGGGTTGTTCACTTTCGAGCAATTTGGACTGAACCATTTCGTGGATGAACGCAACTTGCTGGGGGTGCACTAGGGACCTGCCATTCTTTGATTCATAATCTTCTACTAATATGTCAATGTTCAACAGTCTCCACGGTAGATTAGGCGTATCTCCCATCAGTGTTAAAAAGACCTTAAACAGCAAGCAAACAATGTTAAATAAATTCAAAACAACCAACAAAGGTGGCTAAAAAAAACAAAAATAAATGAATAGACATAATATAACAACTAAAATAACACATTTTGTATAAAATTTTTTACCTCAAACTCGTGGTCGACTGTAAATTTAACTCTTCCATTCTCTGAAAAAAACAACACAATAAATAAATTGTTACAGAATAATAAATGAATATGTAAATACTGGATATGTATTAAGAAAAATGGGGAAGACAAACCTATAACTGGCTTACACATGGAATGGGGCAAGTCATTCATGACTATTCTGTATTCAATGACTTGTGTTAATTTGGTTAAAACTCTCTTCTTTTCAAGTGGAGGTAGTGGTTCTGGTGGTACAATTTTCTCCTGAAATTTTTTTTTAGTATGTTAAAAAATTTTAACGAGACAGGTGTCCAATAAGACGTGTGTGAAATATTATCGAAATATGTGATTAATTTACCTTTATACAAAATGGAAGCCTCGGATATGTTCCAGTCATTAAGACATCGATAGCACATGGCAGTGAAAAACTCGGCAATCTAAAATAATTATTGAATTTTATCAATAAAAATAAAGAGTTATATTCAGACAATTTATGAATCATTGGAATATTTGACAATAATAATCTTATAAGACTATATACTGAAATCAGCTTAATAAACAGTTTAAAACTAATGAGTAAACTTGTATTTGATTACCACAATAGCTTTATAATAATGAATCTTAAATTTTTAACACACTAACCTAGCATGAACCAAAGTTTCCCTCGCCATCCTTGCCAAACAATCAGCAGTCTCAACAAAGAGTAATTGTTGTTGCTGCAAGAAGCTGAATATTCTCTAAATAGTAAAAAAATTCAATAATTTCAAACATTTTTGTTACAAATTTTCATTAATTTTATATCCAAATATTCATATGCACTGAAAGTTTATATAAAGATGAATATTTAATTTGATGAAATAAAATTTGAAAAATGAAAAAAATTTTAGATTGTTATGAGAAGATGTGTTCATGCAACAAACATTAATAAACTTAACTAACAGCACATTTGTCCACTTTGTTTGCACTATTGGTCCATTTCACAAGGGCCAGAAGTCTCACAAACGTCTGCTTGGTTCGATTGGCAAATTGACATATCTCGATTTTTCTAATTTAAAATAAATTCATGAAATAAAGAAAACTAGTTTGCAGCATCTCATATCAATAGTATGGCAATAAATACTTGGAGAAAGTAGGAAGCATTAAATTTAATTAAAAAGACTAGTATGTGGTGTTGATGTTTATGAGAAGAGAAAGTAAGAAAACTTGAAAGATGGTTGCTTTTAGTAAAGTGAAAAAAAGAAATGAATAAACTTTTACCTTTCCAGATCATTCTTCCCTAGCAATCTGAAAACGATTAAGTTATTAAATTAATTATTAAATGATTAATTTTTTTTTACTGTCACTTTTTATATATTTTTATGTTACGAGTTATGAACTAGTATATGTTAGTTAAGGTTAATATATTAATTAAGCCATTAAGGTTAAATAAAAATTAATAAAACAAATAATTGCTAGTTTATAATTTTTTATATTTGGTGGGTGAAGTTGATTTTCGATTTTGCCCCACTAATCACTAATGAAGATTAGATTTATTAGAAATTATAAAATAAATAAATACTAACAACTCGGACAGTATTGAAAGCTCATGGTAGGTTCTCTGGATGAGAAATTCCATCAGAGTACTCAGAGGAACAACATTTCCAAACATGACAGAATTTTGAGAAGCGTTTGCATATTCAATCGGAGGCATTTGTATTAATTCCTCGCATCAAAACAAACACTCAAATATGAATAAAATAATAAATTTATATATCACAAAAACAAGAAATAACAACAAAACAGTGAACGTTCAACAACAAAACGTGAAGTGAAATACACGAATTGAAAATTTTTGCAGTAAGGAAAGCCGAGCACATTGTGCCTATATATACTTCATGACCATAGACATGTTACAATGTTTTTTACGTTTTACAATCGAATGCTTTACAACTCTGCTTACGACGGTTTATTTTAATTATTTTATGTAGTTTATTGTAATATCTTTTACAAACTATCTTGCAACAAATTTTACAATACATTCAACTCACAAAATTTGTTAAATTAATTTGACGTCTTATTTTCAGCGTCTGTAACATTTGTAACAACCCTAAATATAAGAACCTTGGCTGCAACTCTAATTTTTATATTTTTTGATGTTGACATTTAAATTAAATAGAATTACAATCAGCGATAGGTTGAGAAGTCCCTCGATTAGGAGCGTCGTCTGTTCGAGCTGGCTATCCCAAGGAGCGACTTCATTGCGTAGTGGTAGTGTGAGATTGATTCTGGGCTCGTCTCACGGAATGGCGATATCCAATTTAGGTTTCTACTAATTGACGATCCTGTGGCTACATTTACTTTTTGGTTTTAAATTTTTATCTATATTTTGAAATTTATTTCAGGGCTGTTGTTGTGACTGTGAGTTGTAATGCGTATTGTATGTGCACTTATTTATCTGTTGATATTGACGGGTTTGGTTTGATTTGATTTTATTAGTTTTAAATAATGTGTATGTTTCTGATTGGACAGCCCTTTTAAGGACACAAGATAAAAATTTTTATTAATAACTGTTTAATAGTGTGAACAATTGACATACTGCTAAACACATTTGAGTATTAGTATTATCAATTAACTGAACATTTTTTTGAATTATTATTGTCAGTTTGAAAGTTAAGATAGATGATGAGATATACAAATTATTTAATAATTTATACAAATTGGGTTACAAAAATTGTTGGTAATAATAAATTTGTCTTATATTAATAACACGTTAAGAAGTTACTTGTATGAAAAATTTTCAACATTGGAAAAATTACGGAACTAAATGAAATGCAATAGCATTTACATCAACGAAACATAAAATGTGTAAGAACAAATATTGATAAGACCATTAACTATCCAACGCTAGAAATTCGGTAAATGTCCTAAATTACTATATATATATATATATATATATATATATATATATATATATATATATATATATATATACACAAATACGTACATACATATTTTAGAGAGAGCAACTAAATGTCTGTCTGTGCAATCAATCAAATAGATTAACGTTGGAACCAGATATTGATAATAGTTCCCTCATAGCTTTTATCAACAATTGGCCATGCATACATACATACACACATACATTCATACATTGAATACATACATACACACATACACAAACATACATATACATTCATACATACATACATATAAACATACATACAAACAAACATATATACATACATAAATACATACCTATATACACACAAACATATATACATACATACATAAATACACATATAATGAAATCACGCCTGTTATTTCATTTCAAATGAGAGTGAACCACCGATCGTCATGCCGATATTCACGTTAAATATTATTATCAAGATTTTTAAAAACACAGAACCTACTTTTTAAAATGTTCACACGTTCGATTTTCCTATTATTATTATCAAATCTCTTAGTCAGAAGTTTGAAGAATCTTAATGATCCTCAGATTTTAAAGCCATCATTTTCTCCATTAACGTCATTGAAATACACCATGGTACGATCTTCCTTGATGTCCAACTGTTATCCCGACGCATCAGAAACAACACAATACTCCGTAAGATCAGTGCAAAGATGTGCAGCTCATTGCAGCGTCCTACCGACCTGCAGAAGATTCAATTATTATTACCAGAGTAATGTCTATGGAACTGCTGGAGATTGTCGCTTGTTTCCATCTTCCAACTGCCACCATGTTCCTCAAATCAATGGATTTCTTGCTTATGTTAATAATGGTCGGTCGTATTATTTCAATTTCTTTGATAGGAAATGTAATTGAAATTTGCAGTGTGAAATGAAACTAAAGTTGTTGCATATTAAATTGAAAAATTAATTTTTGAAGATTTGCCGTTGATTTATTTAATTTTGCTTTCAACGTAGATGAGCAGGTTACGGTTCTTCGAAACTAACAAAAACTACTTCAGTTTTTAAAGGCTTATTTTTTATTCCGGTACTTTAAACAAATACAAACGTATTAAAGTAATTGTCATAATTTATTTATTATTTGTCAAATGTAAAAATTTGCTTATTCAATAGATTTCAATTCATATGCAAAAAAAAGTCTAATCTATATGCTTCCATTTCCCAAACATATAATTGATATTTATCATGAATTAGCATATTAAATAATATTTTAGCTCCGTGGGATGCACAACAATTAATCATCGAAACCACAACAACTACTGCATCTTCACATCTCGGCTACAACTGTGGCTCGATGGATCCTTGCAAAATCTTCAACAATCGAACAACTACTGTGATAGAGTACTTTTCTCACTCCGACAGTGATAAATTTATTCAATGTGACGGAACCACTTGTAATGTGAAAACATGCCCACCTGATTCAATTAATTGCGCAAAGCCTTAGGTAGTTGGACGCCCTTGGCAAAAAATTCGGTGACCCCAAACGACATTTTTTTAAAAACTATCAAAATGTAGATAATGTATTTATCATATAATGTAGATGATGTATTAATTTCGACGCTTGTTTTTTGAATGCTAGATGTTACGCTAACAGCTGTTTAGATCAGTGCTTCTCAAAGTGGTGGTCCGCGCACCTTTGATGGAAAGATTTAACTTATAGTGGTGATGATGATGATGGTGGTGGTGGTGATGATGATGGCCACGATGATGATGATGGCTACGATGATGACGCTGATTATATTAGTCGTCCCGGTTATATTAGCGTTGGCTCTATCGTTAAAAATGATTATTACATCTACGACGATGAGCATGACGACGATGAGGATGAAGATGATGATGACGACCAAAACGCTGATGATGACGAAGAAGGTGATGAGGAAAATATCTTTTATGAATTTAAAAATTTTGATTCCAGTAAGATCAATAGTGGGAACGATGATTTTGAAATTTATAAATTTAAAACTAAATTGTCGAACGGGTTCTCTTACATCTTCATCTTGATCGAAAAGTTCGCGTGATGGGTGGTTTATTGATTAAGATTGCTATAATTTCTATCCATTTATTTGTCATCACTTGTATAACTTATTTTTATTACGATGCATTTGAATAAAAATTAATAAATGTGAACTATTGCCTTCATAATGTTGTTGTAGTCTGTTGTAGTTTTTAAAACTTGTAAAAATAGGTAGGCAATCTTTACAATTTTTTAAAAAAATAGGTATCATTTATTGTAAAGAATAGTTTCATATATAAAGTAAAGTAATGTACTTCTAGAGGTATCTGAAACGTTGTAAAATAAGAGTTAAGAAGTCATGTTTAATGCTTTTATGTTTACATCAACGGTAATATAAACATCATTTTTTTAAATTCGGTGCAAGCAAATATTGATGAAATCATTATAACCTTTTATGCTAAAGCTTCTTCCAGTGTGAAAATCAATCAACTACTTGGAAAGAAATCGCTTAAGCCTTCGATAAATATTTACTAATACACAAAGAAAGTGTCAAGGAAATAGCAACAAAAACGTTTTTCTAAAAATATATTAACAATTTTTATAACCAACTCTAACATTATATTTTTATTTCTTTATTCTTAAATGTATAAAAACTCACAAGTGCAGTTATGATATAGACATTTCATATATCAATCACATATACATCCATTATAAAAAATCATTCACATTAATTCAATAGTCCACGTACACGGTGTAGCTATAAAAAAAGAAACACAGGCTTTGAGTTAGCCGGATTTAAAATTCATGTGGTTTTGGGATTCATTTTACAGGACAATTGTAATCAAAAAAATAAAAGTTATACAATTTTTTCTCTATAATAGTACTTGAAACTTTATTACCTAAAATGTTTATACGGTCAGTTTTTTATTTAACACTGTCAAATGTTGTGTTAAGCAGTTCTAAAAGTTATGATGATGCGCTAAGTGGTAACATTTTCGAGCCATCAGTTATTCCAATTTCACCATCATCATCAATCTACACCAAGATACCAGTATCACCATCGTCCACTTGTTATCCCGACGCATCAGAAACAACACAATACTCCGTAAGATCAGTGCAAAGATGTGCAGCTTATTGCAGCGTCCTACCGACCTGCAGAAGATTCAATTATTATTACCAGAGTAATGTCTATGGAACTGCTGGAGATTGTCGCTTGTTTCCATCTTCTAACTGCCACCATGTTCCTCAAATCAATGGATTCCTCGCTTACGTCAATAATGGTTGGTCATAAAAGTAATTTATTCGGTAATTGGAGAAAATTAATAAAATGAATTTTAATTTAAACATTATGAGTATTTTGTGAAAATTTGCTCAGATTTGACACATCACAGGTTGCGTTTATTTAACATAAAGTTGAGGTTATTTTCAGCAAAAGTTTTTATTAACTACGTGAGAAACACGAATATGACGACTCATTTTTGTAATTATTATTATAAACTGGCATGTAATTTTAATGCAATTTTTTTTAGAAATATTTAAAGTAACAAAATGCATTCTTTTATTTAGTAATTTCCATCTTATGAATTATTTTCATAAACTATTCTTATCGAGGCTTCTTAATTGGGCATTGTTCGTCGGAGGCTGAATTGAGCAAACTTTCAACCCCTGAAAAAACTTCCGTTGCGAGATAGACATACGCAAAAATATGTCTCCAAGTTATATCACATCCGCGGCCTAAATTACTATTGAAATATTTTTTTGAGTCGTGTCAACAATATTAAAACAATCGAAACCCTATAGGCCAAATTTGTTTTGTCATTCGAAAAAATCACAAATTTTCATCTTCTAAATTTTTTCCAGCTCACAAAAAATGATGTTTACATTATAAGCAGTTAAATAATATTTTGATTTAAGCATTTTTTTATACGCTATTATCAATCACTGAATCAACTGTATCAAAAACCAAAGAACCTCTGACAACAGCAACAACCACTAATGAACTAACATCAACAACAGCAATAACCGCCAATAACCTACCAACAACAACAACAATAACAGCAAAAACAACAACCACCTCCAATGAGATACCAGCAACAACAGCAATAATTACAACAACCACCAACGAACCAATAAAAACAATTGCATTATTCATCACCATTAACCCACTCTCAACAACAGCACTAACTATCGTCAATGACCTACCAAAAACAACAACAATAACAGCAAAAACAACAACCACCTCCAATGAGATACCAGCAACAACAGCAATAATTACAACAACCACCAACGAACCAATAAAAACAATTGCATTATTCATCACCATTAACCCACTCTCAACAACAGCACTAACTATCACCAATGACCTACCAACAACCACAGCAGCAACAACAACCACAACAAATAAACAACCAACAACAACCATCACTACTCCAAAACAAACAAAATCAGTTGTTATGCGTGGGGATGAATGTCACCTCTACAACCCCTGCCTGGTTGCAGGTAGTCATCCAATAAATAGTCCAGCCAACATGTTCCCTCACATCGACCCAGCCTACTTCATCCAGTGTTCAAACGGAATATGTCACGTCAAGCCCTGCCCATCTGACACTCATTTCGACATTAGTTTGAAGATTTGCACAAGAAAGTAGTTAAGATCACGTCGGCAGGCATAAACCAATCAATTTGAGACAATTTTTTATTTTAAAATACGGTAAACAATGTTATTTTTTTTACTTTAATGTATATATATATATATAATATAAAATTATATATATATATATATATATATATATATATATATATATAGGGTTAAAACAGTCAGAAATTCAATTATTGATGAAAATCACAGCATGTTCGGCGTTAGTTAACTCCCTGATTAACTTTTCGATTTTTCTAATTGTTGATCGTAAATCATTTACAAGTTTCTTGTGTTCAACGCAACGTATCAATTCGAACACCGAAAATGGAATAGGGATACCGAAGAAAGCTTTTTTGTTCTATCGTGCATAAAATGATATATATACATACATACTTATAACGGAAATTTGATCCTACTTCTCCGATTTTGAAGTCTTTCCAGTGGCTTCCTGTTAAAGAACAAATTTTGTTCAAACTTGGAGTTTTAGTTTGCAGATGTATGAACAATCTTGCACCTGAAAAGAACTTAGCAAATAAATGTAACAGAGCTTCAATGATTCGTTTTCATCACAGTTTAAGGTCATCAAGCACGAACATCCTACATGTTAAGAAGATTAATTTGAAAACAGCTGGATGAGGTTTTGAAGTTGCTGGACCGACATTTTGGAACAGTTTCCCGAATGATGGAAGACAACCTGTATGTATAGAGAGAGAGAATGTGGATAAAGTTTGCACCTGATATCCCAGAGCGCATCTCATGTATGCAACGTTTAGATGGTTGAATATAATTTCTTACTTATTAATTAATTTTTTTTTCATTTTTGTTTTATTTGTTTCCAATCTCAGACATTTTTTAGAAGAATTACGTTAAGAAGTTCGTTTGGTTTATGACATTCGATTTAATATTTTTGAACAATTAGTTTACATTAGAATCGTGAACAGTTAATATACTTTAGAATAATTATTTTTCGTTTGCTGTTATTCTAGGGACTATGGGATCGTTTATCTTTTGTCGTGTTGTTTTAACAATTGATCGCTTGATTTACATTTACACTTTTGTCGTCAATATTTTTGTGACTATACAAGCCATAGTGGGCTTCTGATTTTTTTTAAATAAAATGTTTAAATGTTCAAAATGTTTAAAATATCGGTTGTCATGAGAAAAGGTTTAAGTTAGTTTTTTTGAATTTTCATATTTTTGTCGCTGATTGCCTTCTATATTTCATCGAATTTTAGTTTTATTGTTGACGGAATATGTAACGACATGCCCTGCCCATCTGGTGCTCATTTTGACAATGGCTTGTTGAATAGCACGGGAAAGCATGTCAGACCACGCCGGCAGGCATGGACCAATCAATTTGATTTCGTTATTTAAGAATACGGTAAACAGAAATTCTCATCTAAAATTAATTAAAAAAATGTACTAAAAATCTTTAAAATAACAAAATATTTAATTTACTTGTTAAAAATATTATAAACATACACAATTACACATAAAAAAAAATCTTAAATTTACCAACCGATCAATTGGCACGCGAACAATTGGCATGGAACCATGAATTTTATTGCGGTTGGTTTAACATTGTTTGTCATTTAAATCATTAAACCATTAATTATAGAGAACAATTATTATTTTATTTATAATCAATAAAAAAATTTCTCTAAATATCAACTTTCAGTCGAAAAGTTGTTTGTTTTCCATCGAAATATTCGCCGACAAGTTCGCATTGATGACCTCTTATAATACATGAAATTTTTTATTCTGCAAAATTATTGACCGTGACCACTTATGAACATTAAACGTGCATTCGAAATGTACAATTGTACACGTCAGACTATGATTTGTATGTGTGTGTGATGTGTGTTGCATGTGTGTTGTGTGTGTGTGTTGTGTGTGTGGGGTGTTGTGTGTGTGTATTATTTTGATCGTCACATCACACATCATACGTTTGATGCACTCTTACACATACATAAATGTTTTGACTGACGATTTTTTCTTCATTGGCAAAACGTTCAGATTCAGGGGTGAATTTTAAAATTAGCTATCATGGCTTTTGTATCGTAATCTGTTTCCTATGTATATTTTATTATACCATAAATTATGTTTCTTAATAATAAATTGTCATTAATCTATTAAATTAAGTTGTCTACATTTTCTTTTTATCTACAAATTTGGCTTGCCTGATTTTTTTATATAATAAATTATTACTGATAACAATTTTACATTTTGGAATTTAATGATAAGCCAAAAAAATAAAACAAAAGTTATTCGAAATTTATTTGATGGACATTTTTAACATTTCTTGTTTAATTTATGATACAACAACAATCTACTTTAAAACTAAAAGTTATTTAAAAAACATAAAAACAATAGAACATGATACCTATCATACATTTCGACAGTGGTTTCAATTCTTGGAAAACGAAAAAAATATAAATATCTTTATTCAAAACAATCTGATATCAAATATCAATTTCTTTCCTATTTATAACGTACTGTTGAAATAGCTTTGATAGAAAATAATTATTTATAAATAATGCTTATTTATGAAAATATTTTAAAATTTATTTTCTTCATTCTCGTTCTTAATGATATTTCATACAAATGCCTTTGGACATTGTTCCATATTTCACAAACAATCGCAAGTCAAATGATGTTTTGCCTCATTCATTTCATTTCATGTCTAACTAACTTCTTTTGTTGAGCAATTTCTAAAAACATTATTCACATTGTTTCTTCCTCATTTTCCTTCTCGTTCTGTCTCTAAAATACGAAACGACGCAACATTTCGTACAAAAATATTTTGCAAATTATATATACACATAAATACATGTAGGTATATTACAATATTTTTATGTGTATTTTTGTAAGTACGTTCGTTCGTTCGTTCGTACGTACGTACGGTATGTATGTATGTATGTATGTATGTATGTATGTATGTATGTATGTATGTATGTATGTATGTATGTATGTATGTATGTATGTATGTATGTATGTATGTATGTATGTATGTATGTATGTATGTATGTATGTATGTATGTATGTATGTATGTATGTATATATGTATGTATTTATGTGTATGTATTTATGTGTATGTATGTATGTATGTATGTATGTATGTATGTATGTATGTATGTATGTATGTATGTATGTATGTATGTATGTATGTATATATGTATGTATTTATGTGTGTGTATGTATGTATGTATGTTTGTATATATATATTTATATATATATATATGTATATATGAATGGATAAGCGTGAATGTAATATGTATATATATATATACATATATTCATACAAGTGTATAATATTTATAAATAAACATTTTCGAAAATTGGGTAAACTGGAATCTTCTTAGAATGAGTGCTTGAGGCGATTTCTAAGCTATTTAAAAACTAACATCGCAACCACTGCAGACGTTTATTTGAATTTGTTTCCTTGAAAATTAAGATGATGACAAAACTCGAACTGCACGACAAAACTTCCATGACCATCACTACTAGAGCAACCCTTGCTACCTCTACAGCAACTTTAATAACCCTATCCTTCATTTTATCAATCGCGTCCTCATCATCAATCTACACCAAGATACCAACAGCACCATCGTCCACTTGTTATCCCGACGCATCAGAAACAACACAATACTCCGTAAGATCAGTGCAAAGATGTGCTGCTCGTTGCAGCGTTCTACCGACCTGCAAAAGATTCAATTATTATTACCAGAGTAATGTCTATGGAACTGCTGGAGATTGTTGCTTGTTTCCATCCTCCAACTGCCAGGATGTGCCTAGCATCACAGGATTTTTAGCGTACGTTGATCACGGTTAGTCGTAAGTAAAATCACAAAACCTATCCCTGAATTAATTTAACATAAAATATTCATTATTAAAATGATATAACGCTATTTATTCTTTGCACTCATTATTCATCATCAATTTTGTTTTTTGACTTTTCAGTTGAGCACATCCACGCAACATTAAAGAATCTTTTTTCTGTTTTAGAAATAACGTTATTAAACAAACATAACATAATTAAACTAAATTTAAACTTAAATTTTATTTTATAAAAAAAGTTGAATCGAAAATAAATAGGAACTATCGTAATGATATGGAAGCAAGGCTCAGCAATTCAGATGCAGCACTCAAGTAGCAAGCCAAAATTAAGAAAACCGAAAATTAAGATTAAGAAATAAAAGAAAATCATAGAATAACAAAAGGAAAAATAAGATAAAAAAAACTGTTTAAAAATGAAGAAAGTGGATGAACAAGATGGAAGGGTATAAATTTAAAAAAAAAATTTAAATAGAAGACTCATAATTTAGTGAAAAACTGAAAATAATAAAACTAACTAACTAATACACCTGAAAGATTTATAAGGGCGAAGATGGAAGCATCCTTACAGAAAGCAAACAGATTAAAGATAGATGGATAAAATAATTTATAGCAAGAACTGGGAGAAAGATGGATCACCAACTTTGCTAATGAGTAACTCACACAATACAACAGGAAATTTTGGAAGACGGAAAATGGGCAAAAGAATTGTGCTCCTCAATCCAACTACTATGTAGGTTAATTGAAAAAGTGCGACCTGAAAAATTGCAATAATTATCGATCGAGAGCATTAATTTTTCTCATATGAAAGGTTATCTATTTTTCGGGATTTCAAAAAGCATTTAGCTTGGCGTGGCAAGAAGGGTTGTGGATAGCTTTTGGAAAGTGTGATAGTATCGGATAAACTGAACAATTTAAAACTATCATTAAATATTTGATTAATTAACAACTTTAATAAACTTTCAATTAAGAATTATCCAACATAACATTACAAATCAAAAGAATCATTTAAATAAAATGTATTATACTCCTTCAAGGCATGCCGAACCCAACAAGCACCACTACAGCGAGCACTTTGAAGACCACAACAACTGCACCATCCTACGATTGCCTCACTGTCAACCCTTGTCTGAATGTTAATTACGCGACTAACCCGAGCGGGTTATACCCCCACGTGAACACCAACATGTACATCCAATGTTCCAACAACATTTGCTACGCTAGGAACTGTTCGTCAACTTTACTTTATGATGACTCTAAAAAAACTTGTGCTTGATGGCGCGGATGAGTTCATGTGGCCATTAAACACTATGGGTTTTTTTTGTTAACATTTGGTCATTTAACAACTTGTGAGCATCTAACACCGTGTGGTCATGTAATACAATGTGATTTTTTTTAAATTACCAATACAAACGATTTAAAGAATGTTGCTAATGAATATCCATATTCAATGAGTTAATCTTTTGTTTTTTTTTATGATTTTGAATGTTTAAATGATTCGAAAACCCAGATACATCTGAGCCGTTGTAAATCATTTCGGTAATTTATCGTAAAGTGACGTCATTTTTTTAAATTTTCATAATTATAAACAATTGTAAAGTTTTAGTTTGTGTGTTAACAAGAGAGATAACTGCGTGTAAGCAATGGAGTAACGAAATTTTATATAAAATAAATATACACAAACATGTGGTCGACACACATACACATGCACACTTGTGGCCATTAGAAACTCACATAGTACTGTATATCCCACAAACAAGTATAAAATTGTTTTAATTGTTATAACTGTAATTTATTATTGTATACTTTTTAAAGCTTTTGGATGTTTATATTGTTTGGTACTAAAGACACGTTTTTAATATTTGCTTTATTGAAAAAAAAATTTTGTTTTTGGTGTAAAAAATTGCAAAATGGGAAGAATAACGCAGGAATGAATTAAAAAAATGGGAAATGGGAATTTTCTGGAACGTTGTCATAAATGAGAATTCTGGAGGTATTCGGGAATGACAAACGAAAATGGGAGTAAATTGGGAACAAATTTAATTCCTGTTCACCTCTAATTGAAACATACCATCCATATTCTAATATTAATGATTGTATGTTTGTTTTTTGTTATTTATTTATTAAATAAAAATTTATCAAGTCAAATGCAATAACATGTGACAGTTAAATGTTTATTAGTTATACGTTCTTTATTTGTTGCAATAGGAATCAAGCATTTCTATTAAATGTTCGTTTTTATTCTATAGAAGAGCCATTGTTGTCCATAAAATTTTTCAGCTTTAACTGATGATGGATACAACTTATTATAGAAAATTTAATTTCTGAAAATTTAGTTAAATACGTTTTTGAAAAGCAAAGTTTAAATCAAATCATTCACAAACTGATGAAACTGTTGATGCCTTCAATTGATTATAATCATAATTTAATTACATTGCATCAACTTTACAATTTTTAAAAATCAAAATACATCTTTGCTAAACTCCTGGTTATAACGTACCAAATGATAAACTGACAACAATCACATTATCTTCATAATCTCTTGCATTTTCGACAACATTCCAACCCTCAACTCCTATCTAACTCAACTACTAATCCACATCAACCTGTTAGCAAGTCTTCTGCTCCCAATGAAAGTTTTTTATTTTGTTCGCTATCTCTGTGAAACAACTTACCCTCCTCTCTTGCCGAGAAATAGCCATAACTAAATCTAATTAAAAACCATTTGAAGCTGGTTTCGTCGTCAGGCATTTGGGTGCTATATCGATGGCAACTTACCCTTAACGACCCTCACGTAAGCATGGGGCACTGTACAAATTACATATTATAATTATTATTATTTTGTTATTGTTATTATTATTATTATAATAATAATAATTATTATTATTATACGGTTTGAATTGGTGCATTGAAACATGTTGAATGGGCAACAACGAGAAACGTGGCTCTTCCTTATTTCCAGAACTCAATGTTGATGCACGAAAAATTGTTCAAGTGAAGTAGCGAATATTTTTAGAGTATATTCTTTGGGACTTTTTTAAAATGATGTTTTTTCCAAGGACTGAAGTTTTTGTCTTAAAAAAAGTTAAGTGATCCATTCTGTTGCTTCAAGTACTACATTTTATCCTTAATTACGATGCACTTGAAATTATCTCAAGAATTGTAAGTAACTCTGTTGAAATATTTTTAAAATAAATAATCTTTTAAAAGGAAAATGCACCACGTGTCAAGTGCAACGTTCAATGATTTCTTCACTAACCAACTAAACGACCCGTGCCGGATATTTATGAAAAAATTGGAATATTTAAATTTCAAAAAATCAAATTTGCAACAAAAATTAATTTAAAAAAGTTAGAAGATACCTCGGCTTACTAACGTCGTACATAAACGTTATCAACGCGAAATTGATTAAATGAGTAGGAAATCTAAACGATTCAGATGACTCAAACCCTCAAATGTTGCAAACACAAGTCCCTTTCAAAAATTTATTGATCTGAAGATGAATTAAGTTAATATCTCTTAAGAGAGGTGGAAAAGTTTTTATTACACATTACGTTCCAGGCTCCACATGCAAGTCTTATTACATTAAAGATGAGTTTATCTTTCGAATTCGAAGCAAGTGTAGCTGTCACTTGTCAGTACAGTATAACAGTATATTTTTCAAAAATTTTTAAAAATTAACTTTTATAAGGTTTTTGAAATTTTTAAGAGAGTTTAATATAATTCATAAAATTCAGTTTGAATTCGTCCCCAAAGCATCAACTGAACCAGCTATTGCTGAACTCTATGGTTCTCTAGTCAGGAGATTCGAAGCAAAGGAATTTTCACTGGGCATCTTTGTGGACTTAAGGAAAGCTTTTGGAGTCATTGATCATGAAATCTTGCTTTACAAGCTGTTTAATTATGGATGTCGTAGTATCACACTTGATTAGTTTAGGTCATATTTATCGAACCGAAAGCAATATGTATCAATTGACAACTATGAATCTTCTTTGTCAATTATTCGAACGGGCGTCCCTCAAGGGTCGATATTGGGCCCGTTGTTGTTCATTCTATTTTTAAATGACACTTTTCTGGTTACTAATCATTTTACTACGTTTTTTTGCGTATAATACCAATATATTTTTGACAGGCAAAAATTCTGTTGATTTGTATAATCTAATGAATGAGCAAATGGAAGTATTATCATTTTTTGAAATAAATAAATTAGTTTTAAATTTAAAAAAATCTTGTTACATCCTATTTGGCCCTAAATTTAAAACCAATAATTATCGTTTTAATAACCTGTCAATAAAGATTGGTAACACTATCTTGCCGTGTTGAGTCAATAAAATTTTTGGGAATCATGTAACATATTGAAATGGTTCTAGCAAAATTATATAGAGTTAATGGATTATTTTATAGAGCCCGAAATAAACTAACGACATCAGTAATGATGATATTATATTATTCACTTTTTTTCCATACTTAACATATGGGAATATATTTTGCGGGTATACAGCCAAATATTTGATGGACAGACTATTTGTAGCTCAAAAAAGTTTTTTACGTACCCTTTTTTCCTACCCTACCCAAACTTGAGCATACCAAACCGTTACATACTAGATATAAAATTCTTAACATAGAACAACTAAATATTGATCAAACAGTTATATTTTTTTTATAAAGTTTTACTTTTAAACAACTACCAACATCTTTATTCATTTGAAGTAATAAGTTTAAATAGCCGAAACAGCGGCAAGCTTAAATTATGTAAAAGCAGAACTGTAGTAAATGATAGGCATTGGGCCGTGCGTGGCATAAATCTATGGAATGGTTTGTGTCACGTGTCATGACGTCATTGATATGAGCAACTTAAAAGCCTTCAAATTTTTACTTAAAGAGGCTGTTATCAACGTTAATTAACTGTACATTATTTTTATTTCATTATAGATCTAATTGTGAATGAATGTAATAAAACTATCTGAGTTATTTCTAATATCTGTTATGTGACTTTATTTCGATTTAAATGTAATAAATTATGTATTTCTTTGTGTGTGTGTGTATATATATATATATATATATATATATATATATATATATATATATGTATTATTTATATAATTTATATATATGTACATATATGTATATATGTAGATTTTGTTAAATTTATTTGCCC